TGGAATCCAGGTTGAAACAAAACCTGGATAAATACCAAGAATCAGTGAAATTTAGGAAGCACAACAAGTTCCTAAGAGACTCTAATGATTATCAGACTGGGAATGTTTATAAATCTTTTAACCGTAGAACACGACGTACGTCTGATAATGGTCTAACCTCAGACTATGACTCCTCAGATACAGACTCTGGGAGCCAAGTCTCAAATATCCCAGCAGAACCACAATTACAATCTAACCCATCCACAGTAAATCCTAATCCTAGAGGAATCCTGAAGAAGGGAGTTAATTTTTTAGCCCCAGGTTACCAGGAGGAATTTCCGAGTCAGCGAACGAGATACCAGACTCGCAACATAAGAGGAGGGGGAAGGAGGAGGAGATATTAGTTGACACTCAGGTAGTAGCATGCAAGTCCCGGATCATTAATCTGTCCTCTCGCACTTTGACCACTGATCAAGAGGCTGTTTTGGGGAAGGGCCTTTCATTTGTACCCACACCTTCTTTTGATAAGTTTGGTTGGATTAGGGATCTTAATCTTTTTGTTAGAAAGTTGGCCCTACATAAATTCCATTCTGTTCAGAATGAAAGGAAGGCTCGTGACCTTGGACTTGCACCACAAGACTATCAATGCCTCACTACCCTATTAACCCTTCTAGATGAAAATGACTCAAATATTATCTCGAACCGTACCGGCCTAAAACCAAAGAGCCGCTATACACCCAATTTTGCGAGCTTTAGGAACATTGAGTTGTTCCTAGAGGCGGCCAAAATAGAGATTGAAAAGATTAACTTGAAATCTCTCCGCATCCATTCTAGGGATAATCTCCTTAGACGGGAACAACAAGCTTTAAAAACTTTACAAGATGATGCTAATATCATCATCAAACCCGCCGACAAAGGGGGAAATATCGTACTGATGGATGTGGATAAATATCTGGAAATGGCCGAACGGGTCCTTAGGGACACTGAGACATACGCAGTCCTTAAACACGATCCTACTGATGCTTTTCTGTCTAAATATAGGGAAATATTGGAGGATGGTCGCAGTGGGGGGTTGCTATCAGGTGACGAGTTTGAATTTATTTTTACTCGTCACCCTAAAATAGCAACCTTCTACTGCCTACCTAAGATTCACAAGAACCTAGAGACACCCCCAGGACGCCCAATTGTTTCTGGGGTTGATAATTTAACACAAAATAGCAGCCTGTATATAGACAGAGTGTTAAGACCTTTTGTTGAAAAATTACCTTCCTATATCAGGGATACCAAGCAAGCTTTAAATAAACTTTCGAGTCTTAAATTTTCCTCCTCCGTCCAATTATGTAGCTTAGATGTTGAATCACTCTACTCCTCCATACCTCATGATAGAGGAATTGAACATGTGGGATTTTTTCTTGATCAGGAAGCCCCCAGAGATGATTTATATACAGCTTTTCTTCTACGTCTCTTGCGGTTTATTTTGTCACACAACTACTTTCTATTTAACAACCATGTATACCACCAAGTAAGGGGAACCGCTATGGGGACGGCTTGTGCCCCCTCATATGCGAATCTCCATCTTGGATGGTGGGAATACCAGATCTTTAATTCAGATGTGTTGAAAGAATATCTACCTAAAGTCCTATGGTGGGGTCGCTATATTGATGACATTTTGATTGTCTGGCATGGCACCCCCCGAGAGTTTTCAGATATGGTAGGACTACTTAACTGTAATGATCAAAATCTTCGGTTTACATCTGAATTCGGAGGACGATCTATAAACTTTCTAGATGTAACTATCAGTATTAGCCAAGATGGTACATTCCACTCCACACTGTTCAGAAAACCTACGGCAACCAATTCCCTCCTACACTGGACTAGTCACCATCCACGACCCCTCAAAGAGGGTATTCCGGTGGGTCAGTATCTCCGTCTTCGGAGAAACTGTAGTGAAGCCCAGGACTTTATCTTAAAAGCGAAACAACTTCGACAACATTTTAAGGAGAAGGGTTATCCGAACCGCTGTTTAAAAAGAGCCTATAAGAAGGCATTACAAACAGAGAGGGGTGAACTACTATGTGACCATACTGATAAAACGACTAAGAAGGATACTGGAATCATCCGTATGATTGCAACATTCGATAGGGGGTGGCCAGAAGTACGGAAGTCACTTGAGAGATTCTGGCCCATACTATTGAATGATGTACATCTTAAGGGGGCTCTAAGCCCACATGCCAATATTACAGCTAGGAGGGGACGGAACATTCGCGACTTACTGGTACCCAGCCATTTTTCTATTAGAACACAACCACGTGCCACCTGGTTGGGGACTCCACCAACGGGCACATATGGCTGTGGTAAATGTGTAGCCTGTAAGTTTATTCTTAAGAACTCCAAGACTGTCAGTGACAGCCAGGAACTGGTTTCCTTCAAAGTTAAAAGCTTCTTTAACTGTAATACTAAAGGCCTTGTATATCTGCTCCAATGTACCTGTGGACAGAAATATGTAGGGAAAACCTTTAGAGCATTTAAAGATAGAATTATGGAACATGTAAGATCTCCTAGGAACCGTCTTGAGACACCTATATCTAGACACCTTAAAGAATTCCATCATGGGGACTCTAGTAATCTTAAATTCTGCGGATTGGAATTAGTAAAAAGGACCCCTAGACGGGGGGATTTTGATAAAACACTTAGACAGAGGGAGTCTAGATGGATATATGAACTTAAAACCCTCCAACCTTTGGGTCTGAATGAGGGCTTTTCTTTTGCCCCCTTCATATAAATATATGACTTATTGGGCTATATATATCCCTCTTATCCTCCCATCCTGTTCTCATTATCACCAGCTTTGTGTAAAAATATTTTGAAAGAAATACTTTCTTGAATTGCTTTTTTAAAGGAAATTCTTTACTCTTATCACTTTTTTGTCTATAATATATATATTTTGTTTTGTTTTATTCTTTAAGACTATTATGATCTAGTTTCTTTTTCATTTCCCCCTCCTCCTTCCTATCCTTATGAATCTCCTGTATGTGTAGGGATATTCTTCCTCCAATAGACATATGAATGCTATGGAGGTTCTGTATCTAAATACACAGGTTTGATCAGATGACTATAATGTGTTTCCTTTTTTTGTTACCTTCATATAAGGGCATTTAGCCTATATTAGGATCTATTGGGAACCTTCTGTGACAGCCTGCTCATTTATGTGTACGTAGTATGTGGGGAGTTTGCGGTTCACTTTTGTGCGCTGCTTCACCACTGATATTTTGACATGCGCACTTCTGACTATGAGAGAGTCTCTCCCCTTTTTTCTAAGTTTGGTGCGCATGCGCGGACACTCTGGCGGGACATGCGCATTGATTAATCCCGGCAAGCAAGGAGATTGGACGTTGCCAGCTGATTACTACCTTATGGGCGGTCAGTAACGGCTATATAGATGGGAAAGGGGGGGGGGGGGAACTATTTTGATACATTATATTTTGCTCTTGAGAAAGGCGGTTTACCCGCCGAAACGCGCGTTGGGCTTGTTTTTTCCGATGTATTCTTAACACTTGTTATACCTTAGTGTACTCTTATGATATAGTGACTTTGGGGTTGATCGGTTTTACATACCGGGACGACTAACTAGTAGGGATTTACTGTGAGGTGGATTTATTTAGTTTTGTCTGTTCTATTTAGGCTTACTTTATATTTATATCTATATCCATCTCCACTTTTTATATCCCTCTCTGCTTATAATATCTTCCCTATCCTTTCGATTTCCAATGCAAGTCTACTAAATTGCACTTTCTGACTTTCTGCAGGTTTCATGTATACAATCATACTCAGCACTAACTCTTTTTGAGTTTGGACTATTATATGGGATAGTGCTTTGACCACTTCCACTTATACTGGAACCTTGCAGTTTATAGACAGTATTGTGTTATATCTGTGAGTCCTTAGGTAATTTGATTTATTTGTTTTTGTTTGAATATACCTTTTTCTCATTTATTTTCAGTGGACTTTTATTAATAGTTTACTCAGTGCTTATACACACCGGGGCGACCACATAGTATAATATGGAGTTATTATGAGACTGACTTTTTCAGCTTGAAGGTTCATTTGAACTTCCTCTTTATTTATATGGTCCTCCTCATTAACTGACTCTTTTCATACAAGTTTATTCAATCTGCACTCTCTGACCTTCTGTTAGGTTCAATGTGTGTTCACAGTATCATATGTAGCTTTAACTTTGTTTGAGTTCTATTTTCTACATATAACAGTGATTGATACATGCAGTTTCCACTAAAAATTTTTAGTCCACTGTCATATATGAGTTCTTAGGTTTCTTTGGTCCTATTCTTAATAATAAAATCTATTTATTTTCCTTAGACGTTGATCTGTTTGGGGTGGTTTGAAGAGGAACAACCTGATTTATCACGGGGTTGTTCTTTCTTCACTTTTTTGTATATTTTGTGCTTTATGCAGGGTTATGCCCGTATTGCCACCCTTATAACCCGTTTTTCTCTGTACTCCCTATTTGGATTTTCTATCTAGGGAATACTTCTATTTATCATAATTTTATATAGTTAGTGTAAGAGATCCTCTATTTAACATTAGTGATGTCCCGAACGGTTCGCAGCGGACTCATCATTGAGTAAACTTTAACCCTGTACCTCACAGTCAGCAGACACATTCCAGCCAATCAGCAGCAGACCCTCCCTCCCACCTCCTGGACAGCTCACTAAGAATGCAGCTTCACAATGAATGTATGAATGGATGCTGTCCAGGAGGTGGGAGGGTGGGTCTGCTGCTGATTGGCTGGAATGTGTCTGCTGACTGTGACGTACAGGGTCAAAGTTTACTCAATGATGAGTCCGCGGCGAACCGTTCGGGACATCACTATTTAACATATATAAATAATTGAGAATACAATATAAAATAAGGATTGTCTTGGAAGCAATAGTTTTGTCTTTTAGATATTTATTTTATAAAAATATAAATATAGACTTATAAAATCCATTATAGCAGAGTTTAGAAGATTAAACTAAATGCTTGCAAATATCATTAATAGGTTAACATACCCTTCTGAACATGTCATCATGTCAGCCTCTCTGTCATTTTAAGATGGAGCAGTGTCTGTCTCCAAGTCTCTCCTCTGTTTCTTAATATTTAAAAGTACAACTATTTATACCTTAGGTGTCTCCATTTTAAGGTTACTGTAGTTCATATATGAAAAAGTAACACTTCTTTTACTTTATTCATTTTAGGACCTCCCTTAATTTGGCAAACATACAAGGCCATAACTAAAGGGTGCATACGTCATGGAAATTTTCCTGACTTTGTTCAAGATGGCATCTTAAAGTCTGAATAGCTTATCTGTTGTTTATACTAAGTTGTAAGTGCACAGTCGTGGGAGATTCCCAGATTTGGGGAAGTTCCATTAACTTGGGGTTACAACAGTATATTGTGTACTGAAAGAGTTGTAGTATAGCCTTGAAGCTTGTTTATGCATAATCGTTATTGTAATTTATCTGGGACAAAATGGCGCAAACATATTATGCACTGAGGTTATTGCTTAAAGAAACATCTATGAAAAACAATATGTTCCATTTCTAACACCTTGTCAATCTGCAATATCTCTTAAAGACAAAGTACACAGTTTAAGAAATACAACATTTCATTCTAAAACTTGTAATATTTGCATTGTCCCATAACAACCTTCTCAACATGGCCGCAATACGCAGCTAACTCCGGTTTATCGATTCCGGTTTCCGTCCTAATCAGCAGTTGTCACTTCCAGTTTCGTCATTGCGGCGCCATATCCGGCGGCCGCATAGTGACGTATTCATGTTCGTCAAGGGGAGGGGTAGGCGGAATACATCCCAGTATAATTTAAAGTCCATACAGAGACCATATTTGAAGAGGGAAAGAATAAGGGCAACAGAAGAATCAAATTGTTAGATATTAATTCAGTCAGAATATGACATATTATCACAGGAAATAGAAAGTGAGATGTAAACTATATATATAAAATGCTGACAGTTAAAACTAAAATATAAAATAAAAAAAGATAAAAGATAAAACATATCACTCAACAGAATTTAGCTATTTAGGACATATTGCATAAATGATATACATTAAGCAAATAATAATTATAGGACATACAAATAAAAGTGTAAAAGATAATTGGGACTAGAAATAAAAAGTTGTTTTAAATTATAAAATGGGACCTATCTCAAAGTCAATATTTAATCCTTTAGGACATAATGTTTGGAGCTCTAAAATCCAACTAGATTCCTTTTTATTTAGATTAAATGCAGTATTCCCTCCTTTCCAATGGGTTTAAACCTGCTGTATTGCTGTAAATTCTATTTCATCAGGATTTTAATTGATTAAAAAAAATGATTAGACACACTATGATTTACAAAACCATTTTTTATATTTCTAACATGTTCGTACATCCTTGCCTTTAGGGGTCTAGAGGGTTTACCTATGTATTGTAAGCCACAGGTACATTGTAATAAATATGAGATTTCTAGAGTCACATGTAATAAAATAATTCTTATTAAACCTTTTTTTAGTTATGTTAGATACAAAGTTATTTTTCTTTTTTATGCTCACTTTAGTGTTTTTGCAGGCATAACAGTTCCCACAATGATAAAATCCCTTCGCTGTCTTAGACCAATTGATTAAAACATTTACTGTCCACTTCCTGTTTCTCTACATAATTAGATGTTAAAATCTGCTTAAAGTTTTTTGCCCCTCTAAAAATAAACTTGGGGTTATCGCCAATAAATTCGTGGACATCGTGGTGTTGATTTAAAATGTTCCAATTTTTCTTTATAATCCTTTTCAATGACCCTATATTACGGCAGTAATCAAAAATCAACGGGATTTGCTTGGTTTGTATATTTTGATCCCTCTTTTTATAATTTAATAACTGGGGTCTATCCAAATCTTTTACGTTATCTATGTCTTACTGAAGTTTTTCTTCACAAAGAGTTGTTTTCAAATTGACGACTGTGCATTAAAATCAATGTGGTCTGAGCAGTTTCTTTTTAATCTTAAAAATTGACCCTTGGGGATATTCTGAAGCCACGGATCATAATGACAGCTGCTAGTTTCTATGAAACTGTTTACGTCCACTTGTTTAAAAAAAGTTTGGGTCTTAAAATGTTGTTCAGAAACATAAATATTAAGATCCAAAAAGTCTATAGTTTCTGGGCTTACACACTTCGTAAGATTAATCCTCCATTCATTAAGATTTAGGTAATTAAAAAAATTAAAATCTGCTTCAGCTATGTCCCTGGTGTATGAACAAATTTTCCCAGGACATAAATAAGTTGGCATAACTGGGGGCAAACCTGGTCCCCATAGCATTGCCTCTAGTTTGCAGAGCTGCAGACTGGAGCGTTAACCCACCGGGGAGAGACACTGGACCACCAGGGAATTTAATAAAGGCAGGACCCAGCCCCCTCCCCACACTGTAACCCCTTCACTCCCTGCCCCCACGGTAACTCCTCCTTTCCTTGCCCACCTCCCCGCACTGTAACCCCTTCACTCTCTGCCCCCCTCCCCGCACTGTAACCCCTTCACTCCCTGCTGGCAATGTAACCCCTTCTCTCCCTGTCCCCCTCCCAGCACTGTAACACCTCTCCCTGCCCCCCTCCCCACACTGTAATCCCTTCTCTCTCTGTGGGAACGCGGCCACAGGTCGCCATCCATGCAGAAATGGCAGGTGCCAACTCTGCTTCTGTGTCGGGAGGACAGGGAGAGGGCTCAAGGAAGCAACTCTCTGTAGGGGTGACTGAGTACATGAACTGTGTAGGACCAATGCACTACTCACCAATGTGCCATACTGCAGAGAAACTCTGAGGATGGTCCTCCTGGCTTGGCATTACTGGACTTGCTTTGACAAGCAGTTGAAATAGAAATAAAACTAGCATAGAATTATGAAGACTCAGGGAAGCATTACTGTAACTGGGTAATTTTCAATGGGACTAATGAGATGGAGGATTTGTATTAGGGCTCAAAGGATTTTTTTTTTAATGTCTCCAGTAACAGATTATCATGGACTATGACCACATTAAAATAAAAGGAATAAGCAGTCTAGAGGAAATATCCCTAGCACCAGGAAGGAGCATCACAATATAAAATAAAACGTTTCAGTCCACACAGGGACTTATCATGATCAAATTTTCATCCGAAAATTTGTCAAATTTGCAGAAATTTAAAAATATATATATTTTTGTAGTGCATAGTTTAACAGACATGCTTGCATTAACAATTCAGATGATTATATATCATAATAAAGATAGTAATGATAACATGAAGTCAAGAATACTGCACTGGTGGGGGGGGGAGGGGAAAGAACACTGTGAGACAGGAGAAGGGGAGGGGAGAACACTATGGGACAGGGGAAAAACTAGAGGGGGGGGAGAGATGAACATTAAGGGGGGGCACTAAAAGAGAAGGGAAGTTTTTCATATTAGATTAAATTCATTAAAAAGTCTAATATTAATAAAATTATAGGAAAAAAATCTTTTTAAAAATCATTTGGGAAAGTTGTTTTCGGCCAAGTGCATCCTGAATTTTCGGTTTCGGCCCTGAATTTTCATTTCAGTGCATCCCTATGTTAAATAGTTACGTAGCATATTTTCTTTATCTATAGGTTATGGAAAGCAAATCATGATGTGGTTCTAAAGAGTGTTTCAGAGGTGAGTTTTTTTTCTCTTCGTCTTTCTGATGTCACAGATTTATGAAAGGATTACCCAAAACACAACTTATTGTTTTGGTTAGAATGCGAAGACACATTAGGCACAATTTAAACTGTTTTACAAAACACGTCTTTTCGCACAGCTAAATCCCAATTCCTCAGCTGCAGCTAAATTTCCACATTAGATGTCAAACTTTGGATACCAATGATAGACTGACAGCACTATGATATCCTGCTCCCAACCCTCTCTGCCTAGTTAAAGTCCTAGACATATTAGCATAGGGGATTAGCTTTAGGCAGCTTTGTTTGTTAGACTGCATAAATAAGTTGGCACCCAAAGACTCGGCTTTATAACTAAAACTAGGAGTTGTGATTATAGTTTTCAGAGGGTCCCATTATATACACGGTATCAGAAGGGAATATGTGACAGTTTCTCAATGCTAATCCTGTGATGACTGTATTAGGACTGAACCCACGTAGGCATTTATTTGTGTCAGTGACATGAAAGCAGAAGTAACCCAAAAATAAAATTATATTTTGATACATTTCATAAATTAGAAATATTGGCATTTGTAGCTCCCATACTCTTTCATGTTCAAGAGAAAATCACCAGTTATTCTGAAAACGTCACACATGGGTTAAAGCATGTATTTCTCCTTCCTCAGTTGTACATCCTCCCACGTTTTGGAATTTAGGTAAATTAACCAATTAGCAGTTTCCTAGCTTTCAGTTATTCCCACAGAAGATACTGTTCCATTTCAGACTCCCACTGGATTAAATCATGTGTGCTGTACACACAGTGTTCCCCAACTGCACAGGACTTATCACTGTATGGGGAAGCCAATTTCTCATTTATACATTTTTAATGCACTAGAGAAATGCTCTCGCTGCAATTCTGTAATAACGGCAGGTTTCCAATGGTTATGCAAATTAAAAAGATCTGAATTATTAACACGTGAATGGAAACAGAGATGATCATTATTAACTTAAGAACCTTTGATTGCTTTAATTGCATTTGCAGTTCTATTTTTCTTATTGTAGTGGGTCTTTACTACATTGGACAAAAAATAAATACAAAATAGATATTATGCTGGGCAATGGGTGTCTTTATTTATTTATATATTTTTAATTTTTTATTTATTTTTTTATTTTTAAATCAAATACACTTCAAAGCTGTACCTGTAGTCTCCTAGCATGAATACCACTACAAAGACTGCTATAGTGCCCCTTAAAAGACTGAGAGCACAACTGTATTCGAAACAGCTGATGCTATGAGAGTCGTTTGCTTAAAATGATCTTGTCCATCACGGATATGATGGATGATCAGAGGACTTATTATAATTAACGTTTTATTGATTTAAAATTCTTTTTTGACAAATTGATACAAAAAAAGAGAATAGGAACCGGAAAATAAAATTAGCAAGAAAGCATCTGAGAAACAGACTGTCAGGATCCAAACCTTATTCCTTAAATTCAATTTTGTACCTCCAGTAACTGTTTTGTCACTAGTGGCTTCCCTGACCACTAGCTCTGAACTTTCCTTGACTCATCCTCACCTGGCTAGGACGAATTATAGATCCTACAAAAGACTACACCCTACTCAATACAGGGCCTTTGGATTGAAGTTGATCGTCAACCTGAAAATATTTCTGTCCATGGCTCCTGTGAACTTACCATCCTGTTGAATACTAACCTGATCTACTCAACCAAGCTTCTTTATTCCAGGGTGAACTATACAACCAACTTTCTTTGTTACCAAGCTTCTTCATATCAACCTGAACTACTCTACAACCCAACCTGCTTTATATCAACCTGAACTACGCCATCAACCTGCTTTATTCTAACTTGAACTACGCAACCAACCTGAATTACGATACTAACTCATATTGCAAAGAGTAATTTACCTGCTTCTACTATAGGTATTTGCTACCTTATCTAATTCGGCTTGGTAACAACCTGTGTGGGGCATATTGCCAAAACCTGTTATTTCACCTTCTACCTACAATTACAGGTTCTCCTTATACCTTACCTACAATTCTGCTTCTACGTTCTCCTTCAACCTTACCTACAATTCTGCTTCTACGTTCTCCTTCAACCTTACCTACAATTCTGCTTATACGTTCTCCTTCAACCTTACCTACAATTCTGTTTATAGGTCTTCCTGCTACCATTTGCCTAACTCTTTTCTGTTCTTCCTTCTTTACTAATTTTCTTGTTTTGGCTTGCTAAGTATACCAATTGTGTGTAAATATGTCTAAAGTCTCCAATAAACTATCAAACTGTTCTTTTGTATTCAACGTTAACCCTGGCCCAAGTCTTTTACCTGACCTGCTGAAGACAATAACAGACCTCAGTGAGCATGGGTAAAGCAATCAGAAAACAAAGCCAAGCTTTGTAAGACAGACAGTGAAGAGTCTAAGAAACATAAGCGTTAACAGAGCTAACTGCTAGGTAAAGAGAAAGGGTGGAAGAATTTAAACACAGAAAGAAAGGGGGGGGGGGGGGGAAAAAAAAAAAAAAAAGGGAAGAGCTATCCTCAGCCAGGCAAGCCAGATGCAGGGTTCCCCCACCAGGAGATTCAGGCTGAAGGCCTCAGTAGCATAGCCCTTCATCCATGGCCTCAAGGTTTTTAGGAAATTCAGTAGTTTCATTAATGGGTGCTTTCAGGTTTTTCCCCATTCTGATCGTATACCAAATTCTGTCATAAATCAATTTAGGCCTGTTAAAGTGGAACAGCCTTCTAGGTCTTAGCCAAGCAGAGTCGGAAGGCCAGAACTGTATTATTTTGTATTGTACATACATGAACACATACTTTAAAATTAGAAAGTTATAGAAAATGAAAATAAACCTTAAGAAATAATATTTTATTAACAGAAAATAGGAAAACAAAAGTCAAAAGGAGATCTGATATTTACACATATCAATGGATTCAAACTGATGCAACTGAGCCAGCTTAGTTGTTCTAGGAAAGAAATCATGACAAAGTGAAGGACAGCAAGTTAATATTTGTATTGGTCTACACAGTAATACACGCGATGAAGTACTGTTCTAAGATAATACATGTTCCAGAACTCCTTGTCTGATCAACTGCTCACACTTCCACCGGGGAAGGAAATGCTAGGAAATAGAAAAAATAAAAACAGGAGACATGTACAACATATTAAAGTCAAGACTTCCATACTTAAATGGTGCTCTAAATTCCCCTATGGAAAAAAACCAAAAACAAACAGGAAAACTTCTACATACAATATATTATATATATATTAAAAAAAAAAAAAAAATAAACCATTGTAGTTGCTCTTTACAGGTGAAAATTAGGGAACTATGTTATTCATGCAATAAAATGAAATCTATAAGCTTCTCCCAAAATATTTAATTTTAGCTTAATAAACATCCTCTGGAAAAAATATATACAAAAGATAGAAATTTAGCTAAATTCCAACTATGTTGCAGTTTACCTGGCTATTCTTCTTTAGTAGAATTGATGTCCCATCTTCAATTTCAAATTCACCATAATCTCTTAAGCACCGCACCTGTAAAACAAAGGTCAACATTAGAAAGATGTTTTCGCTGATAAACATTTTAAAACAAAACAGTCACTAACATGTTCAGTAGCTTTAAATTTATTTACATGGCATCCTCCAGGGTGTGATTACAGCCTTAACACTCCACCTAAATTAAATTAACCCCTACAGTTCCAAATGTCCGAGTAACGCACTACTGAACGAGTACCAGAGAAGATGATCACCTTAGAACAGGTGTTATATTGTAAAGTGAAGGCAACATGGGAGTTGTAGCCTTACAACACCTGGCAATCTACTTTTTGGGCATCAGTTTCATTATTTTGCACAGGTCAATCTTGTGGCATTCTTTTTACATCAATGTGTCAAAGTCCACAGAGGAAAAATACATAAACCATGTTTATGAAAAGTGAATAAACATTCCTCTACCCAGTTAACCTCTTCCCTCTCATACCCATAGTGTGTTAATTTTGCATTGCACTGGTCACATTGCAGGGTATATGTCAGGTAACTATATACATACGCACTATGTCCACAGTTAAAATGTAAATGTTCTGCTTTCTTTTTGGGAAACTGAATATACAATAGAATGCCAACAGATCTCTTAAATACTAACAAGCACGGTATTTGACCATCTGTTTTACACGCATTTTAGTTTCCCCACTTACAGTAAAAGGATGAATGGCTAAATGTCCTAGAATTGCATCACACACTTCAAATAAAGATAGGTTGACTCAATGAGAACCTGGGAATAAACGGGATGAGAAGTCCTCAAAAATACAAGTATAAAAATGCATTGGTAGTCCTGCTACACACTTCACGAGTTTTATGATACCATTGAACTTACCTCAATGTATAAACTTTTAGGGGGTTTCATATCTTGTGTTATATCCAAGCCATCTTCACCTCCTAATGATCTCATATATGTTGCCAGGGACTTTTTATATTGATTAAACCAGTCGGTCTACAGGAAACCATAAACCAAATACATTCATTTAGTTTGTATTCTATAAAATACAACTGCAAAGCTCTACATCAGGATTTCTCAACTTTATTTTGTACCTTTAGGTACTTTTCTTAACAAACAGCTGAATAAAAGTACCCCTCAAGGCCTGTTACAAGTATTTGTTGACAGCACCATCACAAATCCAGTTTGCCAATATATTCCACATCTCAATTCACTTTCCCATCTTTTCACCCTTCCAGTGTCTCTCACTCTGCCAATCATTCCCTTTTTTCCTCCAAATCTAACCTTTTCAATTTCTTTCTAACTAATTCACGATGTGTCTACAACTTTTTTTCTGAAAGTTGCATGTGAAGTTACTACATATCGGGGGCAGAATATAACAAATTGAGGCTGCTGCTTGTAGGGTTTTGTTTTTTTGTGTATAAAGAGGCCGCTTGTTTTCTGGGAGAGGCAGTGAAGGAGAGCCATCCTCCCTGGTGGTCTGGCAGGGGTAAGCGCTCTGGTCTCCACGTTTGGCACACATAGCACACAGTCAACTGCTTTTTTCCAGTCCTTTCACACAGTGAATATCTGCCAATATAACCTGGTGACAGGACTCAAGTTATTGAAAAGCACCAGGACCATGAGGGAGAAGCCATAGGTGTAGACCACACACTCCCTTTGTATAGTAAGGGGACACAGTTGGACATTTCTGCTTTATGCTATATACACATTTCCAAATATTCACACAGTAATTCAGAAACCTCTTCTGTAGACATGTGGAACCTCAATGCATTTGGTAGTACACTGCCATATTCCCATCGGAGAGCTCGAATTCGAAGTAATCGGTCATACCTACAAAATAAACAAAAAGTTGTAGAGAAAAACAAACAATCAATCTTCCCTCTTTTAGCCTTTTTAGGGTCCAAATAAATTCAGATTTTTGTAAGAAAAACATACACAAGTCCCCATAAAATTTTTAGCTTTTTGGTTGAGACTGACAGAGTCTAGTCTATTAACAGTTTTAGCGGATTATGCTGCAAAAAGTCTACAGGCTCTTTCCTTAAGTTTTTTTATCTTTATTGCAGAAGGACTTGATGGTAAGGTATGTCTTTTTGCTGACGATACTAAGATATGTAATAGAATTGATGTTCCAGGAGGGATAAGCCAAATGGCAAACGATTTAGGTAAACTAGAAAAATGGTCAGAGTTGTGGCAACTGACATTTAATGTGGATAAGTGCAAGATAATGCATCTTGGACGTAAAAACCCAAGGGCAGAGTACAGAATATTTGATAGAGTCCTAACCTCAACATATGAGGAAAGGGATTTAGAGGTGATTATTTCTGATGATTTAAAGGTAGGCAGACAATGTAATAGAGCAGCAGGAAATGCTAGCAGAATGCTTGGTTGTATAGGGAGAGGTATTAGCAGTAGAAAGAGGGAAGTGCTCATGCCATTGTCCAGAACACTGGTGAGACCTCACTTGGAGTATTGCACACAGTACTGGAGACCATATCTTCAGAAGGATATTGATACCTTAGAGAGGGTTCAGAGAAGGGCTACTAAACTGGTTCATGGATTACAGGATAAAACTTACCAGGAAAGGTTAAAGGATCTTAACATGTATAGCTTGGAGGAAAGACGAGACAGGGGGGATATGATAGAAACATTTAAATACATAAAGGGAATCAACACAGTAAAGGAGGAGACTATATTTAAAAGAAGAAAAACTACCACAACAAGAGGACATAGTCTTAAATTAGAGGGACAAAGGTTTAAAAATAATATCAGGAAGTATTACTTTACTGAGAGGGTAGTGGATGCATGGAATAGCCTTCCAGCTGAAGTGGTAGAGGTTAACACAGTGAAGGAGTTTAAGCATGTGTGGGATAGGCATAAGGCTATCCTAACTATAAGATAAGACCAGGGAGTAATGAAAGTATTTAGAAAATTGGGCCGACTAGATGGGCCGAATGGTTCTTATCTGCCATAACATTCTATGTTTCTGTGAAACTACTATTCTCATGTGGTTTTGTTTTGTGTGTTTGAGAGTCCCCATGTTATTGCAAAGCCACCTACAGAGACAATTCCTCTCCAGCTGTAAAACGAGAAATCTACACTTATGCATTACCAGTATAAGTGCTGGACAGCCGTAATAGACTGGTAGATTTGGAGCAGAGTTTTTACGTTCAGAAAAGAAAAGTCTAGTCTTTGTACGAGTATGTGTGTTTGGGAGAGTCAATGCTTTGTGCCCATGTAATTAAAATAGGAGTAGATGATATATTGTATACATTTAAAATAAATGAATCGGCTTAAATCAAGAATCTGTAACCACAAAATTTTATTAATATCCTCTTGTCCATTAAAAAACACATTTTAATGAATAACCTAACTGTAGGTTTTCAAAGCAATTTCTGCTACTTGACAATATGCTTCTCTCCTGCTACACAATTCCCCCATTTTTTCCCTCCTAGTTCATGAGCAAAAGTACAAGTCCCCCAATGCCAGCCTTTTCATGCCCCTAATTCCCAACCTGTATTGGCTCAAGTTGCACTAATCTGAACACAAAAGCCCCAACCTAAAATGACCCAAGGAACATCTCCCTGAACCCTGATATTGCAACTGAACCTCAGTCTGAAACGGCACAATGAACTTGTGGCCACACTCAGCACAAATCAGAGAAAAACCCTTTGAGTGACATACAAAAACTCTCTGGTATAGGCAGATTTGTGAGCCAGGAACTTTAACTCCCAGCTCTCTCATTGGGTTTGTACGCAGAATGCTAAAATAAAAAAAAATTATATATATATATATATATACACACACATACATATATATATATATATATATATATATATATATATATATATATATATATATATACATACACATATATATATACACACACACACACACACACACACACCTTGAAAGTGGTGTTTATCAGTTGATAAATTAATAAGATAAAAGACTGCAGGGGTGGTACCCTGGCACCTTAACCACCTCAATAAGCTTAACCAGTTCATTAACAAACAAAAAACAACATTTATTTGAAACAACGGGTGCATAGCTAGCATATTCACATACCACAACACAGCAATTTTGTGTAGACTGCTTTGCAGACAAACCTAAACATTATAAACATATTTGGTTAAAGAAAAGCTTAAAAAAATGTATAGTGTGCTTTATTTTGGAATATTTAACACTGGGTCTGGAATACATGCATAAAAGCAAAATTCCAGTTGTCCCTCTTACAGATTTGACATAAATGGTCCAATATCGTTCTTATAGATATTTATATGGACCCTGAAGGCATTACTAGCAGTACAGCTAACTGGAAATGGCAACAGAAGGCAGTAAATACAGTAAAAAAAATAATTAAAAAAAAAAAAAAAAATCACATTTATAATATAAAAATGTATTAAATACTTCTATAGCAATCTTTACCAATGCCTGGACTGTTAAAGTAATGCCAACAGTGAAATTGAAGAGTTCATTCAATGATGATATGACCAATTAAAACTTAATTTACTGTTTGAAAGTGGAGATGAGCTGGCATTTTCAGCAAAACTTGCAGGCATTAAAACAGTGACCTGTGGCATCTGGCAAAGAAAGGTGTTCCTCTACATGCTAGTAATCACCTTGAGTTTACATGAGGGTGAGTGAGGCTTTGTGGAGTAAATGGCTTTCTTCTTATATGAAAAATAAGAACGTTTAGACTTGATTCTGGTGATGAAGTGGTTAAGCAGTTTGGAGGCTAGTGTCCCATTAATGTTAACCTTCTTTTCACAGATAATAGTTCAAATTACTGGCAATATATTGTTTAGTCCAGGGGTAGGCAACATTCGGCACGCCATCTCCCACAAGGCTATCACAGCCATAATGCTGACAGAACATCATGGGTGATGTATTCCACAACATCGGGATTTTTAAAGGTTGCCTACCCCTGGTTTAGCATTTCAAGGGATCTATTTAAATTTTCTTTAGCAGCAGTTATGTTAATATTAATCTCCTCCTCCATGACAATGCTCCTGGGGCCTCCAGCTTTGTAATTATCCCAGCTTAAGAAAGCTTCTCCCTAGCAGAGCAAGCCTTCCTCATGATGCCAACACGCAGGCTTCACTGCCAGTACCTTATATGTGGACATTAGTGATGGCTGATGCTCTCAGCCAATTACCATTGTGAAATGCTCCTCTAATTGCCTTCTGAGCAAATGAGGAGCAAGATAATGTTCTGTAAACAACAACTAACAGTAAACTTTCACTCAGAGACTCAGCACTCAAAGCAACTTGAAATGAAGTTGATTTAACCCCTTAGTGACCAGACCGTTTTTCAGTTTTCTTACTGTTAAGGACCAGGGCTGTTTTTACATTTCGGCGGTGTTTGTGTTTAGCTGTAATTTTCCTCTTATTTACTGTACCCAAACATATTATATACCGTTTTTCCTCACCAGTAAAAGATCTTTTTAAAGATACCATTATATCCATATCATATACTATAAACTTAATTATAAAATATATAAAAAAAAAACCTTGACCCCCAAAAATCTGATACGCATCTACAACTGCCAAAAAACACCCGTGCTAAATAGTTTCTAAATTTTATCCGGAGTTTAGAAATACCCAATGTAAACATGTTCTTAGCTTTTTCTTTTTGCAAGTTATAGGGCAATAAGTACAAGTAGCACTTTGCTATTTCCAAACCATTTTTTCCCCCTCAAAATTAACTAAAGTTACATTGTAACACGGATATCTGTCCGGAAGACAGACAGACAGACATATTTTTTTTTTTTTTTTTTTTAAAAGAAGACAACCAAAAGCAGCAGTTCCCAAACTGGGCACACAGGGGTGCTGCAGAATATTTACCTGTTGCTATAAACATTACGGCTCAACAGGGACCTGGTCGAGTTTCTTTAAGACCGCGACCGGTCCCCTGTAATGTCGGCCGGCTGACATAGCAATTTAAGAATACATGTACTGAGTACTTTAAGGGTTACTGCTAAAGAACACCTCAATATGTGTTCAGCAACATCTCCCGAGTACAACAGTACCTCCAATGTACAGGTTTTATAGGTTTCTGCAAACTTACAGGGGTCAAATGTAGGGCTTTCCCCTTTTCCATGTTTGCACATTGAAATTTGCCAGATTGGTTTGCTGGGCCTATGTTGCCTTTGAGAGCGTATGGCAGCCCAGGAATGAAAATGAACCCCATAATGGCATACCATTTGTAAAAGTAGACAACCCACGGTATTTAAAATGGGGTAGTTCCAGTCTCTTTTAGTAGCCACATAGTCACAAACCCTGGCCAAAATTAGCATTTATGTTTGTTTTGCTTTTTTGCATTTTTTTCCACACATAAACTGACATTTTACCGGCGATACTATCAGTATAATACATTTTACTGCTCTAAAACATTCATTTGTGTAGAGTAATGTCTCACAAACAGGTTTTATGGTGATTTGGAAAGCTATAGGGTCAAACATAAGATTTGCCAATTTTTGTAAATTGCCATTTGCCAGATTGGCTATATTGCCTTTGAGACGGTATGGCAGCCCAAAAATGAAAATGAATCCCACCATGACATACCATTTGAAAAATTAGACAACCCAGGGTATCCAAAAATGGGGTATGTCCAGTCTTTTGAAGTAACCCCAAATGCTTGCCAAAGTGAACGTTCATATTGGTCTTTGCATTTTTACACAAAAACTGCACTTTTACTGGTGATTTCATCGCCGTGATAAGTTTTACTGTTGTAATCACTCATATTTGTGTTCAGCAAAGTCTCAAAGGTATTGCAAATGGGGTATGTCGAGTCTTTTTTAGTAGCCACTTAGTCACAAACACTGGCTCAAATTGGCGTTCAAATTAGTTTTTTGCATTTTTCCACACAAATATTAATGCTTACGCTGACTGGAGATACCCCATTTGCAATACCTTGGGTTGTCTACTATTGCAAATGGTATGCCATCATGGGGGTAATTCTCATTCCTGGACTACCATACGATCTCAAAGGCAACGTAACCAATCTGGCGAATTTCAATGTGAAATACCTGAAAAATGTAATATGCTATATTTGACGCTGTAACTTCCCCAAACAACATAAAACTTATACATAGGGGGTACTGTTTTACACGTGAGACATCTGGTTTGCTATTGAGGCTTGGTAGTGCTAGGGAAGCAAAAACCAAAATGGCTTGACTGGTGTGCAGATTTTTGTTTAACATTGTAATAACTATCCACTTATGTTAAAGGTGACATTATGAAAATAGAAACTTACAGGTATGCTAAAATGCAGCGTCGATTCCGTAGGAGACAGCAATGTCGGAACTTAATTGTTGGTATTAAATCACCGCGGCCTTCAGATTTTGCTTCATTACTGAATAGAAACATAAAATAAAATGTATGAACTTGTCAACTTTAATTCCTGCGGTTGCATTAGTCACGGACCAGGTTTAACTTTATAGCTCGTTAACTTTTTAGAGTGGTACCTAAATTATATAAAGGGAATGTCATGTAAAGTATTTTTTTTAATGTAAACCAAGCTCAGGGCACCAGACAATATAACAAATACATCTGCAATAGCCTTTAATTGGAGACTGTTAAAAGCAGTTAAAGTTAAAGCAATGCAGTTATAGTAAACACGTTCATACAGGCAGAGCCTGATGAATACAATGTGCCTGTCTCAACCATTAAGAACACAATAATACCATAGAGTCCAAATTTTGGGTACAGAAAATGAGTATAAGAACTACTGCTTTATTACATTACTAGCTTTGACCAAGTACACAGGACAGTCTTTTGCTTAACATTTAAAGAGGACTTACACATCTGATTGGTTCTGCTCATACAAAGCTTTCATTTCCTCGAGAACTTGCCTGATTCCATCCTCCTAAAACACACATACGTCAGATACATAAAACACTAGCATTGACTAAAAATACAATACACAGCGACAGCTCAGCAATTACATTCAAATATGCAGAACAAAACCAGAGTTGCATACAGCTTCCAAATACACTGAATAATTCACAAAAATATGGAAAAAAAAACATTGTCATAATTGTACATAACCTTACAAAATCAAATAGATCAATTATTAATGGCTTACTTTGTGGTGCTAAACAATAACTAGCAACATTTTTAATATAATCTGAACCTCTCTGTCCTGGGGTGAACTGGCCAGGGTGCCTACATATTGCATAGCTAAATCCATTAGGATTTCACTTAAGATATGCAATTTAAGAATGAAAGAAAATAAAAAATAAATAAAAAAAAAAAAAAAGTGATTTAGTGGTCATGGAGCTTTGAGTAACCCTTTTATACGTTGTCAAGGCCAATGCCCAGAGTGCTATTTGTGCAGCACAAGCAATTTCAATAAGCTTGCTGTATATTTGGTCTCTGGTTTCCCCAGATACAGCACACCAAAGAACAAAACATGTGCCAGAGGACATTTTGGAGATATGGAAACATAGCATGGTGCTCTAGTCTAGAGCAATAAACTCACAGTAATGTGCAATATGCACGAGTGTGTATTACTGTGCTTTCCAACAAACAAACTCACAGAAATTTACAACATGAATGCGTTTATTTAAAAAACAAAAAACAAAAAAAAAACACCCTAGCAATAAAACATACAGTAAAGATGTAGCAAATGCCTTTAACAATTATTTTGTCAGCTGCTCTACTGCCCTGATTGCCAAGCTAATAAATGACACGCATCCTGAAACTACTAATGTGGATCAGGTCACACTAAATTTGGCCCAACATAGACAAGTTTATTTTTAGACCTGTACCTGTTAGTGTCATTAAAAAAACATCTTCTTAATCTAAAAATGAAAAACCAGTCCGGACCCGATCAAATCCCAGCAATGCTGTTGAAGCTCAGTGCGCCGGCAACTGCTAAACCCGTCTCAACTCTAATTAACGAATCCTTTGTGTCTGGATACATACCCAAACTTTGGAAGACTGCGAGAGTAGTGCCTATCCATAAAAGTGGTGACACTACTTTGGTTTCTAACTATCGCCCAATATCATTGCTCCCAATATTGTCAAAAATCTTAGAAAAATGTGTCCATATGCAACTTTGTGAGTGCTACCAACAACTTAACTATCTGACCCCTGATCAATCGGGCTTTCGCCAGAATCACTCCACTACAACTGCCCTCTTAAAAGTTTGCAATGACATCCAAACTGGCATGGAACAAGGAGCCCTAACTGGAGCTATTTTCCTTGATTTTGCCAAGGCCTTTGACACAGTAGACCACGACATTCTACTGCACAAACTCAAAAACTCAGTTATTGATGATCGTTCACTAACCTGGTTTCGATCGTATGTATCGGATCGCTCACAATATGTGTCCATTTCTGACAGCGACTCCCTCCCTCTCCCAGTCACGTGTGGTGTTCCCAGGGTTCCATTCTCAGCCCCCTACTATTTACATTATTTATAAATCCTCAAATGTACACATGTATGCAGATGACACCGTAATCTATGCGAGCAAATCCAATCTACCGCAACTTGAGGCTGTGCTCTAAGACCAGTTTACAGAGGTAGAAAGGTGGATTGCAAAAAACAAACTCTTCCTGAACACTGACAAAATTGTCACAATGATCTTTGGAACAGTACCTAAATTACACAAATTACACAATTCCCACCTATCCATCAAAACAAATTCAAATGGCACACTGACCGCAGTCCACTCTTTCAAATACTTGGATATGATAGTAGACCCCAACCTATCTTTTGGCCTGCACATAGAAAAGCTTGCATCTAAACTTTATCCAAAACTAGGTGCCCTGTACAGAAACAAATCCTGCCTAAGCCCTACAGTAAAGGAAAAGATTGTACAGCAAATGCTGATGCCAATCATTGATTATGGGGATGTAGTATATGCATTTGCATCGCAATCCCACATTAATAAACTCAACACATTGTATAACTCGTTCTGCCGATTTGTGCTACAATGTAATTACAGGACCCACCATTGTGACATGCTAAAACAACTAAACTGGCTGTCGCTGGAATCCAGACGCACCCTTCATCTTTCCAGCCTTGTGTTTAAGAGCTTTTCTGGGAAACTCCCACCCTACCTGAACAAAATGCTTTCCCCAGCTGTTCACACTTCCTATAAGCTCCGTTCCAGTACCAACACTTTACTTAGTCTAACTCAATACAAAAACAAAACGGCCCGATCCTCCTTCTCCTACAGAGCACCGCAATTGTGGAACGACCTCCCGCACAATTTAAAATCTTCCCTAAGCCTAAAGTCCTTTAAGAAATCCCTCTCTACATACCTCAAAACAGAATGCACCTGTCATGGTTGATTATATATTTCCTACCTGTTCTATGTTAAATTTTGTATTTATTGTGTATTAATATTGGTTTTGTATTTTATTGTACCCTAACGTAACAATGCAATGATTTGTGGACCCAGGACATACTTGAAAATGAGAGAAATCTCAATGTATCTTTCCTGGTAAAATATTTTATAAATAAATAAAAGTCGGCAACGGCTGCCTTGGCCCCTGATCTGCCTGTTTGGCTGACATCAATCAGAAACGGTGGTCTGAGCCAATCACAATGCTTCCCAATAGGATTGGCTGAGATCAAGCAGGCAGAACCAGCACAGCCCTAGCCATGCAACACCCCCTCATAGATACAAGTTGAATCAATGTGGAAAGTTCAGTGTCTTCATGCAGATGGTGTTGAATGGCAGTGCACTGCCCGAGGAAGCACCACAAGAAGCCATCTGAGGAGTGGCCAGTGAAGTTATCACTAGGCTGTAATGTAAACACTGCATTTTCTCTGAAAAGACAGTGTTTACAGCAAAAAGCCTGAAGGTAATGATTCTACACACCAGAACAAATTCAATAAGCTGTAGTTGTTCTGGTGACTGTAGTGTCCCTTTAATGTTGTGGCTAATCTGTGTTTAATTACAGTGCAGCCCAGCATTAACAGTCACAGTAATGCGCAGTGTGTTTGAGAGCATTAAAGAGCTTTACAGCAATAAAACAAAGAGCAATAAGACGTGTTATGGTGCAGACATCATGTCTTATATCTGCATCATAGTTTGGGGGTCTGGACTCTCCCCTGCCCCCACACAGGGCTACCCATGGAAGAGAGAATTATATATACAGTGTGTATATATATATATATATATATATATATATATATAGAAAGAAAGAAAGAAAAAAAAGTCACTGTACCTTGCACTCAGACTCCAATTCCCAAACCGGATGCACTACCAGGGCTCCAAACAGTTATATCAAAAGGTTGCACTCACGGATTCCTTAAAAATTTACTTATAAAAATCGGTCTTGTTTAAATAATAAAAAAAACAAAAAAAACAACGTTTCGGTCCTACTTGAGGACTTTCATCAGGATCCTGATGAAAGTCCTCAAGTAGGACTGAAACGTTTATTATTATTATATTTTATTTTTTTAAACACGACCGATTAAAAGTTAATTTTTAAGGAATCCGTGAGTGCAACCTTTTGAGATAGATGATATAGAGATAGATAGAATATATATATATATATATATATATATATATATATATATATATATATATATATATATATATCTCTGTATAGAGCCCAGTTAGTGTATGTATCTCTGTATAGAGCCCAGTTAGTGTATGTATCTCTGTATAGAGCCCAGTTAGTGTATGTATCTCTGTATAGAGCCCAGTTAGTGTATGTATCTCTGTATAGAGCCCAGTTAGTGTATGTATCTCTGTATAGAGCCCAGTTAGTGTATGTATCTCTGTATAGAGCCCAGTTAGTGTATGTATCTCTGTATAGAGCCCAGTTAGTGTATGTATCTCTGTATAGAGCCCAGTTAGTGTATGTATCTCTGTATAGAGCCCAGTTAGTGTATGTATCTCTGTATAGAGCCCAGTTAGTGTATGTATCTCTGTATAGAGCCCAGTTAGTGTATGTATCTCTGTATAGAGCCCAGTTAGTGTATGTATCTCTGTATAGAGCCCAGTTAGTGTATGTATCTCTGTATAGAGCCCAGTTAGTGTATGTATCTCTGTATAGAGCCCAGTTAGTGTATGTATCTCTGTATAGAGCCCAGTTTATGTATGTATCTCTGTATAGAGCCCAGTTAGTGTATGTATCTCTATATAGAGCCCAGTTAGTGTATGTATCTCTATATAGAGCCCAGTTAGTGTATGTATCTCTATATAGAGCCCAGTTAGTGTATGTATCTCTATATAGAGCCCAGTTAGTGTATGTATCTCTATATAGAGCCCAGTTAGTGTATGTATCTCTATATAGAGCCCAGTTAGTGTATGTATCTCTATATAGAGCCCAGTTAGTGTATGTATCTCTGTATAGAGCCCAGTTAGTGTATGTATCTCTGTATAGAGCCCAGTTAGTGTATGTATCTCTATATAGAGCCCAGTTAGTGTATGTATCTCTATATAGAGCCCAGTTTATGTATGTATCTCTATATAGGAGCCCAGTTAGTGTACATGTATTCTGTATAGAGCCCAGTTAGTGTATGTATTCTGTATAGAGTCTAGTTAGTGTATCTCCTTGTATAGAGTCTTAAAGCTAGTGTATGTATCTCTATATAGAGCCCAGTTAGTGTATGTATCTCTATATAGAGCCCAGTTAGTGTATGTATCTCTGTATAGAGCCCAGTTAGTGTATCTCTGTATAGAGCCCAGTTAGTGTATGTATCTCTGTATAGAGCCCAGTTAGTGTATGTATCTCTGTATAGAGCCCAGTTAGTGTATGTATCTCTGTATAGAGCCCAGTTAGTGTATGTATCTCTGTATAGAGCCCAGTTAGTGTATGTATCTCTGTATAGAGCCCAGTTAGTGTATGTATCTCTGTATAGAGCCCAGTTAGTGTATGTATCTCTGTATAGAGCCCAGTTAGTGTATGTATCTCTGTATAGAGCCCAGTTAGTGTATGTATCTCTGTATAGAGCCCAGTTAGTGTATGTATCTCTGTATAGAGCCCAGTTAGTGTATGTATCTCTGTATAGAGCCCAGTTAGTGTATGTATCTCTGTATAGAGCCCAGTTAGTGTATGTATCTCTGTATAGAGCCCAGTTAGTGTATGTATCTCTGTATAGAGCCCAGTTAGTGTATGTATCTCTGTATAGAGCCCAGTTAGTGTATGTATCTCTATATAGAGCCCAGTTAGTGTATGTATCTCTGTATAGAGCCCAGTTAGTGTATGTATCTCTGTATAGAGCCCAGTTTATGTATGTATCTCTGTATAGAGCCCAGTTTATGTATGTATCTCTGTATAGAGCCCAGTTAGTGTATGTATCTCTATATAGAGCCCAGTTAGTGTATGTATCTCTGTATAGAGCCCAGTTTATGTATGTATCTCTGTATAGAGCCCAGTTAGTGTATGTATCTCTATATAGAGCCCAGTTAGTGTATGTATCTCTATATAGAGCCCAGTTAGTGTATGTATCTCTATATAGAGCCCAGTTAGTGTATGTATCTCTATATAGAGCCCAGTTAGTGTATGTATCTCTATATAGAGCCCAGTTAGTGTATGTATCTCTATATAGAGCCCAGTTAGTGTATGTATCTCTATATAGAGCCCAGTTAGTGTATGTATCTCTGTATAGAGCCCAGTTAGTGTATGTATCTCTATATAGAGCCCAGTTTATGTATGTATCTATCTAGATATCTATCTGTACCAGGAGCACTCACATTAAAGGCAGGGAGCTGTCCATCCGAGGCCCGGTGGAGCTCTCGAATCAGCTCGATCGCCTTCTCACAGAACATCTCACACAGCCTCAATCCCCGGTGATCGCGGACAGCAAACTTGGCGCCACAACCACAGGCTGCCAGGAGAGGAGGGAAAACATGTCTGAAGCCAGGGACGCCATCTTGAATCCTGGCACTGTCTCGCCTTCCCGGTTTATAACACAGAAAGATTCATAACGAGACCGCGCTATCATACAGATATCAGAGTGATTTATAGAAACGTACAGTTTGTGTCAGTCTAATCCCAGCGCTGCACTCTGACACATACTGTAACTCCCCCTGACCGGCGTGGTTCAGGGTGTGCAGGTCAAGTCGGAGAATAAAGCCGTGAATACAATGAATAAAGCACAATAACATAGCTGTGACAGAATGAAGGAGCCATGTTGGTGGAGTCTGGAGCCCATCGTATTGTTTTGGTCTCCAGTAAAATGGCGGCGCTCATTTCATTCTAGATTGACAGCCAGCGAGACCTGCTCTCCACGGAGCCGCCAGCGCAGTCTAACGCACGGACAAGCCCTGGCCATGGAACCTGGCGCCCAATATTAGCCGCCTGTGAGGGAGCTCCTGGTCACGTGGTACGGTAGCCGCGGGAGCCCAGTATTTTAATGTGGTGCGTGATTGCCATGGAGGACCTGGTGCGGGGCTGCTGTCCGCGGGGTCGGAGGTAAGTCCTGGACAGGTAATAAACTCTGTACGGTGAGTGCCCCTCTCACTGAACCCAGGTAGATATATTATTAACTTGTTTTAATGGCTAATATATTTTATCCTCCATGGTGTTAGAGCAGCACTGCCACACACACCCCTGAAACATTAATATTTCACAAAGCTAGATTATTTATTAAATAATCACATTTACTGTTTTATTTTTACTGGAATTCCAACCCAGTCAAGAGATCTAGTAAAACAAAGTAGGGATAACTTTGTCTCTGTATATTTCCAATGCCTGACACCTCCAGACACTGGATGGTGCCACCTCGTCTAGAAGTTGCGTGCCTCCTTGCACCTCCTGGTACTCCACTGTCCAGACACGGCCATTGCAACACTGACCGACACACTCACTGAGTCACTGACAGGCAGACAGACACACACAGAAAGACACTGACAGACACACACACACTGACAGACACACACACTGACAGACACACACACTGACAGACACAAACTAACCGACGCACAGAAAGACACTGACAGACACACTCACTGACAGACACACACACTAACCGACGCACAGAAAGACACTGACACACACACACACTCACTGACAGACACACACACACATTCTTGCACACACTCACATCATTCTCTGGTGTCCAGTGGGGATCTTCTCTCAGGAGATCTCCCTGCTCCTCACTGCTCTCTCGTGCGCAGTTTAGTGGTGCCGGCATGACGTCATATTCCGGCACCCGGCATCACTACAGACGGCAAGCGAGGGAACAGTGAGGAGCAGTAAGACTGAGCTCCCTCGCTGCCGCCAGCTTCCTGCTTCTTCTCCAGCCGGGTGAATTTTAGCAGAGTAGGCACCTGCAATGTACCCGTGAGGTACAGGTTCAGATATGTAGCTCAAACTAGAAGTATGCACATCTCTCTAGTAAAACTCCAATGAAATGCTGTGCGCCTATCCTCGCCTCCAAGCAGCCAACAGAGAGTCGAAATTAGTGCAGGGCTTAGGTCATTAGCGGAGGGCGATGAGTTAATGCTTTCAACCAATGAGCTAGCAGGGTGTCACTTACCGTTTCCTGGGTGGTCTGCTTAGGTGGTCTCTCCTCTGAACAGTATCTGCGGGTAGCTCAATCACTCTGTATTTCGATCTTTTATTCTTTGGATGCTGTGTTATTTTACACGCTTGATAATTTTTTGTACATATGATACTGGAACTATCTCAGCATACACAAGTATTTCTACAAATTTTTTTTAAATAATGTGCTACTTTTTCCATTACCTTTTTTTCATTTGTGGAGTGTTTGTATTTACCCATGAGTTTTGGAGGGGGGCCATGGTGGATTAATGGGGGACTCCCTTTCTAAGCTTCAAAGTCTCCTCTTATGTTTAAATCACTCTGTGCTTATTCCGGGGACAGGATGACAGGAAACACCAGGCTGGCCTGCCCAGATCAGACTTCCACCACAGAATGATTGTCTGTGAGGGCTCCATGCGCCTGACCAGGACATACCTGCAAACTTTGTGGAACTGCCAAGCGGATAAGAACTTTCAAACAGCCCGCTGAAACTTTAATCTTAGGTAGCTCGGACCCCCTGTGATGGATAACAGCTCAATCTTGCCTGTTCGTGCGCTCAGGGATACCACATATGTGGTGTTTTTTGATGTTTATATGTGTGTTTTGGGGATATTCTGTTAAGGAAAGGTGTCTGAGTGGGATTTCCATTGTTTCAGTTAACGACCAACTACCGGGGGTCTGTGTATAAATATGTACATTTGAACCAAATAAAGTGTCGTTATTTTTCACCCTTTATTAAGTCTATGCTGATGTCTGGGATGAGTATTGAGCTCTGTTACACGCAACCTAAAGTAAAGGGAATAAAGCTGGGGTAATATTAGCATGTAAATAAAAAAAACTAAATATACGCAAACTTAAATTCCATATGTACTAGCTACTGACAGCACGAAAATAGCAAACCCTATAGTTCTAGCCAACAAATGTTCTTATTTTTACGAGTCTTTGTACACTATCAAAAGATCAAACTGCTGCTCCACATACACAAGCTTATATAGATAAGTTGCTTTATGAGTTTAGACCCCCAAATCTTTACCTGGAACAGATTCGCGACATAGACCAACCATTTACTCCTATCTACAATTAAAATACTTCTTCCCTAATACCTCAAAAAGATTCTCAAATGTTTAATATTTTAAATATTCATGCATTCTAACCCAGCATTTAATTAATATTTTTAACCACATAATGGAAACAGGACTTATCCATCCTGAGATGTTCGAAGCTAATGTAGTTACACAACACAAACCTTGCAAACTGACAACTTGCTGCTCAAATTTCTGCTCTATTTCACTACTGGACTCAGATACAAAGTTATGTGCCAAAGTGCTAGCTAATAGACTAAAGCCTATGCTTTAATTATTAGTTTCTGAAGAACAAGTGGGCTTTGTATCAGGATGCCAAGCAGGAGACTACACCGGGCACTTTATAGATTTAATTGAACTCCTGAGAAGGGAATGAGAACCAGAGCTTTTATTGGCGCTTGATGCTGAAAAGGCCTTTGATTGTCTGAATTGGCTTTATATATGTAATCTGCACTGCGCAGGTTCAGTTTCCCATTGCTATTCCTTCTCAACACTTCCATATAACAACTAGAACTAGGCAGGGGTGCCCCCTTTCTCTATTGATCTTTAATTTAGCATTAGAATCTCTCAACATGTTACAAATAACCAAGGAATTAGAGGCCTAACATAGGAGAACAAATATTATAACTGCCTTCAGACGGTGTGGTGATCTTACAGACGAATCCACAGAAGTCTTTACCAAAATTGAGACAATACAGTAGTATTGGCTGGTCTAATTTTATAAAAACAATGTTTCAAAACCTCAAGCTTTACCAATAGGCTTATCTAAAGAACTCAAACGATCTATGTCACATACCTTTCAATTTGAATGGAGGGGAAAATCTCTAACTTATCTGGGAATTCAATTAGCTACTTAGAGGCAGAGCATGTTAGCTGAAAATCACTGTAAATTTTTATCCAAAATTCAAGGGATGGTGGACTAGTGGATTGCTGAAGCAATGTCGTGGCTGGGCCGCATCAATTCAATTAAAATGATTCTGCAGTTGACCCAATATATCCAGAACCATTCCCATCGTTATTCCCAAAACCATTCTGTCCAAATTTAAAAAAATACTTAATGCTCATATTTGGAAACGTAAACCTGCAAGGATATCCTGTAACTCTTTAGTATTCAAAACCCTGTAGATCAAAGGATATCCCACAGTTCTTTAGGATTGAACATTTATGAGGGTGGCTTGGAAGTTCCAGTGGTGCAAAAATATTTGACTCCCACAATATTGGCACAGACTCACACACTTCCCAGTATGCAGTAAGCTCCTCTTTGGCTTAAGCTGGAGGACTCTCTTATATGTCCCCACTCTCTTGCACTTGTTCTGGATACCACAACAACTACTGCCCCCGATGCTTCATCCTCTTGCCACAACGAATCTCTTATTGAATGTATGGCATAAATAGACTCACAAGTTAGTCATGTTGCACTGCCGATGTTGACGTCTCCTTAGCCTGAGATAGTACACACCCGACCTAAGATTAGATGCGCAGGTTAAGGCTGGCATCCCGTAGGTGTCACAGGTAGTGGAAGTGGAGGGAATTATAGAGTTCCCTGACCTACAAAGTAGTTTTAAGCTCCGCCATAGAGAACCTTTTAAATTACCTCTGTTTAAAAAATATTATGAGAAAGGAATTGGTTCTCTCAGATACTACAGAGTTGACTGCATTTGGACATGTGTGTATTGCAATTAAGTGTACTTTTAAACCTCTATCATTATGTTATGCTATCCCAACAGACCTTTCCAGACTCGCTAAACCCACTTATAGAAATATAGAATGTGACGGCAGATGAGAGCCATTCGGCCCATCTAGTCTGCTCAGTTTCCCCAAAAATATGCTCTAGTTTGAGAAAGACTTAAACACTTTTCACCGTAACAGTGGGATTTAGCGGCATCCCAAAGGAAAGGAACCACACATTGCCTAAATCGTATTAAATCCACTAAAAAAAGGCACATATTTATTCCAATGCCTTGTCTCTTTTGTTGGAGGTGCTGTAAGGCTACCTATTTTGGTATTGTTCAAACTTTGATATTTATTCTATTGGGAGAAAACATTTCATTACAACTGGAAGTTTATTTTCTGGATATGCTGTCCACTTCTTTGGCAAAAGTGGAAAGGGCCATTATTTTGCAAATACTAATAGCGGTCAGATGCTCATTAGCAGGAGCTTGAAAATCTTCCCAGCCTCCATCTGAGTTTTTGGTTCTGTAGAAGTTGGCTTGTAACAAAATGTATGAAGAAATGTCACAGAAAATGGAGGGGTACAATGCATAAATTTGTGCAGACATGGGCCCAGTGGCACATGGTTCTTGTGTATAACAAGGGTGTCTGATAGAAAACTTTACTTATAGGATGTAAACCCTTTACTATATTTGTGTGCTGCACATGCCTGTTTACGGTGTAAAGCCCATGTGTTGATTTCTACATGTATAATGAAAAATCAACTAATAAAAATTTAAACACGTAAAACAAAAAACCAAAGGGTGGAATTGTGGTAGAATGAATGCATGACAAAAGTGCAAAAAGTGCTTTACATCTAAAAATAGCCTTGGCCCTTAAAGGACCACTATAGTGCCCTGAGGGTGCCCCCACCCTCAGGGTCCCCCTCCCGCCCGGCTCTGGAAGGGGGAAAGGGGTAAAAACTTACCTTTTTCCAACGCTGGGCGGGGAGCTCTCTGCCACCTCTCCTCCTCCGATCCGCCCTGTCGGCTGAATGCGCACGCGTGGCAAGAGCTGCGCGCGCATTCAGCCGGTCGCATAGGAAAGCATTCATAATGCTTTCCTATGGACGCTGGCGTGCTCTCACTGTGATTTTCACAGTGAGAATCACGCAAGCGCCTCTAGCGGCTGTCAATGAGACAGCCACTAGAGGATTTGGAGGAAGGCTTAACCCATTGATAAACATAGCAGTTTCTCTGAAACTGCTATGTTTATAAAAAAAATGGGTTAACCCTAGAAGGACCTGGCACCCAGACCACTTCATTAAGCTGAAGTGGTCTGGGTGCCTAGAGTGGTCCTTCAAGGGATTCATCCATATTTTGAATATTTTTGGGGTTTTTACAGCGGCACATGTATGATGAAAATTTGACAGGTGAGGGGCTATACTTTTACATTTGAAATATTTCAGTCTTTACATTTGCAAGGTATAAATTATTTGATAAAATTTCTTTCTGTAGAAAGTAATACATCAGTGTACCAATGACAGATGCACATTAAACAATTTTGTATGTGGGGAGCCATTTAATATTGTACATGCCAATAGGGCATTATAAATCGGATTATCAGATCCACCATGTTTTCAGGGACAAAACCCATATTTATATTGATTGGCAGCACATGAAAAGGGTTGCCATATAGTATGTAGAAAATTTATAAGAAGGTGTATAACATTAATTCAGCAATGAGAAATCCTGCAGAATATGCATTATTCATACTGCAGGGCAACCCATTTAATGCATTTCATAAATATGACAATTATGTGTCCCTGAAAACATGGTAAATCTGGTAAATCTTAATTATAAAGTTTAAAAAAAAAAAAAAAAGATTGTGAGAAGGGTTATTTTAACCCCTTAAGGACGGAGGGCGTGCTATGTCATCCTTGGGGACCCGGCTCTAAACGCTGGATGGCAGCATAGTACGTCCACGCCGTCCTTTGTACTTACCCGCTCGCCAGGGATCGCGGTGGGAGGACTTATGTGTCATGTCAGGGAGTCCTCTTGCTGCCGTTCCGGCCCTCCTGGGCCATGTGATCGCGAGGTCCTTGCGAGGACCTAACGATCACATGGACGGCATAACTGTCCACAGCAGTGCCAGCAGGGGGAGTGCCTGCAATGACAGGTAGTCCCCCTGCTGCCTGTAAAAAGTAAAATAAAAGTATTAAAAACAGTTTAAAATAAAATATATACTATATATTAAATCATATTATTTATATATATATATATATATATATATATATTTATGATCTAAGTGATATATATATACACATACACTAAGTGTATTTTAATATTAAAATATATATATATATATATATATATATATTAATATCAAAATAAACATAGAATGATATTGATTAAATATATATCATAATATATATATATATATATATATATATATAAAATAAATATGTAAATACGTTAAATAAAAATTAAAAAAATATATATGTGTAATTTCGTTCTAACTGTATTTTGATATTAAAGGGACACTATAGTCACCCAGACCACTTAAGCTCAATGAAGTGGTCTGGGTGCCAGGTCCCTCAGATTTTAACCCTTCAGATGTAAACATAGCAGTTTCAGAGAAAATAGCTTGATGCGCGCTTCGGCTTGTGAGCACGCCGTTGTCAGGAGAAATGTCAGTGAGTTGGCCCCAGTGTCTGTTTTATAAGTCCTCAATTGTTAATCAATCACTAAGTGTGAATTGCTGAGCCAAGGGGGTGTGTAGAGCACATCCTATCATGATCATTATATTTCTATACTATTCATTGGTCTCGTCCGATAGGAGGCGGTACTAGGTACACCCCTCCCGCCCCCCCACCCCGATTTTATGTTAACTCTCCGATTAGGACACTTCAGTCAATTTCTGTCTACTTTGTATGTTATTTCCCAATCTTAGGGAGAGTAACATTGGGCATTTTTTGGTACTGACCCACTAGCCCCCTCCATGCTCACAGGATGGGTGAAGACAGTGGAAGAGGACCTCAAAAGTGTTGGGGTTGACTAAACTGCCACAGATGCAGCCCTGGATCACTGCAAAAGCAATGCAGCACCCTGACTACACAACTAGCTACTATGGAGGATAAGGCAAAGGCACGGAACGTGAGGAACCGAGGGGTGCCTGAATCGGTCACTGGCTGATAGCCACACTGCTACTACCCAAACAAGTAAAACAAATAGGGGTGGACTCTTGTTTTTGGCTCCCCAAAGCAACTTAAGCTCCTCAGAGGGCTCCCAGGGATGTACTTGTCAAATTTATTCGAGACTCTGACCGGGGGGTTTTCATGGGAGCCACAAGAGGCCCGCCCACGGTTCCCTTTGAAGGGGTGCACCTAACTTTTTACAGAGACATTTCCAGGCACGCTCTGACGTGGAGAAGGTCTCTCAGACAAATTACTCAGCAGCTTCGAGAGCACTCCATCACATATAAATGGGGGCAGCACCGACTGATGGCAGAGTAAGCAGGCGAGATGCACCTCCTAACGCACAAATCAGAAGCACCGGCTTTTCTTCGGGCACTGGGCCTACCAATGGAGGCGACGCCAGCGGGTACCCGCCCTTCATGGACTGTCGCAAGCATCAACTCATTTGTGCCCAGAGGAACAAGAACGGGCACACCTGACTCACCTACTTGAAACCAGCAACGTCTGCTGCCCGTGCTACCGCTCGTAGTTTTGTTTAACAATGTTTGATACTGTAATATTTTTATATAAGTTCACTAATATTTTATTTCCTCTTGTATATACATATGAATGTTACCTCTATCTGGCTCTGCAATCTAACAGCCAGTCATCATGCCCTGTTATTTACCCCCACCCCTTCCTCCTATCTTAACATGCTCCTTCCCCTAATAAGTGAGCAAGCGCTCTACGGCACGTTTATCATCCGACCTAGCTGGCACAACTACCCATTGGGTAACCGCCAAGAAAGAACTAGGTTCTTACATACTTCAATTAGAAAAAAGAGAGAAAAGAGAAAAGATGGAGCCTTTAATGACTGGTACCTCCATGTGGGGGATAACCCCTAATTAAAGTAGAATAAAGAATTGGAGGTTACCATACTAAATAATTTTAAAAAAGCAGGGAATCACTTTAATGGTATACAGGATGAAATAATGTGTAAAATAAAATGTCACTTTTAATCTGATAGCTAAAAAGACCCTTAAATATAAGGGCTAGATATATATCAATTTTCACACGGACACACAAACTCTAAATAACGAGAATGAATAAAATCAAAATAATGTAAATTGTAATCTCCAGAAACCGTCCTATGTCAAGATTTTGCAATAGTATCTGCAGTTTAATACTGACAGGTAAAACTGGAGTGTAGTTATGGTAAAGGTTCTCAAATGTAACCTAAGTGGACAAAAATTAACCACTAAAAACAGGGCTGTGCTATGATAACTTAATAGTTGACCATGCTATCTAAGTATTTTATGTGTGAAGCCCACGTTATTCCAAGCAAGAAAATACTTTTAGCGAGGAGCCACATCCACAACTTTATAACTCTACTATCGATCTGCTAAAGTGGCAACCAGTTAAACGATTTCGGCAAAATGTCTACTAAACAGTGAGCTAACAAATGGCCCCATGGTGGGGCATCTATTAACTAGTGGGGGTGACGACATAGTGTCCCCCCTCCTGAGCCCCGCGAGTGGGGTCTATAAAAGTAAATGGGGGACATAGGGTCCACCTTGGCCCCCACCCATGAGCGGCAGGTGGGGGCCCTAAATTACAATAGGGGGGGACCTATTGTCCTCCCCCACCCATGAGCTGCGGGTGGGGGCCCTAAATTTAAAATGGGGGACACGTATTGTCCTCCCCCCGGCCCCCACCCATGAGCTGCGGGTGGGGACTAAGTGTAAATAACCCCCCCACAGATGACTAAGGGTCTATTCACCCCCCCACCCAAAAAAAAAAATTGATAAATTGCTACCTATCCCCTCACCCTAAAAATAGCGAGGAGGGGGGGAACGAGAAAACTAAATCCCTGTAAATAAAACATAACTTATCATTTAATGTCTTCTTTTTTCTAAAATCCTCTTTTTTTCAGCCCCAAAAAAGGGCAAATAAAAATCCATAATACCCGTCGAACTTTGAAAATAAAATAAAAAACCAGAGCGCAAAAAAAAAAAGACGAAAAAAAACCATGCGCTAAAAAAGGTAATCCATCTTGATCCAAGGAGGGCACGGCGCAGACTGGAGGGCACGGCGCAGAGCTCTGCAGGGTGGGGAAAGTCTTATAAAGCCTCTCCACGCCCTGCAATTAGGCTCAGAGATCTCTGATTGGTTGGTTTAAGCCAACCAATCAGAGTGCTCTGACAGGTAGAAGAAGAGACTGACATTCTTTGGAATTTTCCCATGCTGTGTAATTTGACTCATAACAAAACTCTGGTTGCTTTCAATCAACCAATCAGAGAGTTATGAGTCAAATTACACAGCATGGGCCCCCACTCGCAGCTCATGGATGGGGCGGGGGGGAGGACAATAGGTCCCCTCCCTGTTGTAATTTAGGGCCCCCACCCGCCGCTCATGGGTGGGGGTCTGGGCGGTACTTGGTATTCTAATTTAGGGCCCCAACCCTAATTTAGGGCCCCAACCCTCCGCTCAGGGGTGTGGGCCAGGGGCGAGAACCATAGGACCCCGTCCCCCATTTTCATTTAGGGCCCCCACCCGCAGCTCATGGGTGGGGGCTGGGGGGAGGATACTTGTTTCCTCCCTCCCTTATTGTAATTTAGGGCCCCCACCCGCTGTTCAGGGGTTGGGGCCTGGTGGGAGGACAAAACCCCCATTTTCATTTAGGGCCTCCACCCTCCTCACGGGTGGGGGCTGGGGGGGGGGCAGGAGGACAATAGGTCCCCCCCCTTATTGTAATTTAGGGCCCCCACCCACCACTATGATCCCCCCAGGCTAGTTAAAGGATGCCCCACCATGGGTCCATTTTTTCAGGGGGGTTATTTATTTAAAAAAAGATATGGCAAGTAGGAGCAGATTAATTACGAATACCAAGTGATTTTCACTTAGTATTAGTAAAGTTGGCTTAAAGACCAATTTAGGTCTTTCAGCCTTTTGGTAGATGGCTCCCTAATACCGTGGGCTGCAAGATGCAGGCGCGGTCGGATCTGAATTTCATTCATTCTAATGAAATTTCGAACCGAACAAAAGTCCTGAATTTTGTCCTAACACGAATAGATGAACTGCTTTCATTCTGTCAGGACAAAATTCTGTAGTTTTGCTGGTGTTTGGAAATACGCAAAGGAGGCATCGCGACAACACAGAGGAAAGGTGAGAATTGTGGAAAAATTGCTTTGACCACAGGAAACGGAGCACACTTTGTTTCTCCGCTGGTCAAAGCTGGTCAATCGTTGGAAACCTCCAAAAGACAAAGTAGTCCCTACTTTGTCTTATGTTTTAAACAAAACTAGATCAGATAGGAAGAAACGGAGAACAGATCCTGACAGAGGGAGAGAAGAGGAAGTGATTGAAGAAAGGTAAGTTCAGCATGACAGTGCCGCTTTAATATTTCAATATTTTTCCAAGGTGCCTCAAGTTAAAATAATCTCCTAGGATGTATACATGTACAGCCCAGCAGCATATACTGGGCCCCTGTTCGGCAGAAATGCTTGCCGTTCAAGCGCAGATCCAGAACCTAATCTCGGGGGGGGGGGGGATGGGCACTGATATATTATGTAAAGAAACAATCCAGGCACAATAACCACTACAGCACTTTGTATTGGTTATGGTGCCGGTAGTGCCCTCCTAGAGTAAGGAGTCAAACTGTTTAAGAACAGTTTGACAACTTACCTGGGATCTGTCAGGATAGGGGCTATAGTAGAGGATAGGGGCAGTAGTGTGTCTGTGGGGTGCAATATGTGTGTGTGTTAGGGGTACAGTGTGCGTGGGTGTACGGGGGTGCATTGTGTGTGTGAAGGATGCAGTATGTGTGTGTGAGGGGTGCAGTGTGTGTATATGAGGCAGTTTTTGTGCGTGAGGGGTACAGTATGTGTGAGTGGTACAGTGTGGGGTCAGATTGTGTGAGGGGTACAGTGTGTGTGTGGGGGGGCAGTGTGTGAGGGCTACTGTTTGTGTGTATGGAGGGGCAGTGTGTATGTATGGGGGGTAATTGTGGGTCTTAGGGGGTAGGAGGGTAGATAAAAATATACTGTAAATTTTTTTTCTGTTAATAAAAAAATCTAATAATTATTTTAATATCCCCCCCCTCCCCCCTGCTTACCTTTGCCTGGGAGGGGGGACAGTACTAATCCCTAGTGTTCCGATGGATAAGCCCTGGTGGTCCCAGTCATGAGAGTAAACTCTATCAGCCTCAGTGGTAACCATGGCAATGCTCCGAGCTCGCTAGTGTAGAACTCGGCGGAGCTGCGAGTTAGAGCCCCCCAAGGTCCTCTCTCCTCCCCTCCCGGCTGCCAGCAGAACATTGCTATCAGGCCAGAGAGGGAGATCTCAGCTCTCCCTTCCGGTCCTGCAGAGCCGGCAGGGGAGAGGGAGGCACAATTTCCTGGTGCTATGATCATAGCACTGGGAAAATATCTTGTTACTCCCCTGTGTACTAATAATCTTAATTTTAGTAATGACAGGAGGTGAGTATTTTGCCTAATCTCTCTTTACTAGCTCCACAGCAGCAAAGAAACACATAGAAAAAAAGAACCAATCACAAGAGTGTAGGATGTACATGTAATGACCTAATCACTTCTTCTTTCAGAAAACGACATCAAGCAGAAGCAAACTTCCCCGTGAAGTCCACACAAACAACCAAAATGTTTTCAGGGACGAATCAAAATCCGAAGGGGCAAACTTCCAGAGAATTTCACATGAACAACCAAATGTCTTCAGTGACGAATCATACTGAAAAGAGAATGTGTGACAGGTTTAGATACAGTCATGAACGTGGAAATCCAAGTAATGTACCGTATACATCATCCCATAGCAGTAAATTGAAATTACAATCTGATAACTGAATAACTATTATGTAACTCCAATGACAATTCCTTACTAATGTAAATAAAAGCATCAATGCAAACACAAAATAATAGGAGCCCAATCTACCTTAGACCAGTGACACCTTAAAAGAAAACGAACAGAAAGGGGGAGGGGGGATTGTGAAGCAGGGAGGGAAAATACTCGCCTCCTGTCATTACTAAAATTAAGATTATTAGTACACTAAAGCTAGCATAATCTTTAATTTTACAATATGACAGGAAGCTTCATATTTTGCATTTTCAACGCAGAGAAAGGAATAGAAAACTAAAGAAGAAGCCGAAAGTACAATGAGATACCTAGCACATCTGGGCTACAGGGGAAACCTCCCCGTCATACCCCCGAACATCCGGTACCTGACGGAAAGCCACCAGACCAAGTATAAAAGTCTCTCAATAGATGCACAGTCCCATAGAAAAAACGGAGAACGACCTCCACAGTTAGTTGGTACATAAGAGGATCCTTGTCGATTGGGAGTCCCCAGACCGGGACATGGGCCGTTGAGCCGTCCAAACCACCACATAATGGATCAAGGTACTGTTCCAAACACCAATCAGAACGGGAACGCCCAGATGGAATGGTAGCATCGTCACATCCCTAGGGCCCAAGAGACTCCTAAGAGGTCCCTAGCAGCCTGTGATAGTCCGCTGTTCTGCCAAGAACCCCATGAAGAGTCCAGGCCACCAGGGTCAGCCGACCCTCCAGGAATAGAAGATATGGTTTCCCTTCGGGTCCATGAGAATAGTAGGATATGAATGTAGGAGGTGGAGATGCTCACCAGTCAGTCCCGTAAGGTCCTGGGAACAAGGTTAACTCTGTCACAGCGGGACGGCCAAGGCGGTGTTATCCGCTGAACAACGAGATGATGCAGAATTTTTGCCATCATTGCAGAGGAGGGAAAAAGCATACGTCCCCCGGGGAGACCCAGTTGGCTGGAATGCGAACACCATTGTGCACCATCGTGCATTCTGGCAGTCCCTCTTATATGTGTCTCCCCCGGGAGATAGGCCAACCTTGTGGTTCTGCGAGGTAGGCAGGAATTGAAGATGCCTTTCGTGATGTCTGATAAAAGACGGGAGTTAGTTCAGTCCTGGTGATTGTTATACCTGATTGTCGATGCAACTGAAGGAGTACTCTTTTACAAGTCTGGTGTCACGGTGTTGCAGTGGAGGACCGTGTGAATATTTCTTGAGGATAGAGTGGACCTATGAAGGGGAAAGCTTCCTTATGTAAGGCGTGGAGTCGCTTATGAATCCTAAGAAGCGGATCATCCACTATGAAACACGACGATTCCAGCTGGACCACAGAGAAACTCGAGTGTAGACGCAGTATTGAGTTCCCTGAATCTACCCGCAGGAGATTGTCCAGGAAGATAACGCCACATCATCCCCATACGTAACGTGGTTTCATGAAGTCCTCAAGGATCCAAGCTGAGGGGTCAGGTGAAGAGCCGAGGTTGATTGTGTCACAGGAGACCTAGATAACGTCAAGAGGGTTGGAAAAAGATCACCATGACATGTCTTCATATCCAGTTTTGTGTGTTTCTTGCTGCTGTGGAGCTAGTAAAGAGAGATTATGCAAAATACTCACCTCCTGTCATTACTAAAATTAAGATTATTAGTACACAGGGGAGCCGCAAGATATTTTCCAGGTGCTATGATCATAGCACCGGGAACTGTGCCTCTGAGATCTCACTCTCTGACCTGCTAGCAATGTACTGCTGGCAGCTGGGAGGGGAGGAGAGAGGACCTGGGGGGGGCTCTAATTTGCAGCTCTGCCGAGTTCTACTCTAGCGAGCTCGAAGCGTTGCCATGGTTATCACTGAGGCTGCTAGAGTTTACTCTCATCACTGGGACCACCAGGGCTTATCCACTGGAACACCAGGGATTAGTACTGTCCCCCCTCCCAGGCAACGGTAAGCAGGGAGGGGGATATTAAAATAATTATTATATTTTGTTAATTAACAGAAAAAAAAAATTAAATATATTTATCTACCCTCCTAACCTCTAAGACCCACAATTACCCCCCATACACACACACACACTGCCCCTACGTACACACACACAGTAGCCCTCACACACTGCCACCACACACACACTGTACCCCTCACACTATCTGACCCCCACACTGTACCCCTCACACACACACACACTGTACCCTTAACGCACAAACTGCCTCATATACACACAGACTGCATCCTTCACACACACAATGCACCCCCGTACACTCACTGCACCGCACGCACACTGCACCCCTCACACACACACAAATTGCACCCCTCAGACACAGTACTGCCCCTATCCTCTACTATAGCCCCTATCCTGACAGATCCCAGGTAAGTTGTCAAACTGTTCTTAAATACCCCTCAGGAAGGTTAGGGTCTTAATGAGGGCAGCGGGACCATAAATGTGTGTAAGAAGTTCCTTCAGGAAAAAGTGTGCCTTGTGCCTGGGGTCCCAAGCGTATACGGACATCCTCTATAGAGGCAACAAAGCCGCCGGTGCATAAAGTAGCCAGGCGATCGAGAAGGGAACCAGTCTCTCGAACATGGTTGAAGGATGTGTAGGTTACACAACCATTGACCAGTAAGGTTCAGGGTCGCTACCATGTCTTCTCGGTCAGTAACGTGCAAGGCACCGTCATCTTGGTAGGTACCTGCGGATCCCCCAGAAAGAAGTAGGCAGGTAGGCTTATCGTGATATGGGATACCCCTGTAGAAGGCACAAGCCAGTAAGCAGTCTCAGGATGCAAGGCAAACAGATCAGCCTACCATAGTAGAAGGCAGTGTTCACAGAAACCACTGCAGGTTTGTACTCTGAACAATGGCCAAATAAAATAGACTGGGACTCACCCAGTAAATAGAAGTTGCAACAGCATGCCTCCACTCAGCAGCACACACATAGTAGGGCCTCACCCTAGGAGCACAGAGTATGAACCCTTAAGTGCTGGCCACAGCCATGATCGAGAGCGTCAATCAGTTCTCCCACAATTAATTCGCTGTCAAGGGAGATATGCCTTGAGGCAGGCAGTGTTTAAATCCTGTCCAGCAGTTAGCCAAGGCTGCAAATGCATGCCTCCATTCAGCATTGCAGTGCAGCGCACATATAGTAGGGACTTCATCCCGGGTGCACAGGTTATGACCCCTAAGTGTTGGCCACAGCCCTGATATAGAGCATAAAGCCGTTCTCCAACCATAACTCACTGTCGAAGGAGATATCCTGTCAAGCAGGAAGTGTTGAAAATCCTGTCCAGCGGTTAACAGAGGTTGTCACATTATGTCTTCCCTCAGCAGAATAGTGTGGCGCACATATAGTGGGGGCCTAACCCCAGGTGCAAAGGGTATGAACTCTTAAGTGCTGGCCACAGCTCCGATAGAGAGCATAAATCAGTTTTCCAACAATTAAATTCGCTGTCAAGGGAGATATTCCTTAAAGCAGGGAAATCCTGTCTAGCAGTTAAGTGTTTGTAATGGCATGTCTATACAGTAGTGCAGATCTAGTAGGTGCACAGGGTATAAACCCTTAAGCTCTATTCTATGAAGCCAGAAGTGCTGAAAATTGTGTCCAGTAGCTAACAGGCTGACATTCAGCAAAATAGAGTAGCGTATACACAGCGGGGGTTCACCCTAGGTACACAGGGTATGAACCCTTCAAGTGTGGGTCACGGCCGTATAGAGTGCATCAATCTGTGTTTAAACAGACGTTTTAAGGTTGTGGTTATTTCTCTTTAACCAGAACCAAAGGGTATATCTCTTTAGCCATATCTCCTGGGAATTCTGTTCAGCAGCTGTAATAGCCTGACTCCATTCCTTGAGACCCTCAGAGAAGAGAAGATAAGGAGGGGAGAGGGCCAAGGACCCATAACAAGATAAAAGTATAAACACAATATAGAAACCCAGATGCCCATAGCATAGAAGCACAGTAAAACAAATTGCAGCCTATTGAAAGACAATCCCAAAACAGTCCAAAAAGGCAATAGAAATACAAATTAATGGAGAAGAGTAATACTCTGACCTGTCTGCTTGATGGAGCAGCAAAGAAAGAGGAAGTGATTAGGTAATTACAGCTCATGTACATCATACCCTCTTGTGATTGGTTCTTTTTTTTTTATGTGTTTCTTTGCTGCGGTGGAGCTAGTAAAGAGAGATTATGCAAAATACAAAGCCTCCTGTCATGTTGTAAAATGTATAAAGCGCCAGCAAATTCCGCAGAGCTGTGCAATAGTTGGACCAACAGACAAGTATTTGCAACAAGACAAGTTGGACGTACAGGAACAGAGGGTGTTGAGGGCCCTGCTCAAACAAGCTTACATTCTAGTGTTTGCGTTCCTTTAATGGAAATAAATATCAGAAATGCATAATTATCGTATTAGGCTGTATGAAAAAGGTATTTTAAAAATTATTTTCTATTTCATTGTGCCATGTTCTGTTTTGCTGTTTCCTTTACCATGATAGCTCTGAATTATAGGTTGAGGGGGTTTTGCTTGTGCAGGCTTGTACTTTCAAGTATACAAAAAAAAACAGAGAAAAGGCTGCGCCAAAATATTGTACAGATAAAAAAGAGTCCCAGTATTAAATGTTGTCCGAACTGGTATGGTGTCTTCTTTGTTAATAGTCGTCCGTCTCACGATATGAAAGACACAATGGGAAAGAACCAGTCGTGCAGATTGTATAAATAAGTGATAGTGAAGTTAAAATATAAATTGCGCACTCACATTTCCATGAGCTAGGACCAGCTCTAGTATGTTGGGCATACAGCGGATAACCCTCCGCTTATGGGGGTGCTTGTCCTCCTGGAGAGTGCTGGTGTCCAATTCTCAGGAAAAGAAAAAAACACAGTCCTTTCTGCACTCTATTATTCGCGTGGGTGGTACAATCCCCACCTTAGGATATGCCAGGAACAGTAAATGAAGATAAAATAGTAAAAAGGATAAATTATATAAAGTAGTTTATTAATATAGTCTATTATAGTCTTTATATAATTTATCCTTTTTACTATTTTATCTTCATTTACTGTTCCTGGCATATCCTAAGGTGGGGATTGTACCACCCACGCGAATAATAGAGTGCAGAAACGACTCACTCTACTTGTGAGTATATTTTATTTATTTTTAATTCCTTTGCTAACTACCTCACCAGAGAGCACTATTGGCTGTGTTTTTCTTTTCCTGAGAATTGGACACCAGCACTCTCCAGGAGGACAAGCACCCCCATAAGCGGAGGGTTATCCGCTGAATGCCCAACATACTAGAGCTGGTCCTAGCTCATGGAAATGTGAGTGCGCAATTTATATTTTAACTTCACTATCACTTATTTATACAATCTGCACGACTGGTTCTTTCCCATTGTGTCTTTCATATCGTGAGACGGACGACTATTAACAAAGAAGACACCATACCAGTTCGGACAACATTTAATACTGGGACTCTTTTTTTGGCCCAGCCTTTTCTCTGTTTTTTTTGTATACTCTTTACTGTAGAGGGTTAGAGGGTGACCCCCTATTAGGCTGCTGCCTTTTTATTCATTTTATTATTAGCGCTAACCTTTTTTACATTTTTTCTTGTACTTTCAAGTGTATCTGGTGTCTCTTTGTTTCTGTTTACCTGTCACTCAGTCGTTCAAAGCTAGGAGCCGCAGCATCCATATGTTGCTAGTCAGCGCCTGCTGGAAAAACACCACTACACAACACAATAACCTCTGTAGTATGGTCACTGCATTGCACCAAGATAATTAATTTTAAAGTGAATTGTACTGATTTATTTTATCTTTCAAATACTGACACTAAAAAAAGCGTGTGTCATAAGAGACTCTGTAATGCTGCCGTATTAAATTTTTTTTGGCAAACATGTGATTAAGAGTAAATGAAGGTGTGTGTGGGTATCTCCTGCCAGGTTGATGTGGACTGTAACTTTAATCACTCTCAACCAGCTACTGTCCTTTTAACACTAAACATACCCCTGTAGTTTTCCTTTTATGGTGCTATGAACTGTAATAATGCCACATAAAGTCAGTGTAAGAATAAAATGCTCTTTCAGCAGCAATGTTTTAAATAATAAAATGCTGTGTAACGGAGCGGCAATATTAAATCCCACGATCTCCGGCAATTAACATTAAAATAGACAACTTTTCGAAAATTAGGTCTATTTGCACGAATGGACGTTCGGTAGATAGCTGGGGTCTGAGCGCATCATTCGTGAGATTACCGCTCAGATCCCAGCTAAAACAACCGAACGTCGTACGAAAAACACATTCACCAAAACATGCATTGAAAAGACCGATTGATATATGGGGAATAAAATACCGAACTGCCCGGAACTCCCGAACATCCTGGAAGTCCAGTGGTGTTCGCGCCGTCGAGTAGCCGTTTTTAGTACCACCCACTCGACGACCAAACACTGCTGGAGGAACAAAGGATCCAAGATGGCCGACCGCCGCGTGGTCGGTAGTCGAACGACTGCCACCTAGGAGAGCCTCTAATTACCGATTGCAACATTGTTGCAATCGGTTAACAAGCGCCACACGTCTCTTAATGTGTGGGCTATTACAGGGTGGTTTATTCGGTTCACGAACGGCCCGCAAAGGTGCCGTTCGTGAAACGAAATGACATACAGCTATCTGCTTTCGGCAGATAGGCAATACAACACTATACAGTCAGCATACATTACACCCAGGAACATACATATCCCCCCAACCATACAGGCAACCCTTAAAGCCACAGTCTATGTATAATGTCCAAGTGGCTAGGTTTGCCACATGCTGCTAGACATATTAAGCTAAAAAGATACAATACCTTCCTCTCCAGACAGATTGGGTTCATTTGTGTATTGATGTGCAATGGTACTGTATTGATTTGTTTTATTTTACGCTATATTTTTTTTTCCTTGCTCAATATTTGAATGTAATGCTTAGTGAGATGCCATATTCAAATATATGCTACCACGTTTGCCTGTCATCTGGGCAACGTGCATAGTAAAACAAAAAGACAACTTACCGGTTCTTAATATGCAGGCAGAGAGTTATTTTGTTTTTAGACTATAGTATGACAGTACATATTAACTAGTGAATGCTAATATGTGTTTTGGCAGCGTGCTTTGCTAAGAAGCAGTAACATAATTATGTTATACTGCAATAGAGTTGTAAGACTTGCTGGTCAAGTTCTGTGTTGGATTTTATGCCATTTCATTCTGCTTCTACAACAAAGTGTAACCTACCACTTTCAACCAAACAAAAACACATTATCAACCGATCTAGATTCCAAAAGCTAGCAGGATCAGAAAGTACACATTCCTGAGTGGGGAGGAAAATGCTTTACTTAACTAGCCCTATAACAATATTGCTATTGGTCCTTTCAGACAGTTCTGAGTTCTGTTCAATATCTTTTATCTCCAGCAAGTGTTTATCCTTTCTGATCCTGCATCCACCCAAGCATTCTTTTCTCTTATTCTATGTGAGCAGGCCATGGCTGGAACCATAACTGCATAGTAGATGGAGCAAAATTGTGGGCACCTGGCAAAACATTAAAATGGCTTCCTATAACTCTTATAAGTTCCTGCGTACTGATCTAAGAGAGCTTCTTTTCCTTCCTTCCATTCTTTTACAAATGTTTTTCTCTCTGAAATAATGTGAAAGACCATTTCTTTGTTTCGTTCTTCCCTTATCTGGCATAAGAAAATAAACTGTCGGGTATTAACAAAATTGAGAATTATGGGTAATTGTCAAGAGAAATGCAGTTTCAGGTGAAACTGTAAAACCTATTCTAACATAGTGTAACTTTACACCAGCCATACCGGCTCGTAACAGTAATGGGCAGCAAAGATAAGCTGAAATCACTCGGATGACACCATCATTGTCGTCCTTTGCTGCAGGTGCCTGAACACCCCTCAGTGTTCAAGAATGACTCAACGCTAAACAGTAGGAAAGGGAACTCCTTGTCACCATAACCACGTCAGCGAGACAAAGTGGTTATGGTACGTTGAGTGTTCATGTAATAAACAGCTTGCGGTTTGTTGCATCTCTTAAATAATGGAAACCTTACAGGGCCTATTTTTTTTTTTTTTGGAACTCTCCAGCAGTACACAATCTCTTTGCTGTGTTTTGGGGAGCTCTCCAGCACTCATATTGCTTTGCTAGATATTTTTCACCATTATTTGTAATACTGGTCAATTGTTTATAAATGCAGAGGACTGCCAGATTAAACTGACTTTGGTTTTGGAGTCAAAACTTGTTACAGTATTTCCATTGTTCACACACCGTGTAATAGAACATGGAAAATAGTTTTGTTGTACAAAGCCAGAGATTTGATTTTTAGTTGATGAAGTTAATGAAACAATATACTATGTTATTCAAGATTTGCTAAGCATTTCACTTTTAAAGTATAAGAAAAACATGTAATTACTACATAGCTGAAAAGAGACGTGTCCATCAAGTTCCGCCTTCCTGACATATGTTTTTGCTGTTGATCCAAAATAAGACAAAAAACCTAGTCTGAAGAAAAAATTCATTCTTGACCCCAAAATAGCAGTCAGATGTCTCCTTGGATCAAGCAGCTATTACCCCACTAACTAGAAATTATATCCCTGTATGTTATGTTTTTGCAAGTATTTTTCCAATTGCTGTTTAAACATCTGTATGGTCTCTGATAAAATTACCTCTTCAGGCAGAGAATTCCATATCCTTATTGCTCTTACTGTAAAAAAACATTTTCTTTGCCTTAGATGAAATCTCCTTTCATCTAGCCTACATGCGTGACCTCGAGTCCTATGTATAGCCCTGTTTTTAATAGATTTCCAGATAATGGTTTGTACTGGCCCCGAATATATTTGTATTATGTTATCATATCCCCTCTGAGGCGCCGTTTTTCCAAACTAAAGATATTTAACTTTTTTAACCTTTCTTCGTAACTAAAATGCTCCATTCCTTTTATCAATTTTGTAGCTCGTCTCTGCACCAAGTAGATCACATCCACTGCAACACCCTGATCTATACTTCTACTTACGTCTTTGTAGAATGCAATTAAGTTAGTTTGAAATGACCTATTTTTTATAAAACCATGCTGATTAATGCTAATAACAAAGTTCTTCCCAATGAATTAGATTATCCCTTAATAGCCCTTAAAATATTTTCCCAGTCACAGAAGTTAAGTTCACAGGTATAATTATAATTTCCAGGCAAGGATTTTGAACCCTTTTTAAATATAGGAACGACATATGCCTTCCTCCAGTCCTCCGGTGCAATACATGAAATAAAAGAATCTTGAAAGATTAAATACAGAGGTACACTTATTTCCCCACTTAGTTCCTTAAGTACTCGTGGGTGAATACCGTCAGGCCCCAGAGTTTTATTTATTTTCTTTAACTGCGGTAGCACCTTGTCTCGAGTCCTCCAATCACAAGTTTTCTGCAAGTTTTTTGCAGCAATTATTTGCTTACTCTTTAAAATAAAGCTGTTGTTTAGTGCTTTACAGCATAACAGCATGTTCACTTTAGTTTCTCAAAGTACTGTTTTCAAACGAAATCTGCGCTTTTATAAACAAACCCCTATTGGTACCACCTCGTTGCTATGAACACTGGCTTCATTGCGATAAGCGGATAGCAGAAGTTTCCACTCATTTGCACTGTCCAACAATGCTTTTCTCTAAAAAAACATTGGATTGGTTGCGATACCATCATTAGCATTAATCTTCTGGGGGACATGGTGGAGTGGGGAGTGTCTCTCTGCTAGATTAGAGGGAACTTATTTTCAGGACACGGTAGGGGCCCTAAAATGTATGTTGGAATGTTCTTGTTACATACAACAGTTTCCAGGCAGAATATACTGAACTTATCATAATGATACATTAAGTAAATGCTTTGAGAGCAGTTATATTGGTACTCACCTGTTAATCCTTGCTCCAGCACTTTGTAGTGGTTATGGTTTTTGGAGGAGTCTTCATTTTAACATACTTTATAGGTGATGTTAGTGTTTTATGCATTCCAGTAAAAAAAAAAGTAATCTTACTCCCTTCCCCCCCCCTTTTTTTCTTCCATATGAAAGAGGTTAGCTGAACGTTAACTACCATAAACCGTTTGTCATAATAAACAACCGTGTTATTAGAGAAAACACAGCAGTATAATAGGGAGTGGCAGAAAGGAAGCCGTGACGTATCATGGTAAGGTACTCTAACCAGTGACTAGAAAGTATTTTTTTGAACATGAGATGGGCTAGAGGAAGGCAGTGTTAATTTGCCAAGTGCTGTGAAACAATTAATTTGCAAAAAAAAATTACAAAATTGAGCGTGCAAAAACAAAAATACATGCATGATGGTTATATTGGTGACTGGAGGTTCTCTTTTAAAGGATCACTATAGTGTCACGAAAACAAACCCGTTTTCCTGACGCTATAGTTAAAACCCCTTCAGTAGTTTACCTTTATCCAGCGCCGGGCATGCATTCAAACAGTGCCGCGCGCGCTTAAACAGTTTATACGAAAGCATTTCTCAATTTGCACGCTGGATGTGAATTTCGCATCCAGTGTCGCAGATGCGCCTCTAGCGGCTGTCAGGAAGACAGCCACTAGAGATTGGATTAACCCTGCTATGTAAACATAGCAGTTACTCTGAAACTGCTATGTTTACATGTGAAGGGTTAAAACCTGAGGGACCTGGTGACTATAGTGTCCCTTTAAATACTTAATCTGTTGCAAATCCCAGGGGATTGTAGCATTCTGAGCATATTGCATATACTACTGTTTAGGAGGTGTTTGCGATATGTAGATCTACATTCAACCGTTCTGTTTATCAGAATATAATGCTTTCAGGAGCCTATAATAAGCATGTCTAAACAGGTGTGGACTTGTATGACATGCACTCTCTATTCACGTACACAATGTGCAAAGGACTAGATGCAGTCATATTTACATTCTGTTAAACGTTTTATATGACTCTGTAAGACCTATTGCATTCCAAGGAGGACAAGTTATACCTGTAGTACCACTGAGTAGCAATCTTATTATGCTGCTGTTTTGCTTTAACTTTGTGTGCAAACTATATACTCCACATTTTGAAAGAAAATTGTAGTTTATATTTTTCCCCAGAATACCTTCTAGTGAGGGGGTGAAACACTGCCAATTATATCATGGTTAAATCACTAAAGTGAGAAATCAAAATGAATTTCAAAATTTAGTCCATGGTAGCCGTACTGGAAGGTTAGCTGAGAATATTTTTTTAGTTCGGCTGTTTTGGTCATAACTTTGGAATTTACTTTTCATTTCAAACATTAGAGAATTACTCTGTAAGGGCGCAAATAAAACTGTGATCTTATTGTGTATACAGATATATCACCGTATACTCCAATCTTGTGGTAGCATTGCCTTCTTGTCCTCTAATAAGCGTTGTATTGCTTCATCAAGTAGTTTATGGAAGAGGATATTGTCTTCAAAAGACATAGAACATAAACTGGACTTTGAAGATATATCTGCATCCCATGTCATGAAATGCAACGTTACCTTAGCTACCATAGATAATGCCATACTTTTGATCAGAACTAATGTTACATCTAATATAGTTTCTGCAAAAAAATGCTGTCTCCAATTTAATATCTGTAATATTAATTAGCTTTAACTTTGCCCATATCTTCTAAGTGGCCAATCCATGCTTTTTGTGGTTATCTGTGAGATCTGCAATACACCTGACAGTGGTCCTTTCTATGATTTTACTAGATTGTCTATATATTATTTTCTTTTAAATTCTTTGGTTCTCTCAAAGAAGCAGCACTGTCTCTAGTAGGTATTGTTCTCTTAGCTATTCATATTACTGCTGAATCAATATTAGGTTTTTTTTTGTCCAATTTAAATTTTTTTATTGACGTCTAATTTTTCTCCTCTGGTTTTACCCATTTGGATTCCATTTTGTTCTGCCATTTGTAGGGAATGCACCTCTTTTTGGTCTCAGGAATCCACTTGGTTCTTTGAGGGGTTTGGCTAAAAAATTAAGCACTAAACGGAACAAAATGTACAGTTTGTTTTATATATTCATAGATTCTAGCAACAAATAAAACAGATGCTGCCTTTAATCAACTAACTACTTAAAAATTGTGTACCTTCTGATTGTAGCTTTTTTCAAGTGTGTGGTTTATGCAGATCCCTCTCCCAGCTGTTTTACATATGTAAGTTTTCAAAAACATTTGTCTTGCTTTAGATTTTCATATGCAAGGCAATGTGTCTTAGGATCAGTTTTACATGTTTGTGTGACCTGAATGTCTCCTAGATACAGTAACAAGGCTCCATTTTATGTTTTCCTTTCTTGCATGTTTAAACTATTCCCTTGCTATTTGCTGTAGTCCTGTGAGAAATATTTACTGCAGACCAACTCTAGCTTCTTTACCTGTAAAGTGAATCTGAAATCACGAGACATGGTTTCTACATTTAATCATAAAATGCTTAAAGGGACATCAAAGGCACCCGGGAAGTTGTCTGGCTGCAGTGCCTCTGTCCCCTTAACTCATCAATGAAAAACATTGCATTTTCAAACATTGCAGGATTAAGACAACCTCTAGTCATGTGTCTGCACTAGAGGTGCTTCCTGGCTTCTCATGGAGTGACTTTGGACATACTCACACTTTGCATGTTGTTCTCCAGCAGTGTTACGGGACAAATACAAAATAAGTCCTGCACTCACTCCCATCACTCCTGGCAGCAGCAACGACCACAGTACACATCAGCCCCAATACATACAGTAAAAACCAAATGAAAAAGTTACCTGCGCTCTCTCCTAAATCCCTATGTATATTTAAACAAATTGAGGTCATTTAGTTACTCCAATGGCCATTGGAGGGAATGCCCGCCTGCCAACGTCAAGGCAGACCCCCTAAGGTGGGTCCTACACTGACCTTTAACCTTGCTTCCTTGAGCTTCTGGCAAATATATCTCTAATGAGACAGAGAGGGGTATTTTTTATATACACCTCTATACATTTATTAACCCTTAATAGGGAACACATGGTGTAAAAACAAGCCCAGTATGCCTACAAAAGGACAAATAGATTATACAGCCTGTGACGAAGTGTCCTTCGTCACTTGGTCCTGGAGAGGCCTTCTTGCCAGTCTCCTCCCCTGTGACGGACTCTTTCATCTATCTGGCTTTAAAGCCCCTAGTCTACCTTCAGACAGACTATTTATGTGGGCTGCTTTATTTATCCTATGTTTTAGTCACCCTGTACCCATTATAGGTGCAGGGTGTGTGTAATGTAATTGTTTATAGTGTGTGTGTACTGTGTAATGTATTGCCTGCTCTCTTGTATTGCTGAGGTTTGCTACCAACTAGGTGGGTTTGGCTATGGAGCTGGTCTAGTGCCCTCTGTTGGTAGCAACAGGTCTCGCTGTAGATCGCAATGTCATCCAGGTACGCACATGCGAAATCCTGGAATCCATCAAGGAGCCTGTCGACCAAGCGCTGAAAGGTAGCGGGAGCGTTCTTCATCCCGAATGGCATGACTTTGAATTGGTACAAGCCAAACGGGGTGACGAAGGCCGACTTGGGGACAGCCTCCTTGGCTAGGGGAATCTGCCAGTATCCCTTGCACAAATCAATGGTGGTCAGATATCTTCCCCTAGCAATGCGATCTAGGAGCTTGTCTACGCGTGGCATGGGGTACGCATCTGTCACTGTCCTATCATTGAGACGTCTATAGTCGATGCAGAACTTTGTGGTCCCATCCTTTTTGGGTACCAGTACTACGGGTGAGGCCCACGGGCTGTCTGAGGGTTCTATGACTAATAACTTGAGCATCTCCTGTATCTCTTTCCTCATCTCTTCCTTAACTGCCTCTGGGATCCTGTAAGGGGTCTGCCTAAGTGGCGTCTGCCCTGGGGTTTCCACATAATGGGTAGCTAACGTCGTGTACCCTGGCTCTTGGGAGAATGTCAGTTTCTTCTCTGTCAACAGCTGTCTGAGCTGCCCCTTTTCTGCCGGGTTCAATCGCTCTAGATGGATAGTGTCAAGGATATGACTTGGTTCGGGACCTGCTAACAAGTCAGGGATAGGCAGCCCGTCTGAGTCCTCTGCACTGGGACTGCAGATGGATGCAATATCCTCGGCCCTTTCCTGATATTCTTTTAGTAGGTTCACATGGAAGGATTTCCGAACCCGGTCGTCCTTGCTACTGGCTATTACGTAAGTGGTATCACATATTTGTGCTACCACCTTGTAAGGGCCTTGCCACGAGGTCTGGAGCTTGTTCCCTTTTACTGGTCTGAGCACAAGCACTTTCTGCCCCACCTGGAAGGTTCTCTGGCGGGCACCCCTATCATACCATCTCTTCTGTCGACCCTGGGCCGCATGTAGGTGGTCTCTAGCCATCCGAGCTAACTGTTCCATGCGGTCTCTCATCTCCAGAACATATGGTACAATCGGGACACCCTCATGTTCCGTCTCTCCTTCCCAGTGCTCTCGGATGAGGTCGAGGGGGCCTCGCACCCGTCGTCCATAGAGCAACTCGAACGGAGAGAACCCCGTGGATTCCTGCGGCACTTCTCGGTAGGCAAACAAGAGGTGCGGCAGGAATCGCTCCCAGTCTCTGTATTCCGCCGTAAAGGTCCGTAATAATTGTTTTAGGGTACCATTAAAGCGTTCACAGAGCCCGTTAGTCTGGGGGTGGTATGGCGAGCTGAACAGGGTCTTGATACCACAGACCTTCCATAACTGTTGGGTCAGATCTGCGGTAAATTGCGTCCCTCGGTCAGACAAAATTTCTTTCATTTGCATATTCGGGTAGATTTGCATATTGCTAATTCTGCAGGCAGGTGAGATATTTACTGTTAAATATTGTCTCCCCCCACCCCTTTAAAAATGTGCCATTGTGTTGTGTGTTTCTTGATATGGTTTGACTGTTTGTGATTTTATTGAGGTTTCACAACAATGTTATTGTGGTGACTGTATTGGCTGGTCCCAAGGGAATAAAGGTTTTGACAGTTCTTCTTGACCCTTCAAAACGTAGCCTTGTCTCGTTCTTGTCTCGTTCTTGAAAGGGGAATCTCTGCAGCTTAATCACTTAGCTCTTTTCAGAGCTGCACCTGGTTTCCACTCCTGATCCAGCAGAAGGGAATAGGCGACTCCATCACTACACAGCGACTGCCAGGAAGAAAAGGACGTCCCTAACGGCTGGTACCCTCTCTACACCAGGTTAGCCGTTACACATGGGATGGGTGGCAGCATTGTAACATAGCTGTGTGATCCAAAAAGTGAATACAAATACAAAAAGATAAGGTCTGCACTCACTCCCATCACTCCTGGGCAGCAGCAATGACCACAGTACACATCAGCCACCACACATACAGTAAAAACCAAAGAAAAAGTTACCTGTTGCTGCTGCCCAGGAGTGATGGGAGTTGAGCCATCAAACATGTCTTAAAGGAACTAGACTGGTGGATCCACTCAAAGTTTCTACCTCAAGCCCTGCGCTTCAGACAAAAAACAAAACAAAAAAACCTGGCTTTAAATTACTACAGATGCATGCTGAATCATTTGGGGTGCGCAAGTAGATCTCTTCATGCACCAGGGTTTCTGGAGTCACCAAGACCCAAAGCAATCTTAAAATTTCAGAGAAATTAATGCAGTATACAAAGCATTTCTAGCCTTTTAGGATTACATCAGAGATGATGCAGTAGGAATTCAATCAGTCAACCTTACCACAGTAACACAATATAAGGAGGCTCAAGAGTGAGAAGGTTGTCAGTTCTCTACTCTCTAATTTTGAAATGGGCAGCAGAGAATTTTGACGACCTATCTGCACCATACATCAGAGGTATAGACAACAGAATTTTAAACTATCTAACCCAATAACAATGGAAGCAAATAGATTGGTTCTTAAGCAAATAAATATTCAGAGAAATTACTGCAAGATTCAGGAACCCTTCAATGGATCTGATTGCTACAAAAACAAACAAGAAAGCTCGGACTTTCGCTTCCATGAACAGAAAAGACTACCCATATTTTTTCCCATGGACTCTCAACCCCATGGAAATTTCGGCTGGCATATGTATTTTTCCTGGTTTTTCTAGTTCCAAGAATCTTGCATAAGAACAGGAAGGACAAAATGTCCACCATTCCCTGATGGCCCAGTTGGTAGTGGTTCTCAGAACTTGAGGCACGGTCATAGAGCACACCATGGGAACTTCCAATTTCTGCTCAAATACTGGAGAACAAAGGGATATCAGACATTTGTAGGGATGCCACATAGTCTTCCTTCAACACTTTCAATGGCCATTACAGGCTATACATCTTTTCTTTGGCAGAAGCATTTTTCGGGCATAAGTTGTTGCAAGTTGTTGTTCCTTGATCTGACCCACCATGTTTGGATTTTGCTATATCCATAATGTACTGCCACTCTAGGACAGGGAAAAACAGAAACTCTACTTATCTTAAATTCTTTTTACCTTATATAGCGGCAGTACACAATTTTGTAATAAATCTGTACTTTGGCATACATTTCGGTCTAGTGTGGTTTTAATTTTTGAATTAACTTTTTTTTTTTATATATATATATAATTCTTTATTTTTGTTGTGCTTGACATATCAAAGAGTACTTAATACACATTGGGTAGTCTAGAAGTAAGCTGTCACAGCATAGCATGTCAAGTGTACAGAAAAAACAGCACATTTTTTGTATAAGAAAGAAACATGACAAATGACAAGAGGAATACAGTGCAGATTGATAAGATCAGTAGGGTAGTACGTATGCAGGCTATATGCACTGGAAATAAGCTTTATGGGGTAGGCCGCGACTAGCTGTATAGGCAGACAAGCTTAGAGTAAAGACCCCTCAGAGGCCCCCCAATGAGAGCCTAACAAAAGATATGAGAAGCAAATAAATAAAAAATAAGCACAATAGCGGTTTCGTTGGCAAGATGCATTGCAAGGGTGTCCTGTCAGAAAGAGGTAGTCCCTGATCCAGCCCTGGACTCATAGACCCTCCACAGAAGTCCCTGCACGAGGCTCAGCGGCCCACTTGCGTGGTAATGTTGGGGTGCTGTGTGGCATTCAGGTAAGTCCCGTGTGGGTAACGGGGATCCCCTTGATGGTCCAGTGATCCAGCAGGCTGTGCATCTCGAGGTGAGTCTCGGTCTATTTCTTTGTACCCTGATGTGGCAGGAGCCTCTCTCCTCACGGTTAGCCTCAGTATGCAGGCTCATTGCGCTTGTCTGGCTCTTCGGAGCAGCAGGCCATGAGCCCATTTGGATTTTTCATTCACGTTGTGCAGGATATGGTTATAATTATGGCTTGAAGGAGCACACGGCACTCGCCATCTTGTGGTCGTGAGTGCCAGTTGCTTGTTCAACGGGGAAGCCGCGTGTCCATTTGTTAAATCTCATCTGTTCGTGATTTTCTTCATTGCTTCCGCATTCAGTGTGTTCCAAGCCTCGTTATGATCTTGATGCAACATGAGGATCCTGCCCATTCCGCTGAGAGCGCATGTGCAACCCTTGTGTGTTTCCACCATCGTTCTGTACATTAAGAACAAACTTAGGAATCTACTTTCTAACCAGTATATTTTATGGTAATTTTTTCACCTGTTTATACTGGTGTTAACTTTATCAGGTATTGTTAATTATCTCTGGCAAGTGTAATGCCTGGCTCTCTGGCACGGCTTATAGAGGATGCTACAAAGTCTGCTTTAATGTTCTGTCTTATTAGTGTACAAAGTAATTGGAATGAAAGATTGGATTACTTAGCACCATTCTGATTCAAAAACCTGAAGAGCTTATGGTGCCATTGATCCACAACATGGAAAAGCTATGTTTTGAGACTCAGTGCAATTCAGGTTTTTAACAGAGCCCTGTAATAAGACACCTGTGAATTGAAGGTGTGTTATGACATTTGGTAAAAATTTGGTGCAAGGTGAAAATATCTTGCTGCATAAGTAGTGAGAGTGGTTCCAAAACACCCTTTTAATTGGTCAAAACGTGTTCAGTATCCACATCTAAGGCATGCACGATATGCAGTATCTGAGAGGTTTGTTTTTGTTTTGAATGCCACGCATGATATAAATTGGAGCACACACGGTCAATGGTTAATGCTCATATTGCTTCATCACTAGCATGTATTTAAAACACAATAGTCATCCATTGAGGTGAACTAAAATGAGTCATATTAAAGTGTCTCAAAGCACCACAACAACTCTAATTTATTAATCAGCATATGTAGCCTAACATGTAACGTTAGGAACACTAGTTTGTATCCCGGCCTATAGTGATCCTTTAAACTTGTTAGTAAATGGGAAAATCCTGTTGGAGAACACAGCATCTCTTTGTTACTATTTTTAATTTGGTTAATTTACAAAGTACTCTTTATTTTGTAGCACACTTCAACGTTGGCCAAAAATGATCAAACTTGGGTCAAAGTGTGTATTAACCAGTAACCTTTTGACGAGTTGTTCATGTTAATTCCCACCCCTTTTCCTCATGCCATTACTGTATTCTAATGTGCTTCTAGAAGAATGATTTATCTGTGGCATTCTGTAAACATCTTCAGGTCTTTTATAATATTATCTTGACTAGTATGTGGGCTTTGTGTTACCTTGTTGTAACTTTACCTTAGTGGATGGTCACTCGCCTTGTTTGATATTTGGTTACGGCTGAAGAATACTTAATGCAGTTTTGCTTGATTGTAATCAAATCCCTGGTGCCCTCATTGAATTTTTAAACTGGAATGGAATGCGTGCATTGCACAAAATCTATTTTAGTTCTCTTCTTAGCACTGGTATCTTACCAGATGCATTTGTTCCGATTCTTTTAAAATCAATGGTTTTTAAATATCCAGATCCTATATTTTAAATAGGAAGAAGTACTGTTAAAAAAAAAAAAAAAAAATGAATGTATTCAAACAAATTGTACAGATTTGGTCAGGAGGACCATGTTTTGATTGCATTTTGGCTTCAGTAAATATGAAAATTGCCAAATTGTTCAGAGTTGAACTATTTTCACAGAATTTTGTCTTGAGAAATGTTTTTTAGTAAAACTAGATACCGATTTTATTGACATGCTGTCGTTCCCAGTAAGCTTACCATAGCTTGCTAGATGAAAATAATTAAATCTGTTTATTTGTCTAATTGTTCTAAACTGGTTTATGGAGAGACACCTTTTGGTGACAATACCACTTTAAATGATAAAACTCCTTGAGTCAGGCATTTCAGTGGATTGAACGATTTGACATTGTGCTGAGAATATATTTCAAAACGTTTATGGAAGAAAATTAGATTTCCCAATTAAAGAGAATGAGATATTGCCCTGTGGTAAACGATTGCCGGTGAAACTGTCTCTTTGCCGTTTCAGAGGGATTGTTTTGTTCTAAATTTGGCACATTCTGAATACTGTGATTTAAAACCTAGGTGAAAATGGGCCACCTTAAAAAATAAATGTATTTTTTACTACAAAAAGCATTCTGTGTTCTTCTAGTAAGATATTGGGTTGAAGTATGATACCTGTTTACTGGCCCTCTCCCTCATTCCTTTTTTTTTATAGTTTATTTGCACACCTGATAGATAATGTGTGTTTGTTTTATTAACACTATGCAGACAAGTTTGTCAAACTCTAGTGTTTAGTTCCATCAAACTGGTTGCTGTTCTTCAAATATCGAATAAATAGATTAGCATGTTGATAGAGGAGAAATTCTGTACTTCATATGTAGTATTCACATTTATGTTAGAAGCTAGTCATAATCAAGTTCCATTTAAAGGGACACTGTAGTCACCTAAACAACTTTAGCTTAATGATGCAGTTTTAGTGTATAGATCATGCCTCTCAGGTTTCACTGCTCAATTCACTGCCATTTAGGAGTTAAATCACTTTGTTTCTGTTTATGCAGCCATTGCCACACCTGGTTTCACTTTCAATCAGATGTAATTTACCTTAAACAATTTGATGTCTTGCTCTGTAAATTGAACTTTAATCAGGAGGCTCTTGCAGGGTCTAGCAAGCTATTAACATCGGAGGGGATAAGAAACTCTAAATTAAACAGAACTTGAAATAAAGGCAGGATAAATATTACATGATTCTTTACAGGAAGTGTTTATGAAGGCTGTGCAAGTCACATGCAGGGAGGTGTGACTATGGTTCATAAACAACATGATTTAACTCCTAAATGGCAGTGAGACTACATGATCTATACACCAAAACTGTTTCATTAAGCCAAAGTTGTTTTGGTGACTTAAGTGTCTCTTTAAAGAGCAGAATTGAGAGGGTTTGACTGCTTGGAATGACATTTGAAAAGACAGTGAAATGTTAGAAAACTCTGGCCACGCCAAAAACACACCCTTCGCTCATCTTTCTCTCACAAGCTGCAGCCACTGAATGCACAATGGAATTAGCAGGATGGCTGAGGTTTTTGTAAATACCACCTGAAATTTAAAACCTACTGCTATGTTCCTTTTGTGTTCTCGCTTTAAACCAGAAGTACACGGGGAGGGACAGTAACGCATATGATCTTGATAGATTATTTTTTTTGAGTGGATTCAATCTCCTTCCCCTCAACTATGCACTGATGTGAGAATTCAAAGTGAATATTTTTTTTTATTTTTTATTTTTTTTAATTCTTTATTTTTGTTTGTGCATAGAATGACAGTTAGGTCTGTTACGCCACAACAGCGATAAGAGCCCGATATACAACAGCTGGCATAGGAAATACTGTGCACAATTATTAGTTTTTGCGGTTGGATACATGTTGGAACGATATGCAGTTATGATTAAGTTTGCTTAGAGGTTAATAAGGTTACACTGTGTAGTCTAACATTGGAACAGCTAAAAATAATTATACAACATTCTAAGATTAATGCATATTGTCTTTTATACATAACACAGCCGTAGTGGTGAGAGATGTATGCACTGTGTGTTTATGGTGGGTTATCGGAGGCTGGGTTGTATTAGTGCAGGTAGGGTGGTGTGTTCTTCTGGGCGGGACTGTTATAGGTTATGTCTATGTGTTTAGTTGTGTCTACCGTGTGATTACATTGCTTGGGGGTGCGTGCAGTGTCTGCTAGTTGGTAGGTTAATAGGGACCTTCATGGTCCTGTGCGCGAAAGTCAGCGCTCTCAAGAGGGGAGCCAGATAGAGGCTAAATGTCAGCTCCTGGTTACTGGGCGGGTATGTTAGTTTGGGGTGCCTGTGTGGCGTCAGGAATGCGAGGGGTTAGCTCGGCATCTTCCCAGTGATACCACCCATAGTGGGTCCTAGTGTTATCAGGTGATGTGCATATGTCGGTGGGTAAAGGAGTGCGGCCATCCGCAAAGCAGGGTGTTAGCTCACCCGGGAGCAGCTGTCCAAGGTGAGTTCATTATGTTAGGGTAGAGTCCCGGCAAGGTAAGTTATAGTCCTGATATTTCAATATTGTCAGGTGGTGGCTGCTTCTTTAGGTACACCAGTGTGTCTTCTAGGGATGAATTCTGCAGCGCCGGCCATGCTCCAAGTCGGTGGGTTCGCGTGCCTACCCTTTGTTGTCGGTAGGGCCGGTAAGTCTGGAGGGAGATTCAGCTGTCTTAGTGTCGCCGGTGCCTCCTGCATGCTGCGCACTGTGAGTGTGGTGTCGCCCTTGGTGACCAGTAGAGTATGAGCCGGGCCCCAGCGGTACCTGATGTGTTGTGCTCGCAGGAGGGAAGTTATTTGTTGCAGGGACCTCCTCCAGGCCAATGTTGCCCCCGAGAGATCAGGGTAGAAGGTGAGAGCCATATCTTCAAAGTGGTAGGCTGGTTGATCTCTGGTGGCTGCTAAGACTGCGGCTCTATCCTTGTAGGTTTGGAACTGCAGGACGACATCTCTCGAGCTGTGGCTAGGGCCCCAGTGGGCTTTGGAATGCGAAAAATTCCGTCTATTGACACCGCTTTGGCAACTCTCTGGGTTAGTAGAGCCGTAAGGAGCCGCCTAGTAACGTGGGGTAGTTCAGCATCAGGGATATTGTCGGTGATGCCCCTAACCTTAAGGTGCTTTAGGCGGCGTTTGTCTTCAAGTGCGGCAAATCGGAGGTCGTTCCGCCCAGCTAGCTGTTTCAACTCCTGAACCTCCTGTTGCAGCGTTTGTATTTGGCCGGTTTGGGTGGTCATGGTGTTTTCCACGGTCCCGATCCGTCCGGTAAGACCCTGTAATGTGTCTCTAATCGAGGCGACATCCGCCGCAATCTTTTTGTGATGTTCCGCCATAAGATCTCTAATGGCTTCCATGCTCACCGGCGTGGGAGCCATAGCAGTCGGCAGGGGTTGCGTTGGGGGTTGCGTTCGAGCTGGTAATGGCTGAAGCTCCCCTTCACCCTCATCCGACGTCTCTTCATAGAAATCAGAGCACCCGCCATGTAGGGACGCCATATTGGAGCCTGTGGCGCCTCGGGCTTGCCGCCATAACTCAGCGATATCCATGCCCCTTGTGGGTCTTTCGGGTTTTGAGTTTTTTGGTTTTTCGCCCCATTGGGCTCGGCTGTGCGCTGGGCTCACCCTGGGGTGAGTGTGGCACATGTTAAGGGGGTTAGAAGTGGGTTCTTCCTCGTGTCGCGGCCTGGAGCTCAGAGAGCATGCGACCGTTCTCTTCAATCGTTAAGCACAGCCCCTCTATTGCCCAAAGTGAATTTTTTAAATTAAGGTCAGAGTAGCCAAACTGAAACCATAGCTAGCTTAGAGAATTTTTCCAGTGCAGCTATTTTCACCTTGAACTTGAAATTCACTCTCACTTAAAATAACTCTGTGTGTGAAAAGTGTACTCTTTCTAGAAAAGTGCAAATTGTGGGTTTTAGGCCTAAATAAACTATAGGATTTGGTGATTTATTCCGACTGGCTTCTTTGACCCCTCCCCTCAGTTTATGCTTAAATTTTGCAATTTGTTTTTCAATTCCCAACATTTCACGGTTTAGTAAAGTAATTTCTCAGTTGAATAAACCTGAAATTGAGTTTCACATTTGGACCAAAGTAACCAAACTGAAAACAAAGTAGTGTACTATTATTATTTATATTTGCATTGGAATTTGGGATAGTGCGCAAGTAACTTTTTATTTTTATTGCATGTATTGGGGCTGATGTGTACTATGGTCACTGCTGTCGCCCTGGATTAGTGGGAGTTTAAATGCAGGGCTTAATTTTGTATGTTTAAAAACAAAGTAGACTGAAAAATGTTACCAAATTGGCTGTGTTTAACATACAATTTTAAATCTTTATTCCCTACTATTCTCTATTTGGCAAGTAACTGACAGTTGCCCACTATGGTAAACAAAGGGTTAATGTTTATACCTTGCTATGAGCAGCTAAAGGTTACATTTGAGTTTCTTGGTAGATTTATATAAGGTACAGGTGTTCTGAGACAAGCTGAGTGCGGATTGGCTTGGTCAGGGATGAGGCAAGTGATTGAAATTAAAGGATTGCAGTGCTGGATGTTACAAACAAGCTCAATTGTAGATGCACTCCTCTGCAAGTGAGGACTTGATATTTCAGGAAGGTTTTAGAGCACATTTAATCTGTCCGACGTGAGGTTCTGAAGTAGCTGGGTTGTTGCGCAAGATGGCTGTTTGTTCTGAACGGAACTATTGTTAAATCCAGACACAGGACTCCTAACTACAGTGCACAATACAATTGCCTGTTGTGGGCCAAAATTGTAAATACAATTTTGGAAATCAGGCTATGTTTCCAGTTGTGTTCCTATTGTTGTGAATTCCCTACAGTTCCCCTTTCAGTGAGTACTTGGTAATAATACTGTGCCAGACATGAAACTGGAGTGACTGCTAATGTCTGGTACTCCTAGTTGGGCTCTGTACTCGGTAATAATACTGTGCCAGACATAGAGCTGGAGTTACTGCTAATGTCTGGTACTCCTAGCTGGGCTCTGTAATTATACTGTGCCAGACATAGAGCTGGAGTCACTGCTAATGTCTGGTACTCCCAGCTGAGCTCTGTACTCGGTAATAATACTGTGCCAGACTGCTAATGTCTGGTACTCCTATCTGGGCTCTGTACTCGATAATAATACTGTGCCAGACATAGAGCTGGAGTGACTGCTAATGTCTGGTACTCCTAGCTGGGCTCTGTACTCGGTAATAATACTGTGCCAGACATAGAGCTGGAGTCACTGCTAATGTCTGGTACTCGGTAATAATACTGTGCCAGACATGAAACTGGAGTGACTGCTAATGTCTGGTACTCCTAGCTGGGCTCTGTAATTATACTGTGCCCGACATAGAACTGGAGTGACTGCTAATGTCTGGTACTCCCAGCTGGGCTCTGTACTCGATAATAATACTGTGCCAGACATAGAGCTGGAGTGACTGCTAATGTCTGGTACTCCTAGCTGGGCTCTGTACTCGGTAATAATACTGTGCCAGACATAGAGCTGGAGTCACTGCTAATGTCTGGTACTCCCAGCTGAGCTCTGTACTCGGTAATAATACTGTGCCAGACATGAAACTGGAGTGACTGCTAATGTCTGGTACTCCTAGCTGGGCTCTGTAATTATACTGTGCCCGACATAGAACTGGAGTGACTGCTAATGTCTGGTACTCCCAGCTGGGCTCTGTACTCGGTAATAATACTGTGCCAGACATGAAACTGGAGTGACTGCTAATGTCTGGTACTCCTAGCTGGGCTCGGTAATAATACTGTGCCAGACTGCTGTCTGGTACTCCTAGCTGGGCTCTGTACTCGGTAATAATACTGTGCCAGACATAGAGCTGGAGTGACTGCTAATGTCTGGTACTCCCAGCTGGGCTCTGTAATTATACTGTGCCAGACATAGAGCTGGAGTCACTGCTAATGTCTGGTACTCCCAGCTGAGCTCTGTACTCGGTAATAATACTGTGCCAGACTGCTAATGTCTGGTACTCCTATCTGGGCTCTGTACTCGATAATAATACTGTGCCAGACATAGAGCTGGAGTGACTGCTAATGTCTGGTACTCCTAGCTGGGCTCTGTACTCGGTAATAATACTGTGCCAGACTGCTGTCTGGTACTCCTAGCTGGGCTCTGTACTCGATAATAATACTGTGCCAGACATAGAGCTGGAGTGACTGCTAATGTCTGGTACTCCCAGCTGGGCTCTGTAATTATACTGAGCCAGGCATAGAGTTGGAGTGACTGCTAATGTCTGGTACTCCTAGTTGGGCTCTGTACTCTGTAATAATACTGTGCCAGACTGCTGTCTGGTACTCTTAGCTGGGCTCTGTACTCGGTAATAATACTGTGCCAGACATAGAGCTGGAGTGACTGCTAATGTCTGGTACTCCTAGTTGGGCTCTGTACTCGGTAATAATACTGTGCCAGACTGCTAATGTCTGGTACTCCTAGTTGGGCTCTGTACTCGGTAATAATACTGTGCCAGACATAGAGCTGGAGTCACTGCTAATGTCTGGTACTCCCAGCTGGGCTCTGTACTCAGTAATAATTCTGTGCCAGACATAGAGCTGGAGTGACTGCTAATGTCTGGTACTCCCAGCTGGGCTCTGTAATTATACTGTGCCCGACATAGAACTGGAGTGACTGCTAATGTCTGGTACTCCCAGCTGGGCTCTGTACTCGGTAATAATACTGTGCCAGACATGAAACTGGAGTGACTGCTAATGTCTGGTACTCCTAGCTGGGCTCTGTAATTATACTGTGCCAGACATAGAGCTGGAGTCACTGCTAATGTCTGGTACTCCCAGCTGAGCTCTGTACTCGGTAATAATACTGTGCCAGACTGCTAATGTCTGGTACTCCTATCTGGGCTCTGTACTCGATAATAATACTGTGCCAGACATAGAGCTGGAGTGACTGCTAATGTCTGGTACTCCTAGCTGGGCTCTGTACTCGGTAATAATACTGTGCCAGACTGCTGTCTGGTACTCCTAGCTGGGCTCTGTACTCGGTAATAATACTGTGCCAGACATAGAGCTGGAGTGACTGCTAATGTCTGGTACTCCCAGCTGGGCTCTGTAATTATACTGAGCCAGGCATAGAGCTGGAGTGACTGCTAATGTCTGGTACTCCTAGCTGGGCTCTGTACTCGGTAATAATACTGTGCCAGACTGCTGTCTGGTACTCCTAGCTGGGCTCTGTACTCGGTAATAATACTGTGCCAGACATAGAGCTGGAGTGACTGCTAATGTCTGGTACTCCTAGCTGGGCTCTGTACTCGGTAATAATACTGTGCCAGACTGCTAATGTCTGGTACTCCTAGTTGGGCTCTGTACTCGATAATAATACTGTGCCAGACATAGAGCTGGAGTCACTGCTAATGTCTGGTACTCCCAGCTGGGCTCTGTACTCAGTAATAATTCTGTGCCAGACATAGAGCTGGAGTGACTGCTAATGTCTGGTACTCCCAGCTGGGCTCTGTAATTATACTGTGCCCGACATAGAACTGGAGTGACTGCTAATGTCTGGTACTCCCAGCTGGGCTCTGTACTCGGTAATAATACTGTGCCAGACATGAAACTGGAGTGACTGCTAATGTCTGGTACTCCTAGCTGGGCTCGGTAATAATACTGTGCCAGACTGCTGTCTGGTACTCCTAGCTGGGCTCTGTACTCGGTAATAATACTGTGCCAGACATAGAGCTGGAGTGACTGCTAATGTCTGGTACTCCCAGCTGGGCTCTGTAATTATACTGAGCCAGGCATAGAGCTGGAGTGACTGCTAATGTCTGGTACTCCTAGCTGGGCTCTGTACTCGGTAATAATACTGTGCCAGACTGCTGTCTGGTACTCTTAGCTGGGCTCTGTACTCGGTAATAATACTGTGCCAGACATAGAGCTGGAGTGACTGCTAATGTCTGGTACTCCTAGTTGGGCTCTGTACTCGGTAATAATACTGTGCCAGACTGCTAATGTCTGGTACTCCTAGTTGGGCTCTGTACTCGGTAATAATACTGTGCCAGACATAGAGCTGGAGTCACTGCTAATGTCTGGTACTCCCAGCTGGGCTCTGTACTCAGTAATAATTCTGTGCCAGACATAGAGCTGGAGTGACTGCTAATGTCTGGTACTCCCAGCTGGGCTCTGTAATTATACTGTGCCCGACATAGAACTGGAGTGACTGCTAATGTCTGGTACTCCCAGCTGGGCTCTGTACTCGGTAATAATACTGTGCCAGACATGAAACTGGAGTGACTGCTAATGTCTGGTACTCCTAGCTGGGCTCGGTAATAATACTGTGCCAGACTGCTGTCTGGTACTCCTAGCTGGGCTCTGTACTCGGTAATAATACTGTGCCAGACATAGAGCTGGAGTGACTGCTAATGTCTGGTACTCCCAGCTGGGCTCTGTAATTATACTGTGCCAGACATAGAGCTGGAGTCACTGCTAATGTCTGGTACTCCCAGCTGAGCTCTGTACTCGGTAATAATACTGTGCCAGACTGCTAATGTCTGGTACTCCTATCTGGGCTCTGTACTCGATAATAATACTGTGCCAGACATAGAGCTGGAGTGACTGCTAATGTCTGGTACTCCTAGCTGGGCTCTGTACTCGGTAATAATACTGTGCCAGACTGCTGTCTGGTACTCCTAGCTGGGCTCTGTACTCGGTAATAATACTGTGCCAGACATAGAGCTGGAGTGACTGCTAATGTCTGGTACTCCTAGTTGGGCTCTCAATTATACTGAGCCAGGCATAGAGTTGGAGTGACTGCTAATGTCTGGTACTCCTAGTTGGGCTCTGTACTCTGTAATAATACTGTGCCAGACTGCTGTCTGGTACTCTTAGCTGGGCTCTGTACTCGGTAATAATACTGTGCCAGACATAGAGCTGGAGTGACTGCTAATGTCTGGTACTCCTAGTTGGGCTCTGTACTCGGTAATAATACTGTGCCAGACTGCTAATGTCTGGTACTCCTAGTTGGGCTCTGTACTCGGTAATAATACTGTGCCAGACATAGAGCTGGAGTCACTGCTAATGTCTGGTACTCCCAGCTGGGCTCTGTACTCAGTAATAATTCTGTGCCAGACATAGAGCTGGAGTGACTGCTAATGTCTGGTACTCCCAGCTGGGCTCTGTAATTATACTGTGCCCGACATAGAACTGGAGTGACTGCTAATGTCTGGTACTCCCAGCTGGGCTCTGTACTCGGTAATAATACTGTGCCAGACATGAAACTGGAGTGACTGCTAATGTCTGGTACTCCTAGCTGGGCTCTGTAATTATACTGTGCCAGACATAGAGCTGGAGTCACTGCTAATGTCTGGTACTCCCAGCTGAGCTCTGTACTCGGTAATAATACTGTGCCAGACTGCTAATGTCTGGTACTCCTATCTGGGCTCTGTACTCGATAATAATACTGTGCCAGACATAGAGCTGGAGTGACTGCTAATGTCTGGTACTCCTAGCTGGGCTCTGTACTCGGTAATAATACTGTGCCAGACTGCTGTCTGGTACTCCTAGCTGGGCTCTGTACTCGGTAATAATACTGTGCCAGACATAGAGCTGGAGTGACTGCTAATGTCTGGTACTCCCAGCTGGGCTCTGTAATTATACTGAGCCAGGCATAGAGTTGGAGTGACTGCTAATGTCTGGTACTCCTAGTTGGGCTCTGTACTCTGTAATAATACTGTGCCAGACTGCTGTCTGGTACTCTTAGCTGGGCTCTGTACTCGGTAATAATACTGTGCCAGACATAGAGCTGGAGTGACTGCTAATGTCTGGTACTCCTAGTTGGGCTCTGTACTCGGTAATAATACTGTGCCAGACTGCTAATGTCTGGTACTCCTAGTTGGGCTCTGTACTCGGTAATAATACTGTGCCAGACATAGAGCTGGAGTCACTGCTAATGTCTGGTACTCCCAGCTGGGCTCTGTACTCAGTAATAATTCTGTGCCAGACATAGAGCTGGAGTGACTGCTAATGTCTGGTACTCCCAGCTGGGCTCTGTAATTATACTGTGCCCGACATAGAACTGGAGTGACTGCTAATGTCTGGTACTCCCAGCTGGGCTCTGTACTCGGTAATAATACTGTGCCAGACATGAAACTGGAGTGACTGCTAATGTCTGGTACTCCTAGCTGGGCTCGGTAATAATACTGTGCCAGACTGCTGTCTGGTACTCCTAGCTGGGCTCTGTACTCGGTAATAATACTGTGCCAGACATAGAGCTGGAGTGACTGCTAATGTCTGGTACTCCCAGCTGGGCTCTGTAATTATACTGAGCCAGGCATAGAGCTGGAGTGACTGCTAATGTCTGGTACTCCCAGCTGGGCTCTGTAATTATACTGAGCCAGGCATAGAGCTGGAGTGACTGCTAATGTCTGGTACTCCTAGCTGGGCTCGGTAATAATACTGTGCCAGACTGCTGTCTGGTACTCCCAGCTGGGCTCTGTACTCGGTAATAATACTGTGCCAGACAGAGCTGGAGTGACTGCTAATGTCTGGTACTCCCAGCGGGGCTCTGTAATTATACTGTGCCAGACATAGAGCTGGAGTCACTGCTAATGTCTGGTACTCCCAGCTGGGCTCTGTACTCGGTAATAATACTGTGCCAGACATAGAGCTGGAGTCACTGCTAATGTCTAATACTCTGGGCTCTGGATTCGCCTGCAGTTCCGGGTGTAGCTCCCTCCCAGCGGTCTGGGATTGGCTGCCTGGCCGGAGTCACGGCGGAGGAGGCGGGGCCCGGGTATCTAAGCCAGGGAAGCGGCACTAGGCTCCCGAACAGCCCTGCACATCCCAGCTCTGCAACCCCGCTCCCCGCCTGCCCAGGGATGAGAAAGCGAGCCGAGCCTGGGCCCCGGGAACATGACGGCTTTGGTGCGGCTCCGCTGGACCGGGACTGCCGCCTGAAGCGCCTCAGGATCGGGGGGAGCAAGGGGACCCAGGGCCATTCTAACCAGGACTGCGACACCAAGGGCATGAAGCGACTCAGCAGGTAGGTACCGGGGCAGGTGACCGCACACCTACACAACATAGATCGCTGTATTTATTATTCTTTGTTATGGATTATTTGTGGGAGATGCAGGCTATTAGGGTAAATGGTAACAGTGCAACAAGGGATATAGAATGGAGTGATAGAATTTGGAATGTAGAGGTGAGGATGCAATAAGAAATGCGTTTGGAATACAGAGATGGGGATATAGAATGTCGGGAGGTACAGCAACATAGGAATTGTCTAAATGGCAAATCCATATATTATAAATTTAGCTCATTTACAAATCTCTTGCTCTGTGGAATCTAGTGTGTATTATTTGCTTGTGTGTGTGTGTATATGTGTATGTATGTGTGTATATATATATATTTTTTTTCATTCTAATTCTGCAGGGGGGGGGGGGTGTCTGTCTGTCTTATTAATCTCCTTCAGAGTACATGTGTACTGCTAATACTTTTTTTTTATTTTTTGCATTTCGTAACCTTGGCATTCCAAGTGTCTGGAAACTAATTTCCCATCATGTTCATTGGACATCAAAAGAAATTTAATCTTCTTTTACCCCCCTCCCCCCATATAAAATCTAGGATTTCACATGTTCCATTTCACCATGAATACTACTTTTTATAGATGAAATTAACTAACTATAAATGACAAGTGATGATGAGTAGAATCCTGATGGTAACTAGTGTCTATGTAAAAGATAATTGCTGGCTTTGCATATATTTTGTGAAAGTTCTGTTAAGCAGTCTGTAATACTCGTATATAGTTACTATGCAATATGTTTTGGAGGAAATAAAAAGCGACCTCGTGAAATTGATAAAATGTCCTGACACACATGAATTGGACGGTTGTGCTTATTATGCAATTGCTCTTGAACCTTTTAAACTAGAAGTAGCTTAATAAACCACATTTACACCACACAAGTAGATAATCCTAATGCAAGCCTTACTGGGCATCATACATTTGGAGTACTACTGTCAGATGTGACTTGTAAATACTTTGCTGTTGTATGGAACTAGGGATTTTTCATGAGTAAACTGGGTAACCCATTTTGCTTGTGCTTATTTTTGGTTTAGTGTACTATACATCCTCATTTCTCAAGTATTACATTTAACCCTTTTTGTAAGTGGTCTCACAAAAAACTGTTTTGTCACTCAAGCTGCCTCAGCAGTTTACTTTAGGAAAGCGAAATGGACTGAGCCTGCTGATTAGGATTTACGATGAAAAGAATTCTGACACTAGCTATTTCACTTTTTGGCAAGAATTTCTGCCAAACGTCTGAACTGTAAGTTTACTTTTAATTGTGTAGTTTTCATCAGTTCTTTCGGTTTCTATAGAGTTTATTGCTGTATGTAGGTAGTACCTTGAAATACGAAATTCTGCCCTTTAGGGTTCCACAAATTTTGGCTTATGTGGAATCCATAAACTTTCACGGTGACCCAGTTTTGGACAGTTTAACAGATAAAATGACTTTATGGAGCCAATTTGCAGATTAGTCCTCTGCTTATAAATGGCTTTATCTTGTGTTTATTTTGCTGAGACAGATTTAATTTAGCTCAAAGCCAAATCTTTAAATTTGTTTACCAGCAGTACCATTTGTTGAACTAGTATAAAAATCTGTCTAAAAGTTAGGCTGTGTGGAAGCCATCTCGCAATATTTTTTAGTTTTTACTGCCGCCTTATCCAACAATGCCATTGTGAATCATTAACCTTTTGATCAGTGGTGCAAATGCCTAAAATGTGTAAATGTACATATATTTTTATACATGTTTGAGATTGGTTTGGCATTTTGAAAGCTGGCAAACAAGAAATCTAAATTGCAGGTCATGGGTACTATTTGAGTGGCACTGCTGGTTTCTGATAGAAAGGTAATTTTTAATTTCTTTATCATTTTCAGCTGTCAGTAGTTTAATCATTAATTTCCCTTACCTTATCTGATTTAATGACTGTGTAATTAATAATTCTTACTGCATTATTTACTAAAGTGAGTTTCAAATAAGAGAGAACCAGCAAAAATAGCAGACTTGGATGAATTTTCTAGTTTAGATATTTTGCCATTTAATGGCATGTCATGCCCCAAACTACATGTGCTCAATCCAATGAGCATAAGATTTTATCTATACATTATGCTGACAGTTTTTCTCTCAGGTGTCAATCACTCCATTCCAACACTGGCAACAATGGGTTTACTAATGGTATATTGTGATTTGTGTGTGTGTGTGTGTGTGTGTGTGTATATATATATATGTGTGTATATATGTATATATATATATGTGTATATATGTATATATGTGTGTGTATGTATGTATATATGTGTATATATATATATATATATATATATATATATATATATATATATATATATATATATATATGTATTGTGTATAATTTCCTTGCACTCACGCTTTAATTGTTCCCAACGCCGGGTACATACGCCAGAGCTCCAATAGACACAAATGGCAAAAAGTGGCTGCTCACCGGACTTTTTTTATTGATTTTTTTTATTTTTTTTATTTTTTCTCTATCTCTTGCCAACTTCATTGACCAGATTTGCTCTGCTTGGGTTTGCGGAGGACCGCCAGGAGGTGGGTGTTAAGTTTACATTGAATACACTGGTGTGTGTGTGTGTGTGTGTGTGTGTGTGTGGTGGTTTTTCTTTTTTTTTTTCTCTCTTTAACCCCTTAAGGACACATGATGTGTGAAATGTCATGATTCCCTTTTATTCCAGAAGTTTGGTCCTTAAGAGGTTAAAGTTGAAATTCACTTTGAATTCTCACTTTAGTGAATAAAATGGTTGGTGTCTGTACACGTGTATACATTACCAGTATGACACTTTGTCAATATATGTGATCATTCTTGTAGGAGCACTTCATGCAGGAGCCCCCCCCTCCCTTTCCCCTTTAGTTAATTGTAGGGATACATAAAATATCTTCAAACAATTAGACTGAGATATCTGAACTTCTCTTGCCTGCTGCAGCATCCATGGGGATCAGAGATCTCAACCAATCTGAGTCCTCCCAGGGGATAGATAGGTCAGCAGTCCCAAGGAGTTCCATTGATGAAAAGGCTTATAGCAGCAGTTTGTGTAAATTGCTGTATCTATAAATAACAGAATGACAGAAGGCAGGAGAGCTCCTTATACTGTACGCTGCGCAAAGAGCACACATTGTTATGGAGATTCTAATATCTAACAATGTTGCATACGGTATAAATGCTACAAATACTAATAGATTTGTAATAAATGCTCTGTATATTTGTGTGTCTCTTCTGTATAAAGCTTTTTTTAAACTTTTTTTTTGAAACATATACCCTCATAGTTCCAGGGCTCCATCAAATGGGAAATTTATTTTCAGTGTACCTCCACTCCCCAAAACCTTCCTTGCATATGTTTAGAAAGAATCAGCCGCTGGAGAGCAGGGGGATTCTACAAGCTGTCTCTGGTATTGCAGCATGCAGAGACAGCCAGAATCCAACTTACACTGGGGATGAATCCAGCAGTTCCAGTTTCCCATTTACCTCTCCCTGCCGACAGGTGAACAGCAGGGGGAGGGAAATGGAAATCTGTTTCAAGTGTTTGTTTGATAAGTTATGCAGTTTAGATATACCAACACTGCAAAAAAAACGCATAATTAAATGCATTTGTGTTTTCATTGGGGGTATATCTACTAAACATTGCCATTTTGTATTTGGGCAGGGGAGTGTCTCTTTAAATCTGACGGATCTTATGCTGTAGTGTTGTTGACACCTTGCAATATCATACTCTGTAGTGCAAGATATAACACTGTGCACTAAAGAATTTGATAATATGGACTGTCCACTTGATATAACAGGCAGATCGTATAAGATACATGTGCACTATTTTTATTTTTTTTCATTTAAAAAAATAAATAAAAATCGACTGGGATTTTTGTGGTCCCTTCATGACACACTTCAGAATAGAAATAGCTGCAAATGAAAATGGTACCAGTATTTGCATCAAAGATAGAACAAACAGAGGCTGTAATTGTAAAGTTTGGCATGGTTCCAGCAGCAGTAACAGTAGCTCCGCTGAACAGGCTTATTCGCAGGTAGACGACATAGCCTTTTGTTTAAAACGGCAATTTCTTTGTATACATAATTCACTTTCTGTTGTGCTTTGTGCAAGTTCTCTGTTGGGTATCTGAGCATTGCAGAGACTGTAGCTCTGCAGGACTTTCTTTGCAGTAGAAGGTGAGTATGCTGCACTGTATTCTGGTTTGGTTTTATTTCAGTGTTACTCATTAGTTAACCGTCATTTTTGTCTAAAGATATTCATTAGTCTGGGTGTCATGTACCTGTCGGTTTAACCATGCAGCGTAAAACATTGCTGTTTTGCAGGAAAGGCAATGTTTATATTGCAAGCTTTAAATGCTTTCAGTGGACTAACTGCCCCTAGAGGCGCTTCCTTTAAAAAAATGTATGATGCTCATGCACACTAGCTTCCCAATGCTTTCCAATTGGTTAAAATCTTCTCTCTTGATGATCTCAGCCATAAGGGCAGGATGGCAGTGTGGAGACTGGCACTGCGAGGGAGAATAGGTAAGTAAACTAGCTCCCTTTTGCACAAGGTGGGGGCTGGGAACATAAACTCCTAACAAGGCACTTTAGCATTAGTATTCCTAACACTATAGTGTTCCTTTAAGATGCATAATAACTGTTCTGTCTATTGATAGATTTTATGGTTTTCTTGTGTGAAAATGAAACCATGTTTGCTATGCAAGGATAAAAAATAACAGCGAAAGCACCTGCAAAAGGGGTTGATGGAAAGCACTCTGCTGAACAAGCAGAAAATAATTGCACTGTTGAAATCACCAAATGTTGTTCACAAACTAATTTGAAATTCGACACACATCCACATGATGAGCGCTACATAAACTAACCTAGCTTGGATGACTGAGGTTATGCATTTGACAGGTGTGTAGCTTTTACCCACTGTGCGGCATCGCAATGTGCAATTTCCATCCAATGTTGCTATTTATTATAACAAAAAAAAAATTAAAAAAAATGTTTTCTCTCTTCTGCTATTGAAAGGTATTAACATTATTTGCAGAACCCCATAGAGGAGGTGTCGCAAACTGGAGCAGACTTTTTCTTTATTCGTTCTCTTTTTTTTGAAGCCATTATGTGTTCAGACATAAATCATGATGCTAATCTACATATCAAATGAAAGGGTTACAAGTGTTTTTATTAGAAGAATTCTTACTGGCATGCCTCCCTTTCCAACAAAAATAAAAGGAGGAAAAGAAAGCCTTGCCAACAGGCCAGTTTCTTCCTGCAACCTAATCCTTTTTGTCTAAAGGCAGAGGGATGCCCCACAGGATGGTTGAGGGTAGACCTTGGGCAGCAGGGAGGGGGTATGCTGTTGGTGATGGTTTGAAGAAACCCCAATTAAGTCAAGTCACTCAAAAGCTATTTGACTCAGTAATAAGTAATATAACTCTCAGGTTATCATAACCACAACAGGGTTCTAATGGTTGAGTTGACTGCCGTTTTTGAAGCACCAGATTTGCTCCTATATGATATAAATGTGTCCAAAGCATCTGACAGCCTCCCTGCATTGCATATAATCCCAATGAAGTTGCAAATGACTATGAAGTCATTTGAGACAAGTGACTATGAAGAATAATGGAAGGTATTTCTTAACATAAACTTAGATCAAGGCAAAGGACATCCTGGTAAATGTTATGGGCTGTGTGTTTTAAGTAGCTGTGGACAAGATCTTCAGATGGAAATATGTAAGACTATGCTATAGTGGTTATGGTGCTTGGAGTATTCCATTAAGTCATAAATTTTGTGTGGCATTATGAAAGTAACCCCATACTAAAGCATAAACAAAAATATTTTAGTCAGCATGCATCTCACAAAAAGCCGTACAAGCAGAAAACATTTGGAAACGATCAAATGACAGGTGCAGGAATACTGGAACCCAGCATCTCAAATTATAGACTCAGTCTGGGTGGAAAATAGTAATTACAGTTGGGTACATTTTAGACGCATGAGTTTTTTTTTTTTTTTCTTTGTATTGGGGTCATTCCATGTCAGGTATGCATACGCAGGCTGCCTTCCTATTTATTTTATTTTCTGTAAGTTGAGTAGTGCTTTCTAACAGTCCAAAATGAAACCAAATTGTTGGTAACAGTGCTTTACTAAATTTTTACGGTATAAAATTGTGAAATATATTGTGGTTTATTTAGTCTGATTTACGAAGGCTAATCAAATAAGATATTTAAATATACCAAAAAAAAGCAATGTGCTTCCACCAAACATGATAAGCTGTATTGATTTTTTTTTTTTTTTTTTTAAGGAAAATTAAGATTCTGGCCAATCCAAAAATGCCCTCAAACATTAATTTAAAATGAACTTGTAAAAAAGGTTAATTTGTTTATCACGGTGATGATCTATTAAGTGCAAAAAAATTCAATTTTTAACCGTCCTGTCTAGTGCTGCCATGTCATCTGCAGTGTGGATGTTACGCTTTTATAACATCCACCCTGGCTGTCCTTTCATTTGCATTGCTTATGGACACATAATGAAACAGTGCACATCTCCTCCTTGACACTGACACTGCCAGCATGCTGGTGTCTTAATGGAGTGACGTGTTCTTATAGTTCCTAGCCCAGCGCTAGAACCGTTGGCAACCACAATGCAGGCGTTGCTTTGTGTGGAAGGCTAGAGGGGACTGTATGTGTGTGGTTGTTTTTTTTCTTCTTCTCTCCCAATCACTCAGTACTTTGCATCAGGAGTGCAGACCTTATTATTGATTGACAAGATCCTCCCACCACCCCTGTGTGTAGATTTGCTCGTAATTCTGTTAGCACAATATATAGGTAGAATTTAATGCTCTTGTGAATACCATGACCGGTACAGGCTTATTGCTGCCTTGAAGAAAGCAACTGCATATATCTGTAGGAGGAAAAGAAGCACTGGGGTGAAAGAAAACATTGTTATAGATTAGGAGTTGTCCTACCCAACAATGTGGACTACTGGCTGTAGGCAGCACCCATTTACTTTCCATTTCATTAGAACACTTTTTGCTGCAGTGCAATCAGTACAGTGGGTCACATGATTTTCATGATGGAGAGCATAACTGAAGTTTAATAAAAATGGAATGTAGATATTTGAATATGTTAAATATTTTACCACTGATATGGAACTGTTAGTAAGCAGTGAGAATCATTACCTGCTGGTCAGTCAGTATTTTGTCAATCTTTGTTTAATTCTGCTTTTTCTGTACATAGAGAGCTCTCCTGTTTCTTTTAAAAGTGAAAACCATGTGGTTGTAGTTGTCACAAATAACCGGTTATGTTGCTTTGTTCGAGGAATGAATATAATTTTGAATATTCTATGTTTATTGACACACTCATGCTTCCTAAATGTAATATCACCCAACTTTTTTTTTTTTTTTATATAAACCCCCCCGTAACCCTAATCTATACTCTACATAATTGCTCAGAAAGTATGCATTTCATTAGTGGATATAAGACCAGGCCTCACATTTTGTCAGTAGCTGTAAGCAACCCGTGCAGCACATACAGATTGTGTATATTATCAATTGTTGCTGATTGAAAGATTACTTCTATTACCTTTTTGAATCTAAAACACAATACAACTTTCATGCTTGTTTTTATTAAAGGATCACTATAGTGTCAGGAGAACAAACCTGTTTTCCTGACACTGTCATCCTTGGGGGACCCTTACCCTTAGGGTCCCCCTCCAATGGCGCTGAAGGGGTTAAAACCCCTCCAATGGTGCTGAAGGGGTTGAAACCCCCTTCAGCTTACCTTAATACAGTGTCTGGCTCCCTCGGCGCTGTTGACCTCTCCTGTCCCGCCGACGTCAGCTCGAAAGTGGAGCGCAATGCGAATGCGCGGCAAGAGCCCCACACATATTATAACAGTCCATTGGAAAGCATTTCTCAGTGCTTTCCTATGGACGTTCTGCACGCTGGATGCGAATTTCGCATCCAGCCTCTAGCGGCTGTCAGGAAGACGGCCACTAGAGGTTGGATTAACCCTGCTATGTAAACATAGCAGTTTCTCTGAAACTACTATGTTAACATCTGAAGGGTTAAAACCTGAGGGACCTGGCACCCAGACCACTTCATTGAGCTGAAGTGGTCTGGGTGACTATAGTGTCCCTTTAAATTGTTAGTCACCGTAACCCCATATCCTAAATGAGTGTTTCATGAAGATAAAATCTTTATAAAATACATTGACCGTGTTGGAATATCACTGAAGTTACTACCCAGTCAATAGATATACTAAGACAAAGTAGAGACTGCTTTCATAGTATTTTTCTTATGCTTGACAAAAGGCGCAGTCCCTTCTTGTCACGGTAAAGGGCAAAAGGTTTCTGGCTGTGGAGGGTCTCATGCGATCATCGATAGCGGTCTGTGTGTATGACACTGACAATGGCTACTGGCAGCTGGAGTGCCTGGAGCTGTAGAAAATGGGGAAGAAGAAGATGGCTGTAGCCATGAGGTTCAGGCATTACCTGCCTTCTGCCACCACACTGCCAGTGAAGCAGTCCCCATCTGGGCTCTTTGCAAATTAAGTAAAGACCAGTTACAGACCCTTCAACTCACCCAGTCCATTTAATCTTAATGGGGATAATTGCCTGTTTTTCGTAAGTATTTTTTATTTTAGAAACTCCAGTGTCATTGTTTACATTGCAGGATTCAATCCACCTCTTCCTGACAGCTGATAAAGGCACTTCCGTAAAACTCTAATCTGGGGGGGGAGGGAGAGCACCAGGGAAGGCACGGGGAAGAGGGGGTCTGCGTCGCCGTGCTCCTAGTACTCCTACTACATTTTACTCGGCTCTGCTCCCGGGCCCCTGATGAGCCCGCGCCGGAAGGCCCCTCCTCCAGGTGGCTCACAGACGGGTGCAACGCTACTGTATTCCGTGGAGTTCGGCTGTGAGGGACTCTATCGCAAAAATGTCATCCACTTTGTCCATCCATTGTGATACGGTAGGGATGTCCGTCGATTTTCATCTGGCGGGCATTAAGCTTTTGGCAGCATTGAGGAAGTGAGAGATTTCTTGTAGCGCGTCAGTGGCATCTGTGTGTGTGGTTGAGTAGCACGGGTACAGGTTCCGGGGGATGTCCGCGTCCAGTATTTCTGTTTGTCATGGATCTGTTGCCAGTAGCTTGCTATCTGGGGGCACGTCCACCATATGTACAGGTCCGTTCCCTCTGCGGCTTCGTTGCACCAGCACGTTCCATTGGGTATCAGCCCCATAGCGTGCAGTTTGGTTGGGGTCCTATACCAGCAAGTCAAGATTTTATAGTTAAGTTCTTGCATTTTGGTGTTGAGTATCCCTTGGTGAGAGAGGACGTGTATCTTCTTCCATTGCTGGTCCGTAAGAGTGACTCCCGTAGCCTGTTCTCTGTTGGAGTGGAAGTGTGCTGGGGTCCCTTGGTCGGACGCGATGAGCATTGGGTAAAGTATCGAGATTCCACGGGTCAAGTGTTCTCCGCTGGAGCAGTGTGTCCTCATACTGAGTGAGGTCTTTGTATATGAGCTGTCTCTCTTGTAGTGCTGTATTCGGTGATATCGGAACTTTAGGAAACCGGTTTAGCATGTCTGCATATGACTTTAGCTAGTTATTTGTGCACCACGCTGAGCTTCTCTCCCACTGAAACCCTCAATATCTTGCTGCGTTAGTCCGCCCGCTAGGTCGGGGTTGTGTACCACTGGAGTCAGGGGCGTCGGGTTGGTCGTGAGTTGTAGTTTGTATCGTATTATCGACCATGCTCTAAGTGTTGCCCTGATTAAATGGGTGGTCCCTTAGGTCTCGGTCCCGCATCGGGTTCTGCGTCCACGTTACCAACGGGATGCGTCTGCCAGTCCACGTCCGCTCCATGTGCACCCATTGTTTTTCCGTGTCCGGTACGTGCCAGACTATATAATCCACAGGAGATGGGTGGCTTGGTAGTATCCCTGCATAGATGGCAAGCCCGTCCCTCCAAGGTGCTTCGGGAGGATGAGCTGTGTCTTTTTTACTCTTGGGCCCGCTGACCACACGAACTTCAGTATCGCTGAGCTCAGGGATCTGAAGGCGGCCTGTGGGATCGTGATCCAGGTGGATTGGAACAAGTACAACAGGCATGGTATCTTCCAAACCATGATACGCAGAGGCTACCCCATCATAGCATATCCGCGGAGCATTTGAAAAATGGGGAGGAAGTTCTCCTGGTATTGCCGGGTCAGGTCTTTAGTTAGCCAAATCCCAAGGTACTTCAATTGCTGTGGGCACCACTGGAAGGGGAAATGTGTTTGCAGTTGTTCCACCGTCCCGGTGGTAGGGATTGGGGGAGGGCCTCCGACTTGTTTGCGTTGTTTCAAATTTGAGAGCTTCCCATACTTGTCGAAGGCTGAGAGTAGGTTGGGCAGTGAGGCCAGTGGGTTCCCCACCTAAGAAAAGGAAATGTGCATATGCCGCCACTTTATGTTCCCCCGTCCCGTCTGACCACCCTGAGAATTGGTTCCAGAGAGAGGGCAAACATGAGGGGGGACCGTGGGCACCCTTGGCGCTCCCTCTTTTTTTTTTTTTTTTTATCATCTCAAACGCTGGGGATATGACTCTTTTGATACGGAGCTGAGCTCTCGGGGTCTCGTACAGGGCTGCGATCCACTGAAGTATATTGGGTCCGATTCCCATCGCCCGCAGCATAGCTTGTAGGAACTGCCAATCCACTTGATCGAACGCCTTCTCGGCGTCGGAGAGGAGAAGGCCTCCCTGCGCAGAATTCTGTTGTAGTTGCATGATGTTGAGAGCCCTGACGGTATTATCCTTAGCTTCCCTTCCCGGGATGAAACCAGTTTGGTCCGGAAGGATCAGTGTTGGGACCAATCTGTCTATACGGGTCGCCAGATCTTCGTAAACCGTTTAAGGTCGGCATTAAGCAGAGATATAGGCCTGTAGCTGGTGCATGCAGTAGGATCTTTGCTTTCTTTTGGTATTACCGCTATGGTTGCCAGGAGAGTGTCCTCTGGGAACTGACCGCTTTTCAGAAGCGAGTTCAAGCCCTGCAGTAGTTCCGGCAACAGTAATCGATTCGGCTTTGTATCAAAGGATGGAATAAATTAATGGGATTAATAGTCATACAGATCAAGTCCAGAGGGGCTCCCAGTGACTTTAGTATTTGTGGAAGATATTCATCAAATAAGTGTTAAATGGCATACTAGAATATGTTCATGGTTAGTGTCTTGTAAGGGCATTTAGTAATGATCTTTCCAATGGTATTGTAATAACACTGTTTGCATCAGAGCAAGTTGAACAGAATGGTGACAGTAAGGTTAACATTAGGTTGGTTGCACATTCTTAGTTTAGTGACCCATTCTTCCATTGTAATCTAGTCTATAATAAAGTAAAATCTGCAAAATACCTTCAGTATTCTCTTCCCGTTGTGAAATGGATATCCATTACAAATAGCAAGCCAGCAGCACTGCAGGGAATAATTTGAGAGCAATTGTTGGAGTTTTGAGGCATATGATATCCCTGTTCAAATCACTGGGGACCCACTGAAATTTTGGTATTGCATTGCTGAATCAAAATGTATGTTTAGGATGTCTTTTTCATCAGTCCAGATGGTTGATTTTTATTTTGTGTGTCATTAAAACTTACATTAGAAGCGAAGGTCCCCCTCATAACTAATGGGTCACATTCAATATTGCTACAAGTCTCTAAACAGGGAATTTTTTTTGTCAAAAGCAGACAGTCCTTCCAATATTTTTGCAGGCTTTATTTGCAAACCTAATTCTTCGTACATCTGATTTATTATCCCAACTGAATGTATCCTCTACCCTATGTTTGCTCTGAAAAAATAAACACAAATATACTCAGAAGGGCAATCTGTCTATCTTTTGATTGTGTGGGAGGGGAGGGGGTGTATTTGTCAGTTTTCAAAGTTGTTTGTCAAAAGACAAGTCCTGCTGTGGCATGACATATGTATTGCTGTGGGTGCCCAGACCCGCAGTTACTATCGACCCAGGCTTCGCATCACCACAGGCCTCGCTCTTGGTTATAAAATGATCTGAAGGAGAAAGCTGTTATGAGGGCACAGCGATTTGTTTATAACCTTAGGATGTAGTGCTTTGTTAGAATAGCCTTATCTCGTTCTTGTAATGCCCTTAGCCTGCTGTGAGGACAACTTTACCACATGCTTTGCTATCAGCTCCTGTTAACTGTAGACCTGTAAGCACAAAAAAAAAATCTGTATATGCTGCTTAACTCCTAACAAATGTATTCTTTATTGCCGTAAATCTAACATACAATTGAATTGTACTGTGTAGTTAAGAGATGAAAATAATGTAAATATAAACCCATACCCTGTCAACTGTATGCAAGCTAAGGCTAAGTAAAAAAAACTGGGAGAAGCGTTGATGCAAGAAACCCCTCTCTCTGGGTTCATCCAGGCCCCTGAGACTCCCATTCTGCATGTTGTGTTCTAGAGGAAGGAAGGAAAAGGGGGAAGAGGAGCTGACAATTATTCTAGAGATGTTTTAAGATCTCCCTTATTTGTGTGTAAATTGTCATCCTCCCCTTAAAAAACCCAAAACCTACAGTTTGTACACCCCTGCAGAATTAAATTTGTTTATTTTTGTGCTTGAAGTCTTGAGTAATTCATTAGAGGTGTGTGTGTGTGTGTGTGTGTGTGTGTATACATATATACACACACTCATTTATTTTTATTTTTCTTTGTGTGACACATGTCATTTGGTGCTCACTTCACCCATACACACTTTCAAATCGTAGACTGGGCACCCCAATAACCCTTACTAAATCTGTTACTTAATACTGTTGGCTTTTACTGCAATAAAATACCCCCATTTGTGTGCTGTGATGATCCCCCAAATACAACAGTTTTATGGTGGTTTTTGAAAGTTACAGGGACAAATGTAGGTAGGACTAGCCCATTTTAGTTTGTACATATTGATATTTGCCGGACCCTTCTTGCCTTTTGAGACTGTATGGCTGCCCAGGAATGAGAATTGCTCCCATCGTACCACACAATTTGCAAAAAAAGTCAGCCCAGTGTATTCAAAATTGGGTATGGAAATTTAACAAATCGATTTTCTGGGCCTATGTCTCCTTTGAGAGTGTATTGCGTCACTTTTGTAAGAGATGGAGGAGTTAGCATTGCGCTTACTGGTTTTCATAATGACTTCTCTGCTCTCGGTACTTTAGACCACAAATCAGAATATGACCCTTTTATACATAACCCCAGTTTTACTATAGTTTTTTGGCAGTGAGCCTTAGTTGGCCTACATACAGCACGGGGCATGTTTACTCTCTGCATTACTGCTGTTTAGAAAAATATTATTTCAATTGCCCTTTAAAAAAAAAAAAAAAAAAAAAAAGGAAAGTGTGAAACGCGCTGTTAATGTCTAGTTGAGCAGAGTGTATAAGGTTAGCTGTGTTTTTACTCGGACTAAGGTGCTGGAACGTTTAATACAGCTGCTAGTGGGACATGGAGGGTTCTTAAGACTGACTTCTGACCATTTCATATCAGAAGACCAACGCGTATATGTGCCACTTTCTTCAGGGCAGTATAATTTCTTTTTTCGCTTACAGCTACTGGCTTATGTGTAATTAGATCACCAGTGCAACTCAGAAATAAGTGTTATCGTTTGGATTGTTTTATATTCAATCAGGTGATTTGGGATTATGCTTTGCATGATCTAGTGCCGAGCTTATTTGCAGTGAGCCCCTTCAGGCATAGGCAACCTTCGGCTCTCCAGATGTTTTGGACTACGCCTCCCATGATGCTTTGCCAGCATTGTGGGTGTAAGCATTATGGGGGATGTAGTCCACAACATCTGGAGTGCCGAAGGTTGCCTATCCCTGTGCACTAGTATCTGTTTACAGGATTATTAGCTGATTAATAATGCTGATTATATGTGCTGTATAGATAATTGTAAGGTTTTGTCCTGTTACTTACATATTTTGTATAGTCAAGACTTTACAACAGCCACAACTGGCTGAAATATTTGTTAGCGTCTGCTTGATTTTCAAACTAAAAGCCTGCACTTTTGTACACTTTGAGTGCTTGGATCCTCCATCTAAGGGCTGGCCACAAATTGTCCACGGGCCAGTGGGATTTTATGCGGCCCACCTGTGGATTGTGACTTCAACTTATGCCACAAAGCCATATGCCCTGTGGGTTGCGAAAAAATAATTGTACACATACAAGGTGGCAGGGCCGATGACCTGGGGGTGTGTGGACCGCCCAATGTGCTGTGTACATAGACAGGGGTTTCGGGACTAGGCCCTGCCCCCTCGGGTAGATCCTGCCTCCTCTCTTTAGGCATGAGAGAGGCAGTGCCTAGTGTTAAACCCACTGCCTATGTTCACACCACACAGGGCGGTCTGCACCCTCCAGCACATCAGGTCTGCTGCACATTGTTGAAAAGCACTTTGCCCCCCCGCCTTGCATGCTTGCCCACGATAGCTTGTGAATCCACTTACAGAAAGGGAAACAATTTTGGCATTGCATTCCAGCACATAAACCCACACCTATTTAAGCAGACTTAATAACTACTCACTTACAGTTGGCTATTAGAGTGCAGGCTTGGGCCATTATCTCCAAAGTGACAGTAACTCTTTACTAAATAGATTTTATCTTGTATGGCTGCCACGCCTATACAAGCAGACTTTATAAGTAAAGTAATTTACAGGTATTAGGTAAGGGCAGTGATGGCTAACCTTGACACCATAAATTGTTTCTGGACTACATTTCCTTTGATGCTCAGCTAGCTTTTAGACTCTAAAAGTTAGCTGAGCATCATGGGAAAGTATTCCAGTAACAATTTATGGTGTCAAGGTTAGCCATCAAAATACAGATCTTCATTCACCTATAAATTCCTTGCAAATTTACTGTGATTACAACAAAAAATATTGAAATTAATAAAGCAACTTTAGTAAACTAAGCAGAACTACTGCAGAGCTCTCATTAAAATCAACAGTTGGCATTTGTAAGACCGTTAAACGGAATGACGTCATAATAAGGTATTGTATGTAATTATTATTTATAAAGCGCCAACGAATTCCGCAGCGCTGTACAATAGGTGGACTAACAGACAAGTTGAACACAGAGGGATTGTTGAGGGCCCTGCTCAATGAGCTTACATGCTAGAGGGAGTGGGGTATAGTGACACAAAGGGTAGGGTAGGGTAGGGAAGAAGGTTGATAGGATTCATTGAGGGCTTAGTGTTTTGTTCTGAGGAATCCAGTTGCAGGGAGGGATATGCTTTCCTGAAGAAAAAGGTTTTCAAAGATTTTTCTTTTTTAAGGAGTGGAGACTGGGTGACAGTCTTAGAGAGGGGAAGGGCGTTCCATATGATTGGTGCAGCCCTAGAGAACCCTTTAAGGTGGACATCAGAGGTGGGAGTACAGAGGTTAGACGTAGGTCTCCGGCAGAGTGTAGGGGCCTAGACTGGACATATTTGTGTATTAGGGAGGATAGATCAGAGCAGCATTGTGTAGAGATTTCTAAGCAAGTATCAGGATCTTAAATTGAGTCATATCTTACAGGAAGCCAATGTAGGGACTGACCGAGGGGGGCAGCATGGGAGGTGCGGGCGGACAGGAAGACGAGCCTCTCCACCGCGTTCATTATAGACTGTAACGGGGCAAGTTGAGAACACGTAAGACCACTGAGAAGCGAATTACAGTAGTCAAGGCAAGACACGACAGCGGCATGGACAAGCATCCTGGCTGTATCAGGCGTTAAATAGGGGCGGATGCGCGCTATCTTTTTGAGATAGAAGTGGCAGGATTTGGCGATTGGATATAAGGCATGAAGGAGAGGTTGGAGACAAAGCTAACTTTGCATGCGGCCCTCGGATTACCGATTGTTGGACAGCCCTGCTTTATCTAATTATTCAGTTATCTTGTAGTTCTTAACGCTTTGCACTTTTTATTTTTCCTCTTTAAGTTATAATCTGTACCAGATTCAATCCTCTGTTATTTTAAGTGTACTAGATATTTTAGATGGATAAAATCTTTTCTTGATCAAACATGGCAGCATCTACTTTACCCAGAAATCCCAAACTAATTTCAGGGAGGTTACTTCACTAGCTACTGGTGCGTGCCCCCTTCCGCCGCTGCCAATAACCATATATGATCAAGAACATTGTTTTATTTTGACCTGGACACATTCTGAACTGACTTTTGAAAGTCCCTAAATCCTGGACTGGTAGAGGGGGTCCTTGAGGACTGGATTGAGAACCCCTGGGTTAGGAGAGGGCTTTCAAAGGCAGCAGACAAGAGAAATGCAGGTTTTGTAAGCGATTTTTACATTGGGGTACAGATGGAAGCCTATGGTTTAAACAATTTAGGCTGTCAGTTGTTCAAATCCCCATTTGCTGCTGAAACACAGGCCTGCAGCAGTTCATCTGTCTCCATGGTTGTTTAGTGTGTTTAACCCCTAAGTACATTAGTAATTTAGAATAAAGACTAGTATAAGTACCTGGGTTAGGTTCTGTCAGTTCCTCCTTCTAGAAGGTGCTAGAACACATTTAGGAAGTCTTTGGTGAGAATTTAGGTACGTTTTATATATCCAATGAAGCATTTTACAAAAGAGTGCTGGTAATGGATATCCTGGTTGTATAAAGTCTGCCTGAATACCACAGTCCTGAAGGCAGCAAAGAGGCCAATACCCACGGAAAGAGGTTTGCCTGGGTGACTGATTAAAGTACACACTTAAATAACATGCGTTAAAAAGTCCACGCAGACTCTCCCTATCAAGCAGGGCTTGACAAATTTGGAAGCAGCTAAAAATGTTAGGAGCCAGATATTTTTACGAACAAAACTTTTAATTTTCAGCGACCAAAATAAAATTCTTAAAGGAATACTATAGGCACCATAACCACTACAGCTTAATGTAGTGCTTCTGGTGTCTACATTAAAAAGCCTGCAAGGACTGGCTATAAACACTGCCAACATTGCTGGCAAATCACACCTCTAGTAACAGTCACTAGGTGATTCCTAGTCCAGTGCTGCACAGTGTGTAGCAATGACGTTTGGCATCTGCACGCACTGAATGTTCCCCATAGAGATGCATTGATTCAATGCATCTCTATGGGTAGATGCTGAATAGTGCATGTGCAATAGCTTAGCATTGCTTTCCTATAGGCTAAGGTCATCAAGATTGACTCTTAGCCATGGAGGTGGGGCCAGCCATGGCGAGACCGGCAAGGGGTGGGAAAAAATTGGTTAAAAATCAGAGGGAGAAGGACACACTCAAAAATGTATCATTTAAAAAAATGTGTATTTTAATAGAAATCCACCCAGCCTCCCTACATTTTGGGAGAGCTGGAGTGGATTGACTTTCTTTGGGGTCCAGTAGGGCTGCTGTAATCTCCATCTCACGCGGTGTTGCGTGATGGCAGGGCCGGAGTGACCTCATATTCTGGCTCCCGGCATGACCGCGTTCTCCCTCACTGCCTTAACTGACCAGCTCACAAATCCTAGGCGTCAGGAGAAAACTCCTAGTCTGAGGTTTGTCGAGTCCTGCTATGAAAGTATTGATTTTGTTACCTGTGCCTTTTAGCACATACACAGGATTCTTTTTTTCTCTTTCAATGTAATAGTAAAAATAATCAGTGGATTTACTTAATTGAAATTCTGAAAAGAATAGTTGATTGCAGCCCTTCCAGGCTCTGTATTATCTTGAGGTATAGCCTGTGTGTTGGCAGATTTAGTATTAAATGGAACAGTGGTCTTGTATCTTATGCCAAGTCTCCTTTTTATCCTTGTCTCTTATTTATTTTAGCACATTATGTGTCTGCAGATACCATTATAGGTCCTTTTTAAACTGTTTCATTAAAACTGATTTGTGAAAAATGGGAAACACTACCAATTTGTGTTGTCGCTATTGCCAATTATAATAATTTTGAGAAATTGACAGTGGTTTACCTTTTTTTTTTTTTTTTAAACTTCCGTAGAATTAGCCGCTAACCGGCTCACCGCTTCCATACTGATATTGAAATACTCAAATTGCTTGGAGAGAAACTTGCAAAATGCAGATATTTCAGATGGCTCTGTGTATTGTGCAAATTTTTATTATGGGTTTCACACTACCTACAGTAATACCCAATTTGCAATAAAACTCTATTATATAATGTGTTAGAGTTTGAGTCCAAATGCATGTCTGTTTTGCCTCTTCACTCCTGTATGCTGCATCTGAAATATGGTAAACAGTACAAATTGTGGTGTTCATTCCTCCTAATGGTTTTACACTAGGAATATATACTAAAGGTTGCAAGGTTTTGCTAGTATAGTCTCTTTCCTACTTTCCTTCTTTCCTTCTTGGACAATAACTACTACAGTCAGCTGTCCTGGTTCCCTCAAGGGGAAATCGCCAAACCATTTGAGAACAGTTTTATAACATACTTTGGGTCCACTGGGCACCTCCTTGTGTACTTCTGGAAGCTCCTGCACTTTTATGACACGGCCTTCTGGCCTGATGGGAGGTGCCACCTGGCAGTCCACTGGTAATTTCTCAGACCTCTCTCAAACGCTTTTGACTACTTACACTGGGAGAACTGCTGTTCCCTCCTTGCACCTTAACCTCTAAAGGAGACATAGTGGTTATGGTGCTTGGAGTGTTCCTTTAATATAATCTGATTTAGTCCAATATGTGGCCTTTTTTTTTCATTAACCTTCTTTTTATAGTAAACCATGTCATTATGTACAACAATTTCCAACAGACCCAGCAGAAGATAATGTTTAAAGATCATTTTTTCCATGAAGGCTGTATGAGTCCAAGCCAGATGAAGTTTGGATCAGGCAGCATAGCAGTGATACTGCAGGGGCATGATCTATACACCCAAACTGCTTTATGAAGCTAATGTTTGTGGGTTTATTTTATTTTTTTGGTGCCTTTAGTATCCCTTTAATGGTTTATTTATGTAGATGCCCTCCGTTTAAAACTTGAACTGCATGGGAGCAGACTGTTTATGTGTGTCCCAAAGTAGAAATACTGTTTTTAATGGCATAGTTGTTTTCAGGGCACTCTTCTACTGCCTCATGACATTCTGATTCTCGGTGCCAGGAGGTAGTGTTATTGTGTCATTTCCTCCTGGAACACTGCAGGAATAAACCACTCAGGAGCACAGGTAGCATTGAAACTTTCTCTGTTACTGCAGTATGCAGAGAGAGCCCACAATTTGCTAGACACGAGGAACAAATTGCTGCAGACACCAGAATCTCTGCGACTCCTGACTTAGCTTAGATACTTGGGGGAGGTGACTATATATAAAGCGTGCATGGCTTCTTGGAGTTTATTTCTGTTGTTCCCAAACTTCTTAAAAATGTGCGATAACAAATGGTAACCATTCTGTAAGGTGGTAATAGTAAAAAAATAATTTTTATTTAATTCCGACTGGTGTTTTGACCAGACCTGTGCAAGCTTATTCTTGTCTTACAGACCAGCTCTACATGTTGTGGACAGAATATTAGCTAAAGTAAAATACCTATTTACTCTGCATAACAATCAGTATTTTTCAGTGACTACTCAAAATGGCCGCTGGGAGTCATCCCCTCCCATTGTGTAACCAAGATGGAGCTGGAATCGGGGGGAGAATTTCATGATAACAGTAACATGCACACCCAGTAGGATGTGCATTGAATAAACCACCTAACATCTGACCAATTATTGTTGTATTTTTCTGTTATCTGTAATTATGCATGTGATGTATTTGTGCTTTATAAGGGGCTCCCCGCCCCCTGATTAAACATTCCTGAGTATTTCATCAACCAGGAAACATGTGTCTGGTGTGATTTACTATGGAAAGCATGCATGCACCATAACCAATTTGAAAAGGGGCAGATACACAAAAATGATCAAACACTTGATTTGATCCTTAGCTACAGTAAAGGATTTTCATTGCAACACTGGTTCATATAAAAGAAACATCTAACTCTGATATACAATGGTTACTGAAATCAGTCTACCTCGTTGAAATTTTTACACCGAAAACTCTATGAATCTATTTCAGTTGAGATCACTGTATGCAGCAGATATTGCAGCCTTTTCAAAGCACGGCCGTTTTGATTTCTAAACGGTTATTTGTGCATCCAAACTCCAGCATATCTGTTAACAAAAGGAAGGTCTCTGGGGTGCATTGAATACTTATTTTTATGCCGTATATTTTTAGTTACAGGTTAATGCATTCTCTGCAATGAAGAGATCCACTGTGTTCTGGAATAGCACTGCAGCTACTAAGGCATGAGATCAAGTCAGCATTGTGTTTTTCCAGTTCTCCATAAGCATTTGTAAACCTGTATTTAAATTGCAATGTTTTTGACATATTCATGTGAAGCAACTTTCAGAAAACTTAGGTCATGCTGCTGTATGTAAAACTAAAATACAAAATAAGTGTGTGTTTGTTTTTTTTTTTGTTTTTTTAAAACCTGCCTTTTGATCCAAGGGTAAGCACGAAGTCTATAGTGTAGGGAAAGTAACTGTGACAGAACAAGTGTTTACTATTTGATTCCATGTCAAAGCTTGAATTGCTTGTAAGGGTTTGAAACTGATTTTGTATTGCATGAATACACTCGGGAAGCATTCTCTGTGGTTGCCTTCACTCTATAGCAGTTGAAGGTTTCTGTAAACGTTCATGCTTGCAGTAGGAAAGAGGGTGGTAGATATACAGAAGGTGAATAAAATATCCAATGTTATAAAAAAAAAAAAAAGTGACTCGGATAAATTGTCATTCGTGTTTTGAATAAAATGAAGAGATGTGAATTAATTTCCATACCACCATCTGTCACATTTCTTTTGCTATAAAGTGTTTCCTGAGCTACTTGGCGTTTTTATTTAGTCCCTTACGGACTGGTGAGGGTATCATATAGTATCTGAGTTCTGGGTCCTGTTATGATCACAAATACAGGTTGTTTTGAAAAGATACATTGGGGAAAAAAGATTTAGGAAAAAATGCTGGTTATATGTAAATGATCTTGGTACAATTACTCAGACATTTAATGCTGCAAAGTTGTTATCCATCAAATGTTTCATTTTTAATTTTTATTTATTTTATTATTTTTTAGGCGCTATGGTTTGTGGTCCCGGTTACGAATGTGCCTAATCTTCTTGGTTGGATTGTACATAGCCATTCCATTTTTAGTAAAGATCTGTCCTGCTATCCAAACTCAGTTGGTCTTTTTAAATTTAGGTAAGTGTTCTGATTTCTTCCAAATTTGTAATCCTGTTGTCTCTTTCAGTGTAGAGCCAAGGTTGATATAGAACAAATACCCAAAGGTAATCTGCAATACAATAGTAACAGAGAAAAACATCTTGTAAGTGTGCCTTTATATTAAAAAGTGTCATTTTATTAAGATACTCTGCACTATTATTTTCTTTGTTTCCTTCTATATTTGCCATGATGTTCCACAAATCCTGAAGTTTCTACATCTTTCAGATATGCTTACAATCAATATTGGTTTGTGAGTGTGACTTATTATCAAATTATTAACTCACAATTGTTGTAACATTATTGCACTATGGTTTTTCTGTTACTATTGTATTGTAGATTACCTTTTTGGGTATTTTTTTTTTCTATATTGCTTTGAAGACTGAGAGGAGTCCTTATCTACAGTACAAGGGTAATTGTTGTAAATTTTTTACCTACTGCCCACTGAGTGTGTGTTTTATTCACTAATAGTTGTATCTGTATACATTATATCTAGAGCCAAGGTTGGCAGACTTAATTTGAACAAACCATTGACTAACATTGATGGTAGTTGTCCAGTAGAAAGAAAAGAGACCAGTTTGCCTAAATCTCCACATAGCCAGTAATGCGTTATTTCATGAACAAGCCAACTGCTCACATGCAAAAATGGTCATCCTACTTGAGTGGTTTAGACATCTTGTGGTATGAAGAGGCTGTCAGACGTCCTAGCACTATAACTGCTATCTTCCATATATATCATGCATACATTTAAAGGGGCAAATAGCCTCTCCATGTTAGAGTTTGTGTTAGTGCAGGTTTGACTCTCTGAATGTTTTGGTTGCTAGTACCTGGATAGCAGGAAATCCCAGCTGCACAAAACATTAAAGGGACACTATAGTCATCATAACTTTAGCTTAAGGATTCAATTTTAGTGTATAGATTATGTCCCTGCAGTCTCACTGCTCAAATTTCTGCCATTCAGACGTTAAATCACTTGGCTCATGCAGCCTTAGGCACACCTCCATGCGTGCGGCTTGCACAGGATTCCTAAACTCTTCACATAAAGTAATCTAATGTTTAGACTTCCTTTTATTGCAAATTATGTTTAGAATTTATCTCCTGCTCTGTAGCTTTCTAGACCCTTCAGGAGCTTCCTGTATGTAATTAAAGTTCAATTTACAGAGCAGCAGACAAAACAAATAATTACTTAAGTTACATCTGATTGAAAATGAAACCATTTTGTTATCATGCAAGCTGTCATTAAGAGCCAGGGGAATTGTGGCTAGGGCTGCATAACAAAAGTGATTTAACGCCTAAATAGCATTGAATTGTGCAATGAAACTTCACAGGCATGATCTATACACTAAAACTGCTTCATTAAGCTAAAGTTGTTTTGATGACTGTAGTGTCCCTTTAAATATAGACAAGGCGTTACCACTTTAGTCTCATTTGCCAAGAAATTAGTGAGGCTTTCCATTTAAAGAACATGAGATTTTAATTCGCCATGGGAAAGTGTTTTGAAGTTTCCCAAGCTCCTGTTTTTTTGTTGTTTTTTTTTTGTTTGTTTTTTTTGCAATGCTCATAAACCTTTGCTGCAGATGGCAGCTGAATAGTCAAGCCTTCATGGACCTTTATACTAAACACTGTACAGAACATGTGGAAGACCCAGTCTCAACTGCCCTTAAAGCAGAACCACTTATAAACAATATAAAGCCACAAAAAAAAAGACATCCTTCTGGAAAGTGCTAAAGAAAGAAGTGGTTATTTAAAATAATTTTTGCACTTTACTATGTAATGCTGTGGCATTTGGAAAATGCTTTCGTAATGTAACCTAGGGCATGAACGTATTACAAATTGTTACGTCAAACTTTGTACACAAACAAACTTTTTTTTTTGCCACACATCCCCTTCTAAAAAAAAAAAATGCACAATACCTGGTTTATTAGAAGCTCCAGGGATTATGAAGATATTTTGATCAAGCTATTTGTCTGACTTTCTCAACCTTTTTGTAGGCAAATTTGTAAAAATCATATGATATTGCTTATCTTTGCATTCGTGGCTTGTGTAACTTAATCATGTGATCTTTAGATGTATTATATTCATCTAGAAACGGATTTAAGGAAGATATGTCTGACTATGAGACCGTGTCACATGCTTACAAGGTAAAAGAGGGCTAAAAACAGAACTCACTCTGTGACTGAGCTCAGCAGAAGTTGTACTCCATAAAACTTCAGACAGAGACTAAATTTTACTTAGCTTTCCAGTTAAGCAGATAAAACCATACAAAAATAAGTCCTGCAGACAAACTGCTAGTACTCCTGGGCGGCTGTAATGACTATCAACCCCAATACATACAATAAAAACCAAAGAAAAGCGTCACTTGCTCACTATCCCAAATCCCTATGTAAATTTAAATAACTGGATGTTTTTAGTAGGCCACAAATGGCATTTTTTTTTTTTAAACCCCCCTCCCGATTCTAATACATCTAATAGCCCCACTGGTTGCCCCCAAATGCCCCTATACCCCCATATTACCTATATTTAATGTTTATTTTCTGCCCTGACCTAGGTCCTGGGCGCCACCATCTTTGTGTGGGTAGATGAAATCCCTGCCCAAATTAGATAGCGCTGTGAAATTCTCGCACATGCAAAGTTCGGCATTCGGACGGGAATTTTGACCAATTATTCTTCAGAAATACCGAATGTCTGTTCATTTGTTCGTTGGTTTATTTTAAGGAGGGAGCTGCCAGCTTAATATGTAAAAATAGAAGCGTCAGGGAGCTATGCTCCCCGCCCCTTCCTAACCCTCCACATGTCCTCCCTCACTCTATAGGGGTTAATATGACCCCCCATAATAGCATAAGGGAGATTCAAATCTTCTGAATGCCCCTACTAGCTATGCTGCGAGTAGGGGCATGTCACCTAAACAGTGAGCAGCTGGTGGCTGCTCACTGTTGTGAACCCCCATCTATTAACTAGCCCCTCCCCACCTATCAACTAGCAGAGGGTACATAGTGTCCTCTCCGAACTGCCACCTATGCACTGAATGACAATGACTGGGGGACCTATTGTCCCCCGCCCCGGGCCCCAACCCATGGGTGTCGGGTGGGGGCTCTACATGAAATTGGGGGGGGGCGACCTATTGTGCCCACCCATGGTCGGCAGGTGGGGGCCCTAAATGGCAATGGGGGGACCTATTGTCCTATTGACCTATTGTCCTTCCCCCAGCCTCCACCCATGAGCGGTGGGTAAGGGCTCTAAATGGGGGTGGGGGGGGCGGGAAACCTGGGGAGGATGACTAGGGGTTCCCAAGCCCCTTGTTTGCCCACCCTCCCCCAAAAAATACATTTCTACCTACCCCCACCCCCACCCTAAAAATAGTGAGGGGTGACACAATAAAACCAAGTCCCTGTAAATAAAAAATACTTACCATTTTAAGTCTTCTCTCTTCATCCCCAAAAAAGGCCAAATTATAAACCATAAAGCCCGTCGAATGTATAAAATATATAAGACCCGAGCGCCCAAAAAAAAATACTCTAAAAAAAAAAAAAGAAAATCCGTTATTTGTTGGATTCCTGACTAGGGGCTTGGGGACCTATGTCTCACCCCATTGTCACCAGTGATATAACTAGTAGGGGCAGGATAATATTAAGTTAAGTAATTAAAATTAATAAGTAATTTTTACTTGGTATTAGTAAACTAGCCTTTTGGTAGATAGCTCCCTAATACTGTGGAAATTAGGGACCTATTTACTAAACGGTTGTAAGATGCAGCTGCAGCACGAATAGGATCGGAATTTTTCATTCAAATGAAATTCCGATACGAACAAACTAGCGAATGCCATTCTAACACTAATGAACAAACTGTTAATTCTGTTAGGGCGGAATTCGGTATTTTTGCCAGCATCCTATCTGTATGACCGGATGCTGGGGACTAGTGAAAGGAAGCATTGCGAGATCAGGTGAAAATTGTGGGGAAATGTCTTTGACCGCGAGAAGTGGGTTAAAGCTGGTCAAGCGTAGGAAACCTCCATATGTTTTAAAAAAAAAAAAAAAACTAGAGCAGACAGAAAGAAAGGGGGGAAAAAAAAGAACAGATCCTGGGAGAGAAGAGGAATTGATTAAAGAAAGGTAAATTCAGCTTGACAGTGCTGCTATGAGTGTAAACGCAGTTCCCTGATAACCCAGAACACTCTGTTCCCTTTTCCTCACTTGGCAGTTTCTGCCTTTAATTCTGACCTCCCTCTCCCAGGTGCTTTCATCTCCCTCATTTGCCCGTAATGCTTAATAGTAAAACCGTAAGATGTGGTCTCTGAAAAGCCCATGAGTGATTGTCCTCAAAGGCTTTGCATCACAGCTTTCTATCTTTCATTGAAGGGCACATAATAAATCTTATTTATCTGATGAAAAATAGTTCACGCAGGTCCTAAAATTTCCAGTCCCTTGCTACTACCCAATCCTTTAAAAGTTACTTGTCACGGCAAGCCTGGAGAGTGTATGTCACACTTACCAGAGCTAAATTTTTCCTTGCCGGAGTTACATATTCATTCACCAATGGTTAGCGGCAAGAAGAAATTTTAAAGATTTGGTATGTTTGTATACTCCTCTTTTTTTTTTTTATTTTTTTTTTTTACTTATTGTGTACCGTCTACACCTTTCATAGATCTACATGCACAGCTTCTTCTCTATGCTATATGTTTTTTTTATTTATTTATTTTTTTCAGTGCGGTTTCCCTATTTTATTGATCTTAAGAGGCCTCAGGATCAAGGTTTGAATCATACCTGTAACTTTTACCTGCAGCCAGAGGAGGATGTAACTATTGGTGTCTGGTAAGTGCTGTGTTGTATTGATCCTCCCTTAAAGGAACACTCCAGCTTTAAAACGAAATACTTTTATGTATAACCTTTAGGTGTAAAAAATAAAATAAAAAGCTAAATCCGTTACGAGTCTTTTTAAAGGAACACTTTAGTCCTTTACATAGTTTCAATGTTGCAAAATAATTGTTTTTCCTCACAGATTATAAACTTTTTATTACAGATAAATATAAAGCAATGTTTGTTCTTTGTTTGCTTTGTGAATTTCTTTCACATAGATGGTTGTTATGGGGTAAGAGTCTCTCCCAGGCACCTCCAGTCATGCCCCCTTCTGATCCATCTAAAATTGAGGTTTCCCATCTGCAATACACTGTGCATGTAAAGCAACGTTTATTATTATAATAGTTAGTACATTTTCCTCCTGAAAGCTGTTTGACAATGAGCTCCAAAACCATAATAATGTGTACTTTATGTACTGCTGCACATGTGAATAATAGTTAATTCAACAAATGCCATGCCATATAGCACGTTGAGCTAACAGATGCATTTTTATTAGAACCCTCTGAACGCGGTTATATTGTGTGTTTTCTCTCCTATAAGATAAGCAGAATGCACATACATTAGAATGGTCTACCTTCCATCCTGAAGCCCAGCTGTTGGCTCATTGGGACATATGCTGCACTTTGTATTTTAAGTTGTTAGATTTAAATCTTCTACATCTATTTATTTATGTGTAGAAGATTTAAATCTAAGTATTTGGTGGAGTTTGTTTTTTCTGCTATTATCCTGTTGGCTGTATGTATCTGTTTGCAATGGGTGTGTATATATAGTCATTTCAAAATTTGGCAGAAGCTAGTAGTACTTGTTATTCCTAGCCAATTCTCCCAGTTCTTACGGTTTCCAACAGTAGCTTGCACCCAAATCTCTAATGAACAATACACTTTTTTGTTTGTTTTTTTGGGGGGGGGTTTCTTTTTAATATGCTTTTTGTATTTTTAGGCACACCCTTCCTGCAGTTTTATGGAAAGATGCTCAGGGAAAGGACCTGGCATGGTATGAAGACGTAATGTCCACTAACTATCCTGTAATTCTCTATCTACATGGAAATGCAGGCACCCGGTAAGATTTCTTAGTATGTGAGTGACTAATGGGGGCTTAAGTATTGTTCAGACTTTCGTTTTAGGCTGACACAAGTCCTTAAGACGTTGTGCCTTATGCATCACATGATCCTGAAAGACTGAATATTGCCATCCATAACAACATGCATAACAAAGACAGTCCTGGGGCATATCTCAAAATATATGATGTAGTTTTGTTAAAACAGTTTTTTTTTTGTTTGTCTGTTTGTTTTTTAAATAAACAAGTCAGTTAGTGGTATAATCATCATTTTAAATTTAATGCCAAAACCTTTCCCCTCTCTCTGCAAATCTACTCTTCCCTTAGTTCATCTTCTCATGTCACAACAAACTATTCAGATTATTATATGAATCTAAATACATGTAAGTTAAGTGTGTATTTATAGAAAAAAAAAATTTTTGTTTTTTTTTTGTTTTGTTTTTCACTCCCCCTAGCATGTGACAGATCCTTAGTAAATTAATTTAGAAGTGCTCTAGGAGTCCCCTTTTGAATTTGGTTTGCGGTTCTCAGACTGCTGTATTTTGCGTGGCTTATTCCTCCTATACACCTTTTAATGTTTTTGTAAGGATTTCAGTTCTACACTTATCTTGCTGTATACTGTAGACAGGACAGGTGTAGCAGTACGTAGTCTCATCTTTGGAAGTGTAGGAAGAATCATTGGGGAGAAGACCAACATTGGCTGTTAATTATAGTTTATGCAGGCTGAAGGATCCTTTGATATTTGTAAAATTTCAACATTGTAATTCTTCCTTCCTGTCCTCCCCCCTCTCCCCACCCCACAGAGGAGGTGATCACAGAGTGCAGCTATACAAGGTATTTATTATGTTTCATTTTGTTACAAATGGTCATCTTTCCACCTTTCCAAATTAACTATGTTCTTCTTGAATATATATCATGTAGAAAACTATCCTAGATATTTTATTAAAATCCTTTATTAAACCACATTTTAGTTAAAAAAAAATAAATTAAAAAAAATCCATTGTCCTAATGTGTGTTTCTCTACCATGATAGAAGGATAACTGTATGCTGTCTTCAAATATATGTCAAGAGGAAGTCGTTCCCATTATATTATTTCTTGGCCTAACTGCAAAGAGATACCTCACTGCCCAAATTAAAGAAACAAATATACTGTTTACTAGATATACACCCAGTGAAAACAGGCATGAGTTAATTATTTTTTTAATTATTTTTTTTTTTTTTGTATTGGGGTTTATCTAAAAACAGTTTGCAAAATTGGCAGATCTCTTTTTTTTGAGCTTTAACAAGCAGTCTTCTAACCTAGCCCAGACTTTCTATAGCTGTACAATAAGGAAGTAATAGGACCAGTTATCGGACCGCTGGGTGTGTAACAAGGTTAATTTGTTAATGGTGCTAATTTCTATTGAAATCTGCATTTTGTAAAATGAAGAGACCTAATCTTCACATATTTGCTTTAGTGGTCTGGTGTGCCACTTTATGTTGATCTGTTCCATCTGGAATGGTGGAATCTTCTCCTCTAATATCAGCTGTGTTTGAACTACAGTGGAACTCCCATTCTCAGCAACTTCTTTGCAAAACCTGCCTATTGCTGGATCTTTAGCTGATTTGATTAGCTACTGTCAAAATGGAGGAATACTATGATAGATAGAACATCTTGTTGATACTACCTAACATGAATTCACTAACTCTCAATTCTTTGTCCACTTTGCATTTTAGGTCCTCAGTTCAATGGGTTTTCATGTTATTTCGTTTGACTACAGAGGTAAGCACTGAATTAAGCATTTACTCTCTACCCTCATAACCTGATTTCACTGGTTGTTGTTGGTTGCATATTCAGCAATTGCTAGGTCATGAAGAATTAAAATAGATGTGTCTTGTGATTGGGATATGAATTGGTGGCATAGGCGTGCGCAGCCTATTGCATTAGGGTGTGCACCCTAAAGCACAAGCACATGCCGCATATACGTGTGTGTGTGTGTGTATATATATATATATATATATATATATATATATATGTGTATATACACACATATATACACACATACACACACTGCTGTGTGTGTGTGTGCTGTGTGAGGGTGCTGTTAGTGTGATGTGTGTGACGGTGCTGGTAGTGTGCTATGTGGGTGAGGGTGTTTGTGTGTGCATGCTTGTGAGGATGCTGTTAATGTACTGTGTGTGAGGGTGCTGTTTGTGTGTGTGCGCTTGTGAGGGTGCTGTTAATGTACTGTGTGTGAGGATGCTGTTTGTGTTTGAGGGTACTGGTAGTGTGATGTGTGTGTTTGTTAGGGTCCTGTTTGTGAGGGTACTGTTAGTGTGCTGTGTGTGTGTGTTGGTGCTGTGTATGTCTGTGGGTGCTGAATGTGTGTCTGTGGGTGCTGAATGTGTGTCTGTGGGTGCTGAATGTGTGTCTGTGGGTGCTGAATGTGTGTCTGTGGGTGCTGAATGTGTGTCTGTGTGGGTGCTGAATGTGTGTCTGTGTGGGTGCTGAATGTGTGTCTGTGTGGGTGCTGAATGTGTGTCTGTGTGGGTGCTGAATGAGTGTCTGTGTGGGTGCTGAATGAGTGTCTGTGTGGGTGCTGAGTGTCTGTGTGGGTGTCTGTGTGGGTGGGTGGGTGCTGTGTGTGTGTGTGATTGTGGGGGTGGAGGTGGGGGTACATTACTTGCTATCCCCTCTCCCTTCTTACCTTTTGTAGGGAGGGGGGATCGTGCTGCTGATTCCATCCCTGGTGGTCCAGTGGTCCTGTGGGGCTAGAGTTCACTCTCGCGAGATTTGAGCGTTGCCGTGGCAACGCTCATATCTTGCGAAAGGAACCCGGCGGAGCTGCTGGCAATAGCTCCGCCGGGTCCTCTCCTGCCTCCCTCCCTGCCTGTGGGTCAGTGGGGAGGGAGGCTGAGAGCAGAGCCGGCACTCGGATAGCGCCGGCTCTGCATGAGCCGACAGGGGATATCCTGAGATCTCCCCTGCCGGTCTCAATATACATAGGCGTGCCGCGGGATTAGGGTGTGCCGAGGCACACCCCGTGCGCACGCCTATGATTAGTGGGCACATTTTTTTGTGTATATTCTTTTTGGGAATGCATACTTAAAAACTCTGGGGGAAAACCTATGAGCATTACATTAGAGGGTTGCGATTCAACATTTTCCTTATTTTTGTTCTTAAATCTGATGGTATAAAAATGGTGGGCAGGATTTTTTTACTTGGGGTGGGGGGGGCTGGGGAGGAGTTAAAGCAACACTATAGTTTTAGGCATTTGGAACAGCTATATTAAGCTATGGTAGGTCTGTGGCTAGAGTGTCCCTTTAATGAGGAGAGAGATTCTAAATACAGAGTTGAAGAATAGGCTATTTAAGTCAACTTGAATGACAAAACTGTCTAGGTAAATGACTGTACTTGACACTTTAGTGTGTTCTGTATCACATACTGATTTAAAAAAAAAAATGCAAGCTTAGAAATGGTGAAGGCAGCATTTGGGCCTGGAATTGCTTTATCAGAACATAGTATGCATGATGCATGGCATTTCCTGAAACAAGGCTACTGGCAAGACTTGAAGGAGTGTGTTGGCACCTATCATCTAGTGTAAAGTAAGAAAGCAATCATAGTTGGTCATTTGTTATGGCCCAAAAATATTCTGGAATACTCCTAATATGGTTGAAAGTGGAGCTCCTAGAATAATCATTTGTGTTTTTCCTAGGAATAAGTCAGTAGTGGGAACAATCCTTCTGTTGAAATTGGGAAGCACTAGTTGAATGTAACCATGCCTAAATACACACAAACTGCTCTGCCAGATCAAATTGAGCCTCCTTTAACGGAGTCATTTTTGTCATTAAAGTTTCCCCAAGTTGGATAAGGACAGTGGTGGGCATTGTCAGATTGTTGCAGTGTCATTGGAAAAAAATATAAGTAGGAAGTGGGGAGGCCAGCAAGTAAATATTTCAGATAAGGGACAACTTGGCTATGTGTGCTCATTTCTGAGTGTGCCTTACCAGCTACTCGCAGAACAGTAAAGTCCTTATCTCCAAAATAGTCCCCTGGTCTGTTGCAGGCTCTTCTAACACAGTGAAATGCTACAGCTTTTAAGCGTTTTTCATTCGCCTGTCTCTCCCTGTGCCACTTGCCATGAAGGGTAAGAAGCTTTGTTAGCAGCATTAAACTAGATGGACTTAAGGAGTTGTGAAAGGGGAGCAGGGGAGATTATTTACCTAGACTCTGTATTTCTGAGCGAGTAGGGGCTTGGAGCAGCCTATTAAAGTGCAAGTAATGGGTTCAGAGACATAGTAATCAGTCTTCATTCACTGGCTTGCAGTAGTCCCTCTTCCTGAGGTTCCTGTAAAAATGGCTTATTCTGGCCTCTTGGGTAAATGTAATTTTTATTTGCAAAGAATTGGATATGTTTTAACTTTGTGTACCTGGGGACCTTCAGGCACTGTAGATTATTCCTGGTTTCAAGGATGTTTTCGAACATTATCTAAAATAATATATGTGTTCTCGCCTCCTGCTCGTCCTCAGTTGTTGGCTTGAATTGGCAAGCATATTATTTAATTACATTCTGCAAATTGAATGCCAGGAGACAAACAAAAATGTTATTTTAGTATTGCATTTTGGCTTACATCCAACATTTTTACTGTGTCTCTCTGCATAGGCTCCCAGTGCCTTATGGTTCCATTTGGCAGTGATCTGTAGTTTGACCTTGACTAATATGACTTCTCGTAATGTAAATAGAACTTGGTGAATAAGAAAGGTATAAATACCTAAGGAGTGTCTTTATGGTTTGTGTTGTTCCCCTCCTTATGTGTGTGCTGGTGTCAAAATATCAGCAGACTTTGTTTCCCTGTGCTTCTTTTCAACAATTAACGTATTTTTTAAAATTCAATTAATAACCAAGTACAACCGCTAAAAAGGGGGCAAACTGAACCCATCTATAATGGGTATAAGAGGGGAAAAATGCATCATGTCTAAAATAACAAAACAATGTATAGAGGATGCCTCTAGTTCTACAACATCTGGGGATCTGCCTTCTGGACACCCCTGAGATAGGTGAACTGTTAGTTTCTCTGTGGAGAGGCTGTACAGATATTACTGTGCAGATATTGTGAGGACGGTGCAGAAGGTCTTTCCAGTATTTAATTCACATGGCTGTAAAAGAAGATGCCCTTTTCTGAAATGAAGAATTAAAATCCAATGTATGGTTACTCCACAAACGAGGAATTTAGGGAATTTCAAAATTAGACCAAGTAGCCAAGGTGGAAAAAATAGTTCACTAAATTTCCAGTTTATCACATAGCCCAGTTTATCGATGGGTGGGCAGGCAATGATATCCACTAATGTTTAATGACTAGCTTTCTACTGTGCATGTGTAGCCAGCGTTGTCACATGATCTTGCAGTGTGCACGTTGGCACATTGCGATGTGTACTACTACAAATTTCACGCGAATGCCAGAATCGCTTTATCCGAAATAGGATAGGAATCTTGCCTGCCAACAGAATTTTATGTTGAGCATTTGAAAAGCTTGCAATGGTGGGGTAAATTTTATGCTAAGTAGCAATTATTCCACACCAGCCACATTGTATACATTGCAGACTAAAACATTGTGTACATAACTCCATCTTTCTGCAGTCACAAACACTGGAGCTAGTCATAAAGGAATTTTTGTAAGAAAGAAAATCTAAAATCCTTCTATCGTCTACTCTAGCTTGGTCAATGCAGTTGGCTTTTAACCCATATATTTAGCCAGCATATTGGCAGTAAGCAATTTTGTATGCATAGTATAAGATAGAAACAAAAACTATTTCCCTTTTTAAAATTTCTTATGTTCTCCTTCATAACCCCTTGACCTAGTTATTGTTCTGTATCCCGTTTATTGCATGTGTGAGTGTTGATCTTGCTAATCGTTCTGCATTGGATGCTTTGCTGAATCTGCAGTATTGCTGGTGTATGAAAGAGATGATCTCAGTGCAGTACTGAGTCACCCGAAATGAATATTCCCTCCGTTCTCTGCATGGCTTCCTCTATGCTGAGAACAATTGAGAGTTCTAAACCTGAAACGCATGGTGCCTGATGTGAGGTCCATTTTTTCAACTGCACTAGTTTGCCAGATTGATTTATTTGGTACAAGGAAAGGACATAGTTCTGCTTTTAGCATCTTGTGACACACAACACTCTGGCAAACATAGTATGGATCAATAGGTATTGTTTGTGCTTTGATGTGCTTTGTAAAGTCGATAATGAAAAGTGCAGGCTGTAAAGACTGAGGAATTTTGGTCTTTATTACACTGAGCATTTGTTTTAAAAACAAAAAAAACATGGTATCATTTATGAGTACATTTATAATGTCTCACGTTTTGAAAACTTAAAGGGTAACTCCAACCACCATGACCACTTAAGTGATTTAAAGTGATCATGGTAGTCAGAATAAGTATGTGGAGTGCTTCAGCTTTACATACAGAGAAACCTGCCATTGTGTACAGGGGCTAGTTAAACTGCTGGCACACATGACTTAGCCAGCACAGAACTCTTTCACAATGCTTAATGCCAGTTCTTTGCATAAAATATTTTTGTCATCAGCACACAGCATGCTGGCAATGACCCTTGCAGTCATTGTCTGAAAGGAGAAGATTCTATCTACCCTCCCTACCTTCCAATAAAATGGCTTGTTTAATAAAAAAAAAAAAAAAATTCCCCACAGTCGCTTTCTGCACTCTCACCCTTGGTGGCTCGGATTGTGCGCATGCACTCTGAGCCAGCAAAACAGTCCAATCACAGGCTTCTCAATGTGACTTTTCAAAACACAAAGCTACAGATTCCTAGATAAGGGGTTATTCTTTAAGATAAGCTGTAATCTGGTAGACAATTGCTTTTCTTAATCACTTACCAGATGTGCTCAGTAAGTAAATATCGTGGTCTTTTCAAGTTGCAACATTAATATAGTTAATATATTTCTTTATTTCCTATGCCAGCAGAACATTTTGGCTGTTTTTGTTGAAAATCCCTAAAGAGTGCAGTACTTTGTCTAATCACAATATGACAAACATTTCTTTACAGCAGCTCCCTCTAACCTGAACCAACACTACAGCTACTAGTAAAACTCAAAATATTTATAATTCTTTTATTTTCGGTTCTATGGGACTTTTTTTGTGCTTTTTGTTTTTTTTATTTATATATATATTTTTTTTGTGGTGGTGTTTTTTATTTTTTTTACTTTTTTTTTTATTTTATTTTTTTACTTCTGCTGATTTTAGAACACAGGTGAAGTTGCAAGTGATCAGTTTGAAGTTTTCTGGAATTTAGATGTAAAACATTAATGACTTTTTTTTGTTGTTTGTTTCAGGCTGGGGTGATTCTGTGGGATCACCATCAGAAAGTGGCATGACTTATGACGCCCTCCATGTCTTCGATTGGATAAAAGCTCGAAGTGGGGACAACCCAGTCTATATATGGGGACACTCTTTGGGCACTGGGTAAGGATCTAGTACAGACTTTGTGTGACTCTTTAGTCTGTAATTACAGTGCTTTGCGTTTGTTTGAACCACAAACCATTGCAGTAAGAATAATATGCAGTTAAATCAGGTGAAGTATATTATTTACCAACATACCCAACCACAGTGTCTATTGCATCCCAAATACATTTTGATTTACAGTCAGATTGAGTTGTTTTTGCATTTTCAACAGATTTTTTAGCATTTCATTTTATCAAGAATGATTGAGATGTGATAAGGAAATCTTTACAAAAGTTTCTTGCAGATCTGTACAGGAGCCTTTACTCTTCTCCAGCAGCTATAATACCAGTGCAGTGTTCTTATTAAATTTAATAGGCGAAAGGCTGACCGTATTGTTCAGATACAAAGGCTAGGAGAAAGTTCCATTTAGGACACCTTTGTAATCCGTATCTCCTCATAGAGATGCATTGAATCAGTGCATCACTATGGGTAATGTTCAGCGCCTCCATGCAGTTTGTGGAGACTCTAAATGCCAGTGCTTCACACGCACATGTGACACGCTGAACATATCTAACATAGGTCCTGCAAACATTGCAGGAACTAACCCAGGAAGGTAGTGTCTGTCTGAGTGATTGCCACTGGAGGTGTAACTAGCCATCAATGTAAACCCTACATTTTCTCTGAAAAGGCAGTGTTGACCGTGCACAGGCTGCAGGTACATGCTATAATCACCAGAACTACTACATTAAGCTGTAGTGGTGACTACTGATGACTACAGTGTCCCTTTTAAACTGGTATCCTGATGTGGGTCAACAATTCTAGCAGGCAACCCAAATAACCTACACAGAGGTCTTCAGAAATCATAGGATGTAAGAGCCTTTTGTTGAAAAAAATAAATATAGCCATATTTAAATTGCTGCAAACCTTCTAGAGAAACTAACGTTTCTCTTAAAATAAATATTCATAATTTAGTTTGAAGAGACTACCACAGCTAGACTAGTTAAATATAATGCATATTCCAAAACAATTTAATTAGCACTTTTTAACTTTCTGTCAACTGGTAATGTTCAAACCTGCAAGCTACACTTCATTTTATATTTAAAAATGTCAACACTAGAAATCTCACTGGAATCTTCTCATTGATGTGTGTTAAATTATTTATCTGCGCTTGGAACTGTAGTAAGCCTTTCCGATTTTAGGAATACATAAGAATGAAGCCTGTGATTTGCAATTCAACACCTTTTTAAAATGCTCCTCTACTCTTCAGATAATGTTTTCGTATGTGAGAATAATTCTGCCTTTGACACAGTCTCACCTGCAAAAATTTGCAGCATTACATAGTATGTTTTTATGGATTTTATTTTAAATCCAAGTTAGTTCAGTTTGCTTTAGCTACACCCTTTTCTCTGATATCCACTAGTTTATCTGTGATAAGAAATGCTTTGGCAAATAAAGGGTATAGTTATTGCTGCAAAATAAAAATTTGCAGAGGAAAAAGATATCTGATATGTACAGATACAAAATATTGCTTAGATGCATGCTGCTAGCCAAACTCATTTAGGTTTTTACAGAATTTAAATACAGTTTGCACATATCATTTAAAAAAAAATAGTAATAAAATCTTTAATGCCAAGCTTGAGCCTGCAGGATGACCATCTTTGCATTGTGAGAAATCCACTGCTGGTGTTTTAGAAACAAGAATAGCTGTAAAGATAACTTGTAATCTGTTCAATTGTGTAACAAATCTACTAGCTCAGAATGAGGTTGGATTTTGATAGCTCTCTGAAACTACCGTGGTCATCCACACATTTTTTTTTTTTTGGAGCAGGTGGTATAGTACTTCGCAATACTAGACAAAAATGCACGTTAACGCTTCACAACATATTGACAGTATTGTCTAGAGCAGGCTTCCCCAAACTCAGGCCCTCCAGATGTTGCTGAACTACAACTCCCATGATTCTCAGGCTATTTAATAAACTGAATCATGGGAGTTGTAGTTCAGCAACATCTGGAGGGCCAGAGTTTGGGGAAGCCTGCTCTAGACAATACACCCACTTATTTTTTTAAATTGGAGACAAGTATGGAAAGGGCCTGCTCCCTGGTTTAATTTGTCATAACCCTTAACCTGGGGGTCAGTGGGTGGGAAAGAAGTCAAAAGCAACTTAACGTCCTAAGAAAAAATGCTCTCTTGAGCAATATCTATAAAACACTGAAAAAATAATGTTGCGGAGACCGCACCTTCACTTAAATGTAGACACCTATGAGAACTTTTGATAAGGTAAGGACTAGAAATCCTGTGATTGGACATTGACATAAATAAAATCAAATTATTAGAATTTTACAAATTCGTATATTTAATGTGAAATATTACTCAAATGTATTGGTGTGCAATAGGGCAGGATACATCTCTAATTCTTTCCCATTTTCTTTCAGAGTTGCAACTAATTTAGTAAGAAGGCTTTGTGAAAGAGGTAACGTGAATATTCTTATGAGAGGTTCTATTTATTAATGTAGAAGACTTATATCCATTATGCATGGGTGCATTTTGCCATAACTCTCAGCCAACCTAAAGCTGCTGGATAGTGATGTCGCGAACCGTTCGCGAACTTGGCGCGAACGGTTTGCAAGTTCGTGAACGGTTCGCGACATCACTACTGCTGGAATGTCTGATTTCATTTGTGTCTTTCAGAAGGTTTGAGGCAACACAGATAGCAGAATTTTTGCTTCCTTTTGTGTGATCGGCCTCAGGAGAACCATCCTACCAGTCTATATCTGTTGGTATAGATTGCACATTCAATATAGGCCTCAATTTAATATTTGTTAGGCATGTGCATGGGGAAAATATTCGGCTAGGTTCGGCATTCCGAAATTCGGGACTTTGTCAATTCGGCACTTCGCCATTTTGGGACTTTTCTTGCAGCCACTTGGTAGATAACTCCCTAATTTCCACGGTATTAGGGAGTTATCTACCAAAAGGCTGAAAGACCTAAATTGGTCTTTCAGCCAAATTTACTACTAATAAGTAAAAATTACTATATTGTGCCCCTACTCGCTATACTGCGAGTAGGGGTATGTGGTTGCTCCCCCCCACCACCCTGGGGGCCCTAAAGTTAAAAAAAAGGGGGTAGGACCTATTGTCCCTCCCCCCCGGCCCCCACCCCCTCATTTCTGTCATTACATGACTGTTGTTGTAAGTGTTGCAAATGCTTACAGCTGAATCCTGGCTATTTTTGTATACTTTTTATTTGAAATTGTATACAGTGTAACATTCTTCTTTTTTCACTGGGTAAGTATATTAGTACTTGGGCAGTACTGTGCTTCGGAACTTTGACACTTGAGAACTTCGGCACTACTACACTTCGGAAATTCGGTAATTTCGGGACTTCGGCAATTCAGCTATTCGGACATTCGGAAGCACCCAAATGTCCGAATAACCAGAATAACCATTTTAATTCGGACCTAAACGAATTGCACATGTCTAATATTTGTGGTTTAAATTTCCAAATGACTTATTTTTGGATAAACTTTGAAAAATTTTTTTTTTTTTTTTTTTTTCATCTCCTTAAAATGTTGAAAAATGCAAATTTGCAATATAATTTTTTTTTTTTTTTTTTTACAAAATTCTAATTTTCATGATAAAACATTTATCGTAAAAAAATGTTTAAGTATTAGAAAAACTTATCTAACTAAATTTTAAGCAGATTTTTATTTTATTCATGTCCTGGTTTGATATCATTGGCATATGGAGAGGTGAACCTTTTGTTTAGATGAACCTCACACCCGATTGTTGGTAAAGCTTAGTGATAAAATCTGAAATGTTAAACTATTCAAAAATAGATTTTTTTTTTTTTTTTTTTGTTTCTTCCTTCTCAGGATGAATATTTGAAATGCCTTTTATCTATCTTGTGCAAACTAAGCATTCATCATATTTATCATATTCCCAGTGGCTTGGGTGTCCCTAGTACACATACATTAACTTTATTCCTGTTGGCTAATTCTTCAATTCACCATTCAGTGAATATTCACTAAACTTTGAATTGTAGCAAATTTTAAAATCAAAACCATTTAGTCTCCTGGTTAAACTGAGGATAGAATAGTCAAGCTGTAAATATAGCAGAGTGGGTGAATTGTTGTCAAACACACACAGTTTTTCATTAAACTCCAAACTGTAGCAAATATAAAATCTAGAGGTTCTAGTTAATAACCCTGTATGCTGTTTTTTTTATTTTTTATTTTTTTTTTAAAAGCCCCAATCTAGGCTCTAGTTAGTGTGTGTGTGTATGTATGTATGTATGATTTTTTTTTTTTTATCAGTCTAAATTCTGCAATTTGGGTTTTATTTTACCAGAATTCACTGTTTAGGTGAATCCAGATGCTCTCTCAATGTGAGAGTGAATTTTGATTTTTGTTGTCATTTTAAACGCTGGTTGCTAAGGATTGTATTGTCCCAGTGATGTCTTTCTCACACAGTGTCTCCATGTTACTTTCCGCCCCCACACACTGGGGAATATAGTGTTCCAAATAATGATGAAATGTAACCATCACTCTTCAGATCATATTTATTTATAACTTGTTTTACCAGGAAGGATACATTGAGATTACACTCATTTTTTAAAGTATGTCCTGGGCCCACAAACATTGCATTGTTAACAATTGGGCACAATATATAATACTACAAAATACATATATACACACACAGAACAGGTAAGAAATAGTCATTATGACAGGTGCATTCTGTGTTGCCATAGATCTCTTAAAGGATTTTTGATTGGATAAAGATTTGACTGTCTTTGAGGTTATTCCATAATTGCGGTTCTCTTTAGGAAAATGAGGATCGAGCCACTTTATTTTTGTATTGCGATATGCTAAATAAAGTGCTTGTACTAGATTGGAGTATATAGGTGGTCGGAACAGCTTGGGGAAAGCATTCTACTCAGGCAGGGTGGGGGTCTCCCAGCTCTTAAACACAAGGTTCTAAAGATGAAGGTTGCGTCGGTATTCTAGCGATAGCCCCTTTAACTCTTTTAACATGTCACAATGATGGCTCATGTAATTACATTATAGCACAAAGCAGCAGAACGAGTTAGGCAATATAGTAAGTTTATAAAGGTGGTTTTGTGGCACAGGTGCGCACACACACTACATCCCCATAATCAATGACCGGCATTAGCATTTGTTGCACGTTTTGTTTCTGTACAGGGCATTTTTCAACGTGAAGGCCCAAGGATAGATTAGGGACTAGCAACATACCTCGATATTTGAAAGAACTAAGCAGTTTGCTATTTGAATTTGTTCTAATACATAGAACATGCCTTCTTTGCATGTCAAGAGTATAATTCATATACTAAGGTACAGATCAAAAATGAATTTCCCTGCCTAGCCTGCAAATAAAGAAACCTATTTTAGTGTAGCCTGTTACAGATCCCCCGGGAATATTATTATATTCATCTGTTTATTGTCCCTATAACTAAAACAAAGTTTATAGTTACCTTATAAATCGCATTTTCTAGTTTATAAATTGACATCAACCCTTCAAATTTTTTATTTTTTATTCTTGGTTTCAGAAACCCCTCCTGATGCACTCATTCTTGAATCTCCGTTTACCAACATCCGTGAAGAGGCAAAAAGTCACCCCTTTTCTGTGGTAAGTACAAATATGGAATCTTTTCCAGAAAATTTCAGAGAAATCGTTTAGAACGGAGTACTTCCCATCCCTCCAGAAGTGTAAACAATGAGTTTTGTGTCCTGTTGGAATACATCATGTAAGTTGCATGGGCCAAGATTGGCAAAAAACAAGGTTGCACTAAGCTCATTTGACCATAGCACCCCTCCCCTTTTTGTTCATGTCCACATTATTTTATGTAACATACTAGATCCAGCACACTCACATGTTCACTAAACAACAAGTCCAAAGCTCACAGAATGTAATCGATTTTTAAAAAGCACTTCACCTAGGCAAAAATGGAGGTTTAGTTATTGTATATTGTCATACATTGCATAAGCTTTCCCCAACACTAGTGTAGCCTATTTTTTGGCAGGCCCTAACCTAGCAACATGCCTGCTCTTATTAGATTAAACCACTCACTTGGGGAAAAACTTCCTTCTGCAGTGTAAGGTTAAACAGAGCCCTGGAATGAGGGACATGTGACAGGGAGGGTTGCAAAACTGGGGATTTGGCCTAGGCGTTCAAATATATTTACATGTGAAACCAAGAGGACAGCACTCCCCTGAATATGCATACATTATAAAGGTGCTGCTGGGGCCGCTTCCAGAGCCCTATTTAACCTTGCACTGGAAAATAAACCCTGGTGGAAGGTTTTACCAAGTAAGTGGTTTAATCTCACAAGAACAGACATTAGGTTTAGGATAGAACCTGCAAGAAAATGGCTGGCTTGTGCAATGTATGATCATGTACTGTATCTAAACCGCCATTATTATTCCCTAGTTTAGGTGTTTAAAAAAACAATTAATTAAATTCAGTGAGCTTTGGATTGGCTGTTCAAATTGTGCGGAAAATTGTATTTTGTTTATATTGGCCTTAGCAGCACTCTTATTTTGTATGCATATTCAAGTGACTGCAGTCCTCATATGACATTATTTTAATTTGTCGTTAACTTGTTATTCTCCATACTTTTTTTTTTTTTTTTTTATATAATTCTTTATTTTTCTGTGAACGAGGGGTTACAAGCAAACGTTAAGTGCCACAACAGCACGCATGGAATAAACACCAGTATTGACAATATGGCACTCGGATACTGCACATTTTTCTCTGTAAATTACGTTGAAATAATTCTAATATCGTTTTTTGGCATGTGATAAAAAGTATACTATTTAAGCTGTCGTTAATAAACCAATGTTGAGGTCTCTGTGATTTGTACTAGGTTAAAGAAAGGTCGAGCTAGTAAGTTGTGTTAGGCAGTGTTTACCAGTCTGGGCTATATGGGTCAGTGGTGCGTGTATGTCCGTCTAGTCCTGGCCAGACGGGTTAGGCCCTTGTCTTGTTGTATGTTGCGCCTGATTTACCTTGAGATGCGAGAGGGGTGGGGGAGCGATGTTGCCAGGGGACTGTCAGTGGGTTCCGGGTCCGTCTCCATACTTTATTGTAAAGCGCTGCAGAATTTGTTGGCTCTATAAAATTATGATAATAGGGTACTCCAGTTATTATACATGGATATTCTGTAAGTCTCAGAATAGTGTACACTATAAAAGTCTTGCCTTGCAGTTATCAGAGACTGTAATTAAACAAAACCTGCAGGTCTCCTTTATGATATACATTGTACTGTATTATATTTTTATCTTATACCTTGGAGATATTGCTATGTGCTAAAGTAGGGATATGCAAACTTTGGACTACGTTTACTGTAATGCTGGCAAAGCATCAGGGAGATGTAGTTCACAGCATCTGGAGTGTCAAAGGCTGCCTAACCCTGTGCCAAAGTGTACACTCTGTGCCATTTGATCTTTGACTGCCTTGGTGCATATTAACACACTGTAGGAGGTTAATATGTTTTGGGTTTTTTTTTGCGTTTTTATTTAGTTTTATTTTTTTTCAATATATTTTATCCATTTAGATCTACAGGTATTTCCCAGGCTTTGACTGGTTCTTCCTTGATACGATCACGTCAAGTGGTATAAAGTTTGCCAACGATGAGAAGTAAGTTTTTTGCAATGATCACACAAGTACTTAAAAATTATGAAATTGACCAGTATTTTTGTAGGTCCGTAAGCTGTAATTAATGCCTTGTGGTATAAATGTACATTTTCTAACTTTTATTATATGTGTGTATATTTTGCAAATGCATGTGTAGTTTTACCTAGAGACAAAAAACCCTTTTTGTTTTTAAATTGCATAGAAAAAAAATACTAAACACTATAATACTACTGAGAGTGAGATAATCAAAGGGAAAGCTAATAGAAGGCTAGAAAGCTAGATGGAACATTATACATAGACATGTACTGTCTGGGTATCTCTGTATTGCAGTTCTGTGTAATCCATCATAGTGACCCTGGCTCTGTGGGATAGTTATGGGATCTCCTTATTGTGCCAGCTCTGTGTGTTTGTTTGTATTTTACTCAGCTCTACCTGTTACATAGAGCTGGGTAGACTACAGAGATACCCATGCATTTTATAAATATTCTTGGGTTGTGCCCATCTTGTTTTATTGTATGAGCATCTCTGTATTGTGTGAGCCTCTCTACTGTACAACGGGAAGTCTGGCGCCCTATTATCTAACATCATTTTGAATTTTGGCATTATTAAACTGTATTCAAACTTTTAAAGCACTTTTGACCCGGCTTGTTCCCATGTTCTAATTGCTGTACTATAGCATATATTAGAATACCTTTACTGTCAGTCCACTGGGATTTCTTGATCACGTGATACATTAGTAAGCTGTGTTCTATATATCCACTTGAAAATCTTTGTGGCTGTCTGACCTCTCTGTAGCCACTGAGTTTATCCAAGCTTGGTAATAATTTGCTGCTTTACTGAGCTGTTACAAAATTCTGATTGCTCCGATTTCCATTAAACTTAATGTATACCATTCTTTGTATTCAAGTGGCAATTGCAGGTAATTGTACATTTTAGACGTAAATGCTAGAGTATTTTTTAAACTTGTCTGTTTTTCCAGTTTGGCTCTTTTAGAGTAAAATTCATAATCATTCTCTTATTGATCAATAGTTTTCCGTGTAATGAATAACTCTGGTAGGACTTGGAGCACCTTTACAAAAGACAATTTTTATTTTTTTATTTTTGTTGTTGTTGTGTACCTGAGCTTGATCTATGGGTATCTTAAATATACCTTGTTAAATTTGCTTTGTATGCATATTTTCTGATACCTTATTATTCAAAGATGAAAGATTGGGTGGGGGTTTAACCACCACCTATTTTTCTAATTTAGTTTTATAAATTTAGGGAGTATCACTATCCATTGTAGAAATATATATATTATTTTTTTTTTGCAAATAGGAATAGTCTTAACTATGATAAAGAAAAGAATCTAGTTCCCGTGTAGGGGGACAACAAAGGGGGTAACCCTGAAATTGTATGTAAATATAGGAAACCACATGTATTCTTGACACTATAGTGCTGGAGTGGCTATTTAGGTCTCTGACCCTCTTCTCTGTTGAGTGAAAGTTACTTGCCTCTTCTCCACCACAACGATGGCACCGCCTCCATGGCTGAATTCATCAATTTTAAACTATCTCAACCAATCCAATGCTTTCCCATAGGAAAGAATTGAGAGGCTATTAAGGAAAATGTTGTGCTCCACTGATCAACATCATCTTCTCGTAGCGAAAGTTCAGCATCTCCATGCAGTGCATTAATATTCACAAGCGTTTTCTGGAACAAATGTAATGTTTTGAATCTATAACTGAATGTTTTCTGTTTCTGCAGTGTGAAGTACATATCATGCCCTCTGCTCATTATGCACGCAGAAGATGATCCTGTTATTCCATTTCACCTCGGTAGAAAGGTATTTAACCTTACCATGTGCACATGATAATTTTTAAAAAGTGACATGCAGCTTGTGAAAGGGAGGCATTCACAAAACAATCTGGCTTTTTTTTTTTCTCTCGTGAATTAGAAAGTATTGCTACACCACAATCAATCCTCTGCTCTCTTTACGCCCCCACTTGTCTGCTTGTGAACTGATAGAAATTGAATTTGAATGATTTTATAATCTTGCTTCTTTGCTTTTACATACATTTCAGAATGTCCATATGTTGCAGATTATGCCCTGTCTTTAGATTAGTGACACAGAGGTTTCCTCTGTCTCTGAATTAGGCATTCTGTTTGGAACAGATAGCATTGTCGTGCTGCAATGAACCGTATATCTAGTTTTGCTGTTCTAAGCTCAACTAAGTGTACATGAAGCTAGTTTCACTTATGCAAAGTAAAAAAATAAATAAAACCTCCCATGACAACCATAGGCTCCACAAAGTGCTGTGGGGATGACCTATTTAAACCACTGATGAGGCTTATTCAATAAAACACTAAATGCCATTGAGTTTCTATATGGCTGTTTTAACTTATTTGACTGGGGGAGGAGAATTGAGCTGAATTAAAGTATCAAATGCTCCTGCCGCCACTTCAAGATCTACCAATGTGTGTGTTATTACATTGGCGCTGATTTTACTGTAAACCCATTTAAAATGTTTTTTGCTTGTTATTCTGAACCTGAGATTATACAGAATCGCCTACCAGTTCCAGTATTTCTGCAACAGATTAACAAATGCTTTAATATAAATTGCACCATGAAACTCCTTTTCTCTTTAATTATTTTTTTCCCCTCTGCATGCTTTGTAATGAAGGGATTAAATCCATGTTTTTTCCACAGCTTTACAACATTGCTGCTCCGGCACGAAATTTACGGGATTTTAAAGTTCAGTTTGTTCCCTTCCACAAAGATCTAGGATACAGACACAAGTACATTTTTAGGAGTCCAGAGCTGCGTCAGATACTGAGGTAAGGAACACATCATAATCACTTATACTGCTTGTGTCATGCATTGACCTCATAGTCTGCCTCAGTTGCCATAACTTCTGCAGCAATTTCTACACCCAACTATTTTGCAATGTCATGTTGTTGGATCCTGACCATTTTTATTACACAAAATAGACTATAATTATTGTTACAAATGGAATTATTCATATTTAAATGGACACTAAGGCACCCAGGCCAATTCACCACTCCATCTCATTGAAGTGCTCTGGGTTTTCGTGTCCCTGACCCTTGACATTACAATGCAGAGTTAAGACTGCCTTTAGTGGCACTTGCATAATTTACATGGAACATGGTTTAACTCCATGAAATGACACTGGGCGTCTACACACTTAGCATGAGGACATCCAGCATCTTGAATATCCCCAAAGGAAAGCATTAATGCAATGCTTTCCTATGGGGGAAGGTCTCATGCGCGCGGTAAATGCATGCACATTATGTTCTTCCATTGCCATAATGCAGTGTGAGGAGGATCCCTATTTGGTATGTGAAAGAAAGGACTGGAGGTGGGGAGGTGCAGATAGAGGCACATTATAGTATTCCTTTAACTGTGGAGTCAAGTCTTCAATAGTTCAGCAAACTGTGCCCAGACAGTCAGTTAAATTAAAAACCCTGAATTTTAATTAAATGAATGAAAGAAAAACACAATTCACTTAGAAAAGATAAAGCATAGCAGCAACAAAGAGAAAAATAGTGACATTATATTACACAGACATAATAATTTGTATATACTCTGTTTGTGTATTTTACTAGATGCACAAGTAATACTTGTTTTCTGGGCAACGCTCCCCATTCCCTACTCCAGGAACTCACAAATAGACACTGCTCCCACGCCCACAGATCAGAAAAGTTTGGGTGCATTTAATTACAGAGTGTAATCGTTCTCCTGGTGTCCAATGTTTTTGGAAAGAACATCACTGTGAAATGACCTAGCCAATTAAAGTCACTTGGGGTATTACTATGTTCTATCAATCCATAATCACTCACGGAAAAATATATAAATTTTTTTTTTTTTTTTTTACTAAAATAGGGTGCACTTGATGGATTTCCAATAATAATGAAATAAGTTTAATTTATCAAATGACCGCATCCTGATCGACGTTTCGACTCCTGAGGGTCTTCCACAAGAGAGGATCCTAAGAGACTCTCCGGGTCGCTTCATCGATCGTGACACTGTAATTTGATGAATTAGATTGATTTCACTTATTGAAAATCCATTGCATGCACCCCATTTTTGTGGATTATGCATACAATGAATTCTGAATTCCCATATGTTTTTTTATTTTTTATTTTTTTGCTGAGCGGTTATTTTAAGTAGCCTTGTGAAATTTAAAGCTGTATTTTGTGTGTGCCATTCTTTTTTTGGTCTCGACAGCAGCACCTTTGCTGGGAAATACATTTTGCAGGTGTGCCCCTAACTCCCTTTTTTTACCAACCAATTATTGCAGTTTAGCACAAAAAAGCAAACCGTATCATGGCATAAATATTTGCACGGAATGGCAAAAGTTGTATAAAGTAATGTTTGAATGTATTTTATATATTTTTTTCCATCTTCAGAATATCCTTTTTACTCGTAAACCCTCATGTCCTACAAGTTAGTGCATTCTGTCAACCTCTTGAATTTTAGTTTACAGGTGAAAGCCCTATTCTAGTTCATATCTACAAATGCAATAATTTCTGCTGCAAACTCCAAAACCTGTATAAATCATTCAGCCATCACTACATGTTAACTACTTGACAGCACAGTATCCTTCCATTCCATATACCTCTTTCAGAGAGGCAGGTACAGTGTGCCTTCCTTTCACAGAACAAGTAGACGTGGATGGCTGTGTAACTGCCAATGTGACAGTCAGGCTTCGCAAGGAATCCTAAGATTCTCTAGTCCAAGCCATTCAGTTTTGTTTTTTTTCTAAAAAAGAAGTTTGATAAGGCAAGATTAAGTATGTTCATATGAAAATTCTAATGTCACATGCAGTTTATAAAGATCCCTTAGATGCGTCCTCAATATAATTTTTTTTTTTTGTCCTTCTGCCCATATCTACCTGGTTCTCTCTCTCCAATCATCAAATCTTTCATATATAGAAATGTAAGGGCAGGAAATTATAAAACTGTCTGAGCAGGTAACAGGAAATTATTGGACTGTATAAGGCTGTTTAATATCAACAAATATTGCTGCTCACTGTGATCATTCTTTCATTTCTAAAACTCAGTGCCTTTCCTTGTTTTTTTTTGTTTTTTTTAAATTAAAAATAAAATGTATTTATGCATGCAGGTGAGTAACAAACTATAAATACACAAGATCAGCTTGCATAAATCATTCACACAGTAAATTACATGATGATATACCCAGTTTTCCTTAGACTTTGAAAAAGTAGATGGCTATGCTAAAAGTTAGATCCTAAACATCATGTAGCTTGCAGAGCCTAGAAGCTGTGAGTATTCCCAAAGGTGAGACTTCATAACCCTCAAGTGGGGGGTGGAGTATTAATCACAATGCCTGCTAGATTAAGTAGTAACATAGTGAGAAGTATCAAATCTATATAAGTGAAGTTCCATTAAGAACTACTGGGAAAGTAGAACAGCCTACTAAACTGTAGACAAAGTATAAAGACAAACATTATGGCTTTATAATGGGGACCTTTTCTCAAAATAAGCAATTGGAAGAGTGTCCTCAGCCAAGAACAGTTAAACTGCTAGGGATGAAGACTGGAACATTGTCCATGTGCACGCAGAGCGTATCTCTGAGTTCGATGCAGCTGGGGTAGAAATGCCAAGAATTTGGAGAAAGCTGGTAGCTTCTTCCACAGTGTAGCATTGTTCCTCCTCCCTCCGCTGTTGACAAATAAGGACCAAGGTGTTCTCCATCTATGTGGACTAGCAGAGTCTCGTAATTGTTTGGTCACTGCTTTGAAAGAGCATGCCACTGTAGAGTAGAGCAACATAGATGGTTAAAAATATAAAGAATGTTACTCAAAAATAAAAGTAGTGTGTCCCATTACTGAATTCAGGAGCATTTCTTTGTTGCTGTATGTTTGAAAGCATACAATGACATCTTGCAGTGCTCAGAATTGAGTTTGGCGGGTCTGGGTAGTTGGTAGAGCCCTCCCAGTAAAAAGCCCTTATTTTGCTTGGGTTGCAGAAGCAAATAGCATAGACTTCATAAACTGGAGAAATTCTCACACCTCATTGCACTGCCATGTCTTGTCTACAAGTTGGTCTTTAGTTGTAAGTAATGAACAGGTTGTGCTGAGCTGTTAAAATAGAAATATAGACTACCCAGGTGCAGTGAATATACAACAAATCAAAAAGGTAATTACCCCATTTTTTCATGGTATAGTAGGATTCCTCTTAATCCTCATATAATCAACAAAAACAAATATACCTAAAAATATAACCTGGAAAGAATTTATAGGGTAATAAAGTTTAAGTTTAAAAGACCCCCAGCGTTAAAAATTGCTCTCACAGGATAGCAGTTTCAAGCTCATCAATCATAGATGTCACCAGGTTCAGCAATATTCAGCATTCCAATGATTTACGTGAATATAAATTAAAGAGACCATAGTGCAACACTGCTGAAAAGTAAAAAAATTACATGCTTTAATGATCACACTTACAAAGTGGAAATGGGTCACAAGCCCATCAAATGTGATCTCCAGTCCAATTCTGACAATATCAGTGGCTGGAACTTACACAAAAGTCTTAGGCTAAATAAAACAGCAGGATACAAATAAAAACTCTAAAGTAAGTAAAAACTGACTCTATGCGTTTTGTTTAACATATAGACTTCTTCAGGAGTACACACAGTGCTAGTAAGTACATCAATAAAGTGCTATAATATGTAAAACAGGAGCTGCATCTTTTAAATCTCCCTCTTTCGGCAGTTCACCAATCGCTTCTCGTGTGTTTTTTACTTGTTCCGATTGCCATAGTCCATATAGATGACGTCAATGTATTCCTGGCACTAGCGATCCCTTGCGCCCTTCTACCCGGTAAATAAAAGGGTTAAAAACCCTTTATTTACTTACCTTATCTCAGCGCCGATGTCCATAGGCGCAGGGTCGCAGCTCTGTCCCGCAGCAAATGCTGTGCACGCATTAGACCTCCCCATAGGAAAGCATTGAATCAATGCTTTCCTATGTGGAAAAATCTGACACTGGGGGTCCTCGTGCAGAGCATAATCGACCAAAAGTCTGTTTGGATTCCGGAAGCCCTCTGAGGGCAGACTTAGAGCTGCAATGTAAACATTGCAGTTCTTTGGAATGGCAATATTTAGCATCACAGCACCCAGACCACTTGAATGAGCTGCAGTGGTCTGGGTGACTACAGTGTCCCTTTAATCCGGACCTCCTGCACATCCGTCTTTAATGAGACCTGTGAGTGTATCCAGTTTTTTTTTTTAAAGTGATCAGTTCAGCAGTGAAGAAGGTTTTAATATCAGACATTAAGCTGGCGATGTCCGTTTTAGTGGCCAAATTCAGGTTCTGGTCAGGCATGGCTGGTATAGAACTCCCATGAGACCAAGCTAGAACGTCTGACATGTTTTCACTTTCATCATCGGAGGCAGGCAGAGAATATGAGATGTCCTAGCCAGGTCAAAAATAAGCAGGTAAGTACTTTAATAATTGCTCAAAAGCAGGCAAAGGATCTAGCACTACGCTGGCTAGCTCCACCCCCACCCCCTTAAAAGGAATGCCTCAAATGTTTTATGACTGCAGAGCTGTCTGCTTTCATTATTCATTCACAAGCCTTGTTTATCTAGCCTCATTTCTAGCTGTTCTGCTTAGTGTTGGATTATTTAATCCTTGTTGGTAGGATAGTTGTGAAAACATTTAGATGTTATCTGCCTCATTCCAGCATATAACCAGTCATGAATTTAAAATTCTGGGTTTCAAATTACATCAACTTTTTATATTTTAAGCATAGGTTTATTTTTTTGTTTGTTTTGTACAATATTGGTAAATTGAATTGGACATGACAGTGCTGGAGTAACTTGCCAGGAGCAACACAACATTAAACAATTTTTATGTTTTTATTTCTAGTGTCCCACCTCTACTGGGTATAGTGCAAAGTATAATCACTATTGACGACCAGTCCATGCCAAATTGACACCGTATCTCCTGCAGTCAATAGAACTTTTATACTCCCATTTACTTGAAATGTTTAGGTGTGTGAGGACACTAACATCTACAAAGATAAATTGCAACTTGCAACCATGAAAGGGCAGTTTCTACAGCATGCAATTATATATAATTTTTAGTAGGGAAATTGTAAACAAATGTATACTTTTATGTTTTTACTTAAAATTAAAGGGAATCTGTAGGCACCTAGATCCCTGCATCTGGTGTTTTGCTCCTGCACTGTAAAACATTGTTGTTTTAGAGATGCATTCAGGTTTACATTGCAGGGTCAAAGATACCTCTAGTGGCTGTCACACAGGCACATAAAGGCTCAGAGGAGCCAAAACGTTGTCTCCACTTCCTTGTTTCAAAGAAAGACTGCCTTTTAGAAGAAACTTCAGGTGTGCCTGGATATTTTTTTTTATTTTATTTTTTTATTTGATGTCTTCAGGGATAGGCCCTCCTTTTCTGGAGCAGCATGCAGGAAGTATTCCCCCCCACCCCCTGCCAATCTGGACAACAATGAAAGGCTGAGAATGGGTTAACAAAGCACTTCATGACTGCCATCTGTGTTGGATTTTAGTTCTTTTTTTTACTCATACTAGCTTGTATATTAACATTTATATAATTTTTATACATTTTTCTGGTATGAACTGACCATTTTCTATAATCTATCTAATTTTACCTATTGAGTAAGTGTGTCCTAAATTTGTTTTTTCCCTTCCACAGGGAATTTCTTGGTAGTCCAGAACCGCAGCAGTAATACCACCAGCCTTACGCAGACTACTTTGCTGTCCTTTGGTATGAAGACCTGTGGACCACCATGCTTGCTTACACTGAAAAAAACAGAGCTTTGGATTTGCCACAGCAGCGAAAATCTTGCTTAAACTTTTCATTGGGACCTAATCCATTCCAGGGTCGTTGAGCTAAAAAAAAAAAGTTAATGAGATTTCGAGTATGTTTTATCTTTGGACCATAGTAGTCTACGTACTAGTAGGGGGAATAATCTGTACTGTGCATATGATGCAGAGTTGGTAAAAGAACCTGTTTATCTCCGTGGCATTTAGAAGAATCCACCTAATGGACTTGCTGCTTCTACAAAAAGTAATGATCCACCTGGACAGATCCAGAAGTCTGATCTGCCTGTTTTATCTGCTACAGAACAGGTGGCCACCAAAAGGAAAAAAACTCATGTCTCCTATCTATAATAATTGTGAGAGCTGCTTTATTTTGGTGATTGGGTTTGCACATGTCAGATGTCCCATTAAGATATCATGCATGCATTTGGGATGACAAGTCTCTAAGAGGTTGTTATTGGCAAAGTCGCTGTCCCATATTTGCGTTGCCCAAAGTCAGTTCATGGGTTTGAAAGCTTTCAAACTTCAATTTTACTCAAGTAGATGCCTCTGAAAGGTCATATCCATACATGTGAGCATGAAATCTTATAAGTTGCACGTTTATTTATTGTTAATATTGGGGAAATTTTACTTTTTTTTTTTTTTTTTGTGGGGGGGAGGCAGTTAACGGGATTTTAAACAGCGGTAAGTTAGGGTGTACTGTACAGTTGATAAGTGGGGGATAATGTAAACAATGGGTCAAATCAGAATTGTAAGGCTTTGGAAGTTGGTTAACAAAAACTGCTTGCAACCAAACACAACCTATGACAGGTTTTTGTAAATTGTAGTTTTAATCTCAACATGCCACCTTGATGGCAATGGCCTCCCACAAAATGCCATATCCTGAATTAGTACATTTCACAAGTCTTAAGCATCTAACAATATTCAATGCCCATAATATTATCTTTAACGTACATCAACATTTTGTATACAGACCTTGTATTTGTTTCCTGTGGGTGGAGGGGAACACTCCTACAGCACTGATGCACTGCACTATTCTAAACTTAGAGGTCCAAATGCAGTGTTTATATTGACAGTGAGTACTGCAGCTAATAGCTTAAACTATGAAGAAAATGTGTTGCATACTTTGTACCAAATGAATGGACAAAGAAATGATTTCTGACTGTTTAAAGTCTCATATCATCCTACGCTGCAAAAAAAACTAATCCATCAGATTTCATTCTCCCAAGCCTCCCTCTTGCTGCTGTTGATCCAAATGTTTTCCAGTTTTTTTTTTTTCCAGAGAGGGGGGAAAAAAGCAATTGGATTGGCAAGATTTTTATCTTAAGTTATATATTCTACTTTGCTAACACATATAGCGCCATAATTAAGGCATGCATAGAATCTGATGGAATAACCTATCTAGTGAATACCTGTATCTTTTCTTTTCTAAAGAACAGTTTAGCTGCTGTAAGTTGTGGGGGAGGGGATACCATCCCTTAAAAATATCAAGATATTTTGTTCTTTTTATTGACCCTGTATGTTTGCGTAATGTTTTGGGGTCAAATTTTTTTTTTTTTTTTTCACTCCATATTGCACTGCATAATCAAGGATTTATGAAGAGGCAGATTTATTGATTTAGATTAATTTGAAAATACCAAGACCTGGTGGGTGTTTTTCAAAGTGTATTAAAAGTGGTCTAAAGTACTAAAAGGGAGGCAAACACCATGGGAATCAGTGGGACCAGTAGGTGTATGCAGTTGGTGACTCCTTCAATTTATGGCTTTGACCACCTTTTAGAAAACACTTTGATAATCTCTGTTTTTAATATGCCCTAAATTAAATAAATGTGTGTGCTAACCTTTTAAACCTGAGTTAGTGTAGAAAGAAAAGCTGTATGTACAAATACAGCCACTAAAAAGTAACAATAAAACCCATAATGTTAGACACTCTTAAACTCATAGTACTGTATTTACTAAATATAAAATTGTGATTTTATTTATATTTAATTTTTTTGAGGGGGATGTAGTTATAAGTAGGGCACTATTCAACAAGTAAATGAATGAGATATGAAGTCTATTCTTCTACATTTGGTATTCTGTCCAATGAGTTGCGCAATTTTACCCTTGGTTTACTTGCGGTTGTTACTGTATTCTGGTGCCTATTAGACAGTCACCATGTCACTTCCATGTTGTCTTAATTCTTTAGTTTTTTTTATTTTATATTTCTATGGCACTTTCAATTTTTTTTATCTTTTTAACAGACTGGTTAATTCTTTTTGTTTTTTTTATTTTGAGTGTTAGAATATTGATTAATTGCATCTCTCTCCCTCCTTCCTATGTGTACATTCCGAAAATCTAACTAAATTAGAGCAGTAATTGGTGGAAGACTAGCACAGCCCACATACGCTAACTTTGCCGTTGTATTTTGCAAAGGTTGCAGTTCCTCTTAAAGATCAGTTGATACAATAGTTTTGTTCCTCTTAAATCCTCTTTCAAATAACTTTTGCACCACAAGTGTTTGTTTTCCTTTTATTCTGATTATCAATGTCTTTTAGGACATAAGCGAATAAAAGGTTATTTTCTGGACTAATAAAATTGTGTCTAGCTCAGTGAGCATAGACCTTTATTATACTTAATGATTGTCCTTTCCCAGCTAAAAAAACATGGTTGCAATGGTAGGATTGGAATCCTTAAGTCTCACCATGACCATATTTTGGTGGTCTGTTGTGGATCACTCCAAACACCTAGAGTACTTTAGCTTGCTAAAGTGATTTGTGTGAAGTGTGTCCTTTCTTTCCATTTTACAGAGAGTGCGTATTTTAATAGAAATCTGGGTGCAGTAAAATAATTTAGTGGGGAATGGAGATCTGTATACAGTGGTGATGTGGAAGGTTGCAGTTGACATACATTATAATATCTGGTTAGCCAGTCTGTTTTTATGTTACTTTCTTGCTGTCATCGTGTAATTTTGACATCCCAAGCAAAGAGGTAAGCATATTATTTGTTTGTGGAACTCTGAATGATTGTCACAAATCAGCGTACTATAACAAGTGCTGCAAGCATACACATTGCTGTGTACTAGACATGTGAAGAATGTTATGTGGGGTTTAAACACATAACACCGACAATAATTAATACAGACCGTGTCATACTCTATACAAAGCAGTGAAAAAGCTTTGAGATCCTTTTCGAATCCCAGTAAACTGATTTGAGGTTACATTTACTGGTTTGCACTTTGTGAATTGGTATAAGTTGGCCTCCAAACTAAAAAATTTAATCTTAATTACTTAAGCTTGCTGGCAGTCCTCTAGCATTGTTGGCCTACAGCAGTTTAGGCATTTGCTAATTAAGGAAGAGATCTTTTTCACGAGTTTTTATTTACTTTCTAATAACCATTTACAGAGTTATTTTCATGAGATATAAAGTACCGTACTTGCATACTTTTAACAAACTGAGAATAAGCTTAATCAGTGTTTCAAGATTAAATGTGTTCTCCAAAGAACCCTTTGTTTTTAATTCCGTATCTAAACCAATACCTTTTTATTGCCAAGTAATTCCTGCTGACCTGACAAAGGCTCTGTTGGAGCTGAAACCTTGTCTTGATAGATGACAAATAAACCGCATTTAAGCCACTTTAAAGACCAGGTGCGGCACTAATGTTTCTTGTGTTGCAGCTGCTTGAGATGTTATACTTATGTCACAAATCTCATTTGTGCATCTCTAGTGTACCGGTTTGATAAAACACAATCTTTAAATGAACACTCCAGGCTCACTAACCACTACCGCCTGCTGTAGTGGTTATGGTGCAACTGCTCAGTCCAGCAATAAGATTTTAAATAGTTTTTAGCATGCTTTGACATTTGCATTGGTTGTGTCCCCTCTATCTGGTCTTCTCCAGCAAGAGAATCTAAAGAACAAGGCGGGCCCTGCAGGACTGCGTTCATTGTCTGAGAGGGTTTACTGAGCATTGACGTGGACGTGGTGCTTTGCGAGTTCCTTTTAATGAATGTTGGCTAACTGCCATGCCCATAGGTCATGTAAAACTCCTTTAACACTCCCAGTAGAATCTCTAAGATGTCAGTATTGCTCAATACACTAATGTTAATGCACTCTCCTGCCATAGTGTGGTTAATAAAACCATTGTTCATACTAATTCGGCAGTAGCATTCACAAGGATGTTAAACCCTCAGGCATTTTTATCTTAAGATGTTTTTTCACATTGTTACTGTACAGTCCTGATAGGTATTGCTGACTAGAAAATGTTGACCTTTAGTCTGCACTTTTGTGGTAAATTTTCTTTCCCAGCTGGCTGTTTAAGTGCAGTGTACCCTGCATGGTAGAAAATGTGGAGCACTCGACTCCTACAATTTACTCCTGCTTCTGTAGCAAGACACTTAATTGCATTTTTCCCTTAAATTTTTTTTATTTTTTTTTTAATAGCAGTAAAACAAGGGTTTGAATAATCCATATTGTATGTTTATATGTTGGATTAACTCCTCCAGGACCCAAGTTATACAGATCCCTTGAAATGTTTAATGCTGGCATGCCTTTGGTCCTGGAGGGGGTTTAGAAGAAGCCTGAACATGTTCTGTTTTTTTTTTTGTTTTGTTTTTTAAAACACTGTTTTAGGGCTGACAAGTGGGGTGGAAATTTACCGACCAAGCATAAATGTCTTATACCCATGTATAAATCAAATAAACCTAACAATCTCAGCTTGATATATAAGGTTTTTGTTTCTTTTGTGAGTACTTGATCAAACTAGTTCCAGTTCTAAAGCCCTGTATAGACAGAATGGTTTTAATCCTTGTGTTCCACAGTAGGTATTATGTATAATACGCCTTAGATGGGCTTGTTGTAATGTATCTCTTGACCTAAAATGCCAATATTGGGTAATATGGTCAGAACTTGTATAATATATCACAAGCAGAACCTATTTGTGAAAAAGCCAAAAGAAAAATGTTCAGCACACAGCAGGTGACATTTACTCAAATTGAGTTTACCACGGCAGGGCTTAACATTAAAAGAACATGCAATGCTGTATGAAAATGGCGTAAACAGTCCAGCCTAGGTTGAGTGTTAAATAAGGTACATTTATCAGTAAACAATATAAGATCAAGGAGAAATGAAGCCACGTCAAAAGCAGAATAATCAAACCGAATCAGAACACTATATTGGAAATCTAAGATGACAAAAGGACTTGCTTAAGGAGTAACATCAATACGTGTGCTATGCCAACAGCCACAGGACAGGCTCTACTGAGGAGAGGGAAACTGAGCTTTGAAGATGTGGACTGGGTACATTCTTATCCGTAGCAGGCAACTCAGGACTTTTCTGGAGTGCTGCCTGGGTCAAGAGTCATTGCTAGCCTGAGGAGGACTAATAGGTTTGTATTATTACATAATTCTAAAGGGACATGTGGAATGAGTTTGTAATTTATAGATATATATATTTTTAAATTTTTTTAAAACCAAGAGCATATAAAACACTTCATTCTATATATACTCATACAGGGGCCTATGTATCTAGGTACCAATTATTCGAAGAGGGCGCAGAGACCCTATCACTATCTTGGTAGGTAGAGTTGCTCTATAGCATCAATCAGCATAATGTTTCTGTAACTGGATGTTCTTAGTCCAGATTGCTGTAACCTGTTCCCAGGTATTTTGTATGTTTGCTAGATGTATATCAAAGTCTGGCATATTGTTATTGGTAAATTAAGCTGGGATAATCTGTTTGGATATACTCTTTCACTTTTCAAAGTAAGGCCACCAGAAATTCCTGGAAAAGAGGTCTATAGTTTTTCTTATATTCATATCTCTGAATTAATTACAAATTGCCATTGGGTTTGTTAGGAATAATTAAACTTTCTTGAATCTTTTTAAACAATTCAGAAGAAATCTTTTAGTACCTGCTGATTGGATAGTCACTTTTGCAATAGGTAGGGTCTCTTCTTCCTCAAGCGTTCCTTTTCCATTTCAAGAACAAAAAAGGTCTTGCAGGTCAATGTACAAGAATTAGGTGCAGAAGCAAACCCTTTCAGAAGGCACACAAAAGCATTTTTGGCATCAGATGTCTATTTGTATGGTAGACTGTTTATTTGTGATCAATTTTGAATACTTTGGATATAATACATCCCAAAAGTTGTAAAGTGTTTTAATCAAACAAGCACTAATCCAATTTAGAATGCAAGCAATTGGAGAAAAGTACCTGCAAGATGGTTGACACACTATTAGGTCGACATTCTCTTACAAAGGACTGTAGGTCTTTCCTTATCATTGACGAGATCCTGGAAGACAACTGGGGCGTTACACAACTGAAAGGGTTTCAATATACAAAAAGTAAAAATGATGCATTTCTACCTACATGGTGTATAGTATCTTTAATGAGAAGGGTGTAAAATATAACTTTTATTGTGTTGTTTAAAATAAATTAGGTAGCTAGAAAAATAGTAATAAGAAAGTAAGTGTAAAAGCAATATAGGAGATAGGTCTTTGCTACTTTCAGTTGTGGTTTAATTTAGGAGACTATATTGGTCACACTAAACCATAGAGAGCCGTGGTTCATGTCTTCTGTGGGTTAGTACAGAGATACATGTGGCACTTAATGAAATGTAACGTAATACTGTACGGCTTGCTAGCAGTAGAAAATGCTGGTTGACGTAATCTGTGGGTTAATAGAGGAAGATGCAAAGTGTTAAGCAGAAGATTGCTGCCACTTATTGTCTCAATAAACTTATGGTAGCAGATACAGCGATAAGGAGGGGGGCGAACAGCGGGTAAATGCAAAGAGAAAGTGTTAAGCGGTAGATTGCTGCTACTTAATGTTACTATAAAAAACAAATATGGTAATTATACAGGGTTAATGCAAGGAAGGCAGTAGATTGCTATTTAGTATTGCTGTATATGTCTAATCGCAAATACGGTGACCATTGTACAGGTTTAAAGCAAGGAAACGGTGACAGATGTACAGGGTTAAAGGATCACTATAGGGTCAGAAACACAAACATGTATTCCTGACCCTATAGTGTTAACACAACCGTCTGGGCCCGTCATGCCTCCATAAATATAGCAAAATCTTACTGTATTCAAGCCAGAAGCTGTAACTCTGCATGCTGTTTGACTCAAAAAAAAAAAAAAGCCTTCTGGCATCATCAGAAGTGGTAGTCTGATCCAGTCACAGTGTTTCCCCATCGGATTGGCTGAGACTGACAAGGAGGCAGATCAGGGGCAGAGCCAGCATGATTCAAACACAGCCCTGGCCAATCAGCATCTCCTCATAGAGATGAATTGAATTAATGAATCGATGAGGAAAGTTCAGTGTCTGCATGCAGAGGGAGGAGACACAGAATGTTTGGATGCATTTTAGGCAGCCATGACCCAGGATGGATCTCTAACAGCCCTCTGAGGAGTGGCCAGTGAAGTTATCACTAGGCTGTTAAGTAAACACTGCATTTTCTCTGAAAAGACAGTGTTTACAGCAAAAAGCCTGAAGGTGATGATTCTACTCACCAGAATAAATTCAATAAGCTGTAGTTGTTCTGGTGACTATAGTGTCCCTTTAAAATAAGGAAGAACCGAGTGGTAGACCGTAAATTTACTGCTAGTTTTGTATTATTTTCTACGTCTAATAGCAAGTACCGTAATAATAGGGAGAACAAGGTTGGTGTTTGAGACCACCTGTTATCCTAGGTGATAAGAGAGATGCAAAAGGTAAAAAAGTAGTATTGCAAAGAGGGAAGTGTTCCCATCCAAGATTAGAATCTCCTATGTAACTAGAGGCTGTGGGACAATAGTGTCGGTTAAGCCGTTCATCATAGCGGTTAGTAAAGAGCCGGCACTGCTAATGTGTCAGATATGCGTCCTGAGCCCCATTTTTCTGCATTTTACCCCATAGGTGTTGCACTGACACGCTCGACACATTTATTTATTTATTTTTTTCTTGATTTACAACCGAAAGGGTATTTATAGTAAGTAATGTCTACTTCGGGTGTGGACGGCTGTGTTCCACTGATCCCCTTCCTTGATGTACAAGTTGCCTCTTGTGTCAAGTTTTGTGAAGCTTGCTACTGTAAAATACTTGCTTATGAGCGGGCAATGATAAACCTTTTGACTGCTACCTAGTCCATACAAGGTCACTGTCCATCCTGTTTTTTTCCTTGCTATGTCTTTTTAATTTTTTATTTTTTTTTATCAGACCTGTACTGTATTAACTCTTGCAAGTCCTTGGGGGGGTCTCTAGTAGCTACCTCCTCTTGTAAAGCTGACAGTCACTCAAAGTTGGCTGTAATTGAAGCACTGTTGTTCCAAGTTACCTCTGAGACCAACTTACAAAACTTGTGTAGCATATTCACATATTCAGTAACTGAGCGAGATCCTTGTTTTGTTTTCGATAAAGAGAACTATCATTCTCAACCCTTGTACAGAGAAGGATCATTTGCATAAGAAGGAGTGACAGAAGGCCTGAGGAGAGCTCTGTAAAGTGGATGGACTTGGGCTGCTGCCGCAGTAGACTTTGTTTTTTTGTGACAGTCCCGTGATCGAAATCTTCCATACATGCTTAACACAGAGAGCAACCTGTTGCTCAAGGTTTGAAGGTTCCATGTCATAATTTCAAGGTTGAATATTCCCTAACATGTAAACCAAGAGCAAACAGTCTAACAGAAATACATTACCAGTCCTTAGTCACCAGGCTTAACATAAGAAGAAAGAACATACAATCTGCAAGCAAACAGTCAAACTGGGGTAAAGTGCTTACATAGATACACAGAATTGGCAAACAAAACCAGAATAGTCTAACACTATCATTCTGAACACACTCTCGAATATCGAAGTCTTCTAAGACCACAACAGTACACTGCGCAGACTGTCATAAACTTGGAAATGCCCAGAAGTAATTCTATTTTGCAAAGTGTTTTAATGGCTAAAGCAGGAGATTCCACGATTCAAGCAGGACCAGATGGACAAATACATGACCTAAGGCATTATAGTCAAAACATTGCATCTCTTGCGGGGACTTGCCTCCCAACAAACCATTATTCAGTGCAGTTTTTTTAGTTGCCCACTATTTCTTTTCTTTATCTGTACATTGGTGATGGTGGCTTACCTTGTATATTAGAGCGCCAAAGGGATAATCGGAGCTTCCAGAAGTGGATTGTAACTCTTACTTTTAATATAACAAATTGAGTCCTAGAAGGGCACCATCACAGAGAAGCTGCTACCACAGTACCTACAAAGGTCAGTAATCTGTGTCCCCAAATTATATATATATATAGAGAGAGAAACAGGAGTGTTTTATTAGTACCTTGAGCAGTGTTACTGTAATAACACCAAAGCTGATGGTTTTTAAAGGGAGGTTTCCCACTCAGTCCTTTACCTACTTCCTTAAATCCCTGTATCACTGAGCTACATATGCAGTGGAGCAAGAGTAGGAAGAAACTGCAAGGGTTCTGCACAGACCAGCCACAACATTAAAATAGCACTAGTTATATTGTAGCAATGGCACCAATCAAGGGGTGGTATATATTAGGCATCAAGTGAACAATCCGTTCCTGAATTTCATGTGTTCGAAGCAGGAATAAATGAGCAAGTGAAAGGATCTGTGCAACTTAGACAAGGGCCAAACGGCAAGTCTTCTGGGGTGTTCTTGGTATGCAGTGGTTACTACCTACCAAAAGTGGTGAGAGGAAGGGCAACAGTTGAACTGGCAGCGGGGTCATGGGCACTCAAGGCTCATTGTGGTATACCGTGTCGTAGCTTAAAGTGCACTTAATGCAATTTAACATTTAATGCTGGGCCCGAAGGAAAATGAGCATCCAAACTGGAACATGGAAGTCTGAGTCAAACTTTCTTCTAGGTCATGATGGTCAAGTGCATGTGCTTTGTTGACCTGGAGAAGAGATGGCAGCAGGATGCATAATGGGAAGAAAGCATGCAAGCAGTCTGTGTTATGCTTTGAGCAATGATCAGCTGGGTAACCTTGCGTCCTGGCATTCATGTACTTGTAACTTTGACCCCTACTACCTACCTAGAGATTGTTGCAGACCACATACATCCCTTCACGGCAATGGTGTTCTATGATGGAAACAACCTCTTTTGGCAGGATAGTGCACACTGACACACTGCAAAAATTGTTCAGGAATGGTTTGAGAAACTGGACAGTTCAAGGTGTTGCCTTGGCCAAGTATCTATCAGATTGAGTATCTGTGGGATGCAGCTGAACAACAAATCTGATCCATGAATGCCCCACCTTGCAACTTAAAAGATCTGCTGCTAATACCTTGGTGCCAGATGCCACAGAACACGTTCAGAGGTGTAGAGTCCATACCTCGGCGCATCAGAGATGCTTTTGCAGCATGAGATGGATCTACACAATATTAGGCAGATGTTTTTAATGTCATGATCAGTGTATATAAATTAGAAACCGTGCTCTGAAAAATTATCTCCTCGAGGCAAAGGCTTTCAAATGAGGGAGTGCTTCTTTTTGAATTGCCCATTTATTTTAAGAGCCTACATCAACCTAACACTGTCCTGAAAAATTTGTGTTGGCAACTGGGGTAACCTCTTCTTTGGCACAAATGTAATGGAGCTCTGGTTTCTTGGCCCAAAACACTTTGACCTACAGTGCTGGTTTATTGAAATGAAACTTAAATTGCAAAATGGAGATTTAAATTCATAAATCAAAGGTAAAAACTTTTTAAATGCCACTGTTATTGTAACTTTTTTGTATAAAAACTTTATAATTAACTTGTAAAGAATATGGACACTTTGACCTCTGACTGTACACTGCAGTCCCTATCTAGCAGCATTAATAAGAGTTAAAGAATGATTTGGACTGCTGCATTTTGAATATACGAAGGGTTTCTTACTGTCTAGCAGTATGTAGAAGGCTAACAGGGTCATGGTTATGTCAGAACCTGTATAAAGATATTGAGAGGTAACTAATGTTTTGGGGTTTTCTTTGTTTTTCATGGGAGAGGGAGATAATCTTATACAAATAAAACATGTGCCTGTTCTTGATCTCTGTTAAGCTATTTTCAAAGATTGGGGCTTTCAATCAGATTGGCTTCACTTTAACCAACACAATCTGAACTGTGAAGGTATATGTGTTCGATATAAATGTAATTGGTATAAATTAAAAAGCACTTTGAGAAAATGTTCAACATTGTCTGTTGTGGCTACAGAGTAGAATAATGAGTGAAATTAGTTCATTATTGTTCGTTCTGAAATTCTTATGCACGTTATCACCTATACCACATTGGTCACAGATGTTTGCTGTTACTGCTGATGATGTAAAAGCACACTTTATAATATTAACATATGTTTGTACCTGCAGATAACCTTGTTAAGGTCTCACTGGTTTGAGAAGAGTATAGACCAACATATCATACAGACACAATAACTGCCTAGGTTCTTCATCTGACATGGTGGGGATCTTGTGATTGACAACTTTGGGCATAACGGAAACCGTAAGGTGTCTGTTAGTGCTCCTGGTATACTGTCTCTCCGGAAATCTGTTATCTATATCGGTGATCTCAAAACATGCATGCATGGGGGTGTCCGAATGACCTGGGGCTTCCTTTGTTCCTCCTTGGGACCTCAAGCACTCTTTTTTTTTTTTTTTTTTTAAAGGGCAGTCTCTCTAAAACTTGAAACCAATTTGTAAATGGTTTTGATGAACGGAAAACAAAAGGATGTAAGGCAAGGTTTTCATGGTATATAAAGTGCTGATTTTCCATGTGTAATATCCAGCGGTCTATATTAAGGAACACATGAGCTCCCTAACCAGAAGCTGCTGCATCTGTTGACATGATTTTGTTCACATTCATTTTGAAAAACAGCCCGTTTAGTAGATTTGTGTTTTCCATCAGTGGAAACTCCTGATGGTAGAGTCTCAAAGCATTGTTGGTCTAAAGAGGAGTCTCCGTGACCACATTTTGCAATGATATTTATCTGCTGAGTCATCATTCTGGCCATTGCCCAGTTAACTGCTTAAGAAAATATATATAATAAACAAAGTCCGGAATACCTCTCCTTGTGGATCTTATCCGTTCCATGCAATAACTGCAGTAATGATTGCTCACATAGCATTCTTACTTGGATAGTGTGACCCGGAATGGTTGCAAAGACCCAGAGTGCAGAAGAGAAGCCAAAAGGGAGAGCTCTGAATTGATGGTGAAGAAACTTAGCTTGATCCTGAACACAATCTCCAGAGACCTTCTGCAGTTTAATGTCATAGGATGTGCAGGTAGATGTCTTTCGGATCTAGAGAGCTCATCCCATCTCTTGTTTGAATAATCTGGTTAGTTGATTGATTATGTGGGCCAAGATTCATAACAGAATTTGACAGGTAAATAAGTTTGTGTTTTTGTTTTTTTTTGTTAGTAGTTAAATAATTTTTGTTGCAGGTACATATTATAACTGAGTCTTGGGAGATTAATCATGCATAATTTCACAAAGTAACGAGTAAAAAAAGTTGAATTTGAAAGTTGAAAGCTCCTGGAGGATTGAGACAGACAGGCACACGAGGGAGCTGTATACTCTCTCGCGTGTCCTCCAGAGATGCCGGTAGCCGGAATATGACTTAATTCTGGCACAGGCATCACTAAACAGCGCTCTATGGAACAGAGCAGGGAGATGACTGAAGCCCATGGCCGGTGTTCTATCAGTTTGGTATACCCCGTCAGATTGCTATACCCACGTCACTTCCGGGGAGGGGAATCAGCTGTCTCCTGTGCTGCACATGCGTGCTAGCACTCCTGCTACTCCTCCACAGCAAGGTCCTGGAAGGTAAGTAAAACTAGTTTTACACTTTCATTATAGTTAGTGCATTCACTAAGCTTAGGACATGGGACATTTAGGGTTAATGTTAGGGTTCAAATTAGGGTTAGGATTAGGGACTTGTTCCTATTTAGTGATATTTCACATTAGGGGAATATCACTAAATAGTGATTTCTCACACTTTATTTTAACCCTTACCCCAAGGGTTAGGGTAAGAATAGAGTGTGAGAGAGGTTAGAAGCACTTACCTAACCCTAATTTGTACCCTCACTTAACCCTAAATGTCCCGTGTGCCTAAGCTTAGTGAATGCACTAACTATAATGAAAGTGTAAAACTAGTTTTACTTACCTTCCAGGACCTTGCTGTGGAGGAGTAGCAGGAGTGCTAGCACGCATGTGCAGCACAGGAGACAGCTGATTCCCCTCCCCGGAAGTGACTTGGGTATAGCAATCTGACGGAGTATACCAGACTGATAGAACACCGGCGCTACCTGTAAGGCGGACTAGGCAGCTGCCTAGGGCGCCCCTTGGGAAGGGGCGCCGGCCCCCCTCATGCTGCAGCCGCCCGAGCGCTCTGTAGAGAGCCTCAGGCGGCTGCAGCTTTTCCCGGGCGGTGCGTCCATGAGGGCGGACCGCACCGCCCTGGCGCAGCATGGGGAGAGGGGCTGACAGGAGGAAAGCGCTCAGCGATCCCTCCTGTCAGCTCCCTCTGCTGTAGCGTGGCCGAGCACAGTATAGTCCGCGGGTACAGGGAGCAGCTGTCTCCTGTACCCGGCCGGACTAACAGGAAGTGCACACTGAGTGTTCACTTCCTGTTAGTCCGGCCGAGTACAGGAAACAACAGCTCCCTGTACCCGCGGACCATACAGGGCTCGGCCACGCTACAACACAGGTAGGGGAGGAGGGGGAAGAAAGAAAACAGGGAGGGAGGGAGGGGAAGAAAGAGGGAGGGGAAAGGAGGGAGGAGGGGGAAAAGAAAGAGGGAGGGAGGGGAGGGGAAAGAAACAGGGAGGGAGGGAGGGGGAGAAGGAAACAGGAGGAGGAGGAGGGGAGAAGAAACAGGAGGGAGGGGGGAGAAGAGAAACAGGGAGGGAGGGAGGGAGAAGGAAACAGAGGGGAGGAGGGGGGAGAAGAAACAGGGAGGGAGGGAGGGGGAGAAGGAAACAGGGAGGGAGGGAGGAGGGGGAGAAGGAAACAGGAGGGAGGGAGGGGGGAAGAAAGAAACAGACAGGGAGGGGGAGAAAGAAACAAAAAGGGGAGGGGGAGAGAAACAGACAGGAAGGGGGAGAAAGAAACTGACAGGGGGAACTAACAGGGAGGGGGGAGATATTGACAGGGAGGGGAATTGATGGGGAGAGAGAAATTGACAGGGAGGGGGGAGTGACAGGGGAGGGAGGGGGAATGAGAGTAACAAGGGAGGAGAAGAGACACACACACACAATCACACACAATGCACCCCTTACACACAGAAAAACACACAATGCATCACACACACACACACGCAATGCAACCCTTACACACAATGCATCCCTTACACACACAGAAACACACAATGCATTCCTTACACACACTCAATGCACCCCTTAAACACACTCAAAGCACCCCTTATTAAGCACCTTGATATTCTCTTGTACGTGCTTTCTTGGATAGTGGTGCTAATGGAGGATCTCTGAATGCCCTGGAGAATGGTGCCCCATTCCCCCTGTATTATGTTGATAGAGAGTTCCCTATTCCATGTTTGGGTGAACTGTGGCAGGTGCCCTTTCTGCTCTCCTTGGAGCAACTTATAAAATATCGATAGATGTTTGGTTTTGAGGGATTGGGACGTGCAATATGTTTCATATGGCGTGAACGACCGAGAGCCTGTTTGTAGTGTTCGTGTGGATCGTATGAAGTGGGTCAGTTGCGCATAACGAAAAGTCTGGAGCGTCGTGGGCTGGTTTATTCCCATTAGGGTGTCGAGTGGTTTGACTGAGTTTCCCTCCAAGACTGAGTGCAGTCTCAGGGCGTCTTTTGGGGCAATTTTAGGAACTCAAATGCCTGGTTCGGTAGCCCTGGTTGGAACAGTGGATTTCCTGTCAGGGGGTATAGAGGGGATGGGTGGGGGGATATTGAGGTCCTCTGTCTCATGCGTGTCCAGGTTTTGAGTGTGGGTGTAATGGTGGGGTGGCTGGACTGGTGTGGGGTTAAGAATGGAGAGCCAGTGCTGTGCCACGGAATCCCGTGGAGTGGGGTTGTAAAGAAGGATTTCTCTAGTTGCACCCATTGTAGCTGCGGGCACGGGTTGGCCCATTCATAGATCCTCATGAGAATGGTCGCTGTGTGGTAGAGCTCTATGTGTGGCATCCCCAGGCCCATTCATAGATCCTCATGAGAATGGTCGCTGTGTGGTAGAGCTCTATGTGTGGCATCCCCAGGCCGCCTTGGCTTTTGGGTTTCGTGAGCGTGGTAAAGGCTATCCTGGGGTGTTTGGATGCCCATATAAATTTGGTGAAGAGGTGCCGCAGTTTGAGAAAGAAAGATTTAGGGATGTGGATTGGGAGTGTTTGCAGAAGGTATAGCAATCTTGGGAGCGTGTTCATTTTTAGAATGTTGACGCGGCATAGCCATCCGAATTGGGGCTTGTGCCATTTGGTCAGATCTGTTTCTATCTGTTGAAGGAGTGGGAGGGAATTGATTTTATATGTGGTTGCGAGAGTATGTGGTAGGTGAACCCCTAAATATTTGATGTCTGATTTGGCCCACGTAAATGGGTATTTCTTCTTCAGTGTGATTTGTAATGGTTGGGAAATTTCCAAGGGCAGGATTTCGCTCTTGGCGAAGTTAACCTGGAAATTGGATATCTGATTGTAAGCAGTTATTTCCCCCAGAAGCGGTTGCATGGAGGTGCTAGGTGAGGTTAGTGTAAAGAGTAGATCGTCAGCAAATGCTGAGATCTTGTATTCCTGATGTCCCACCCGGAAACCCGTGATATCTGTGTTGTCCCTGATCCCCTGAAGGAACGGTTCCATCGTGAGGATGAAGAGGAGCGGGGACAGGGGGCACCCCTGTCTCGTGCCGTTTCGTATGTGCACTGGGTCTGACAGTTGTCCATTGATTTTAAGTTTAGCCGTGGGGGCAGAGTGGATCGCACTGAGCCATTTGTCCCAATTTGGCCCGAAACCCATTGCTTGCATTGTGGCTCTGAGGAGGGACCAGTCCACCCAGTCGAATGCTTTTTCCGCATCGACCGAGAGTAAGAGGCTGGGTATGCGTTGAGAGTGAGACAGATGGATGATGTTTAAGAGCTTTGTTGTGTTGTGTTTTGCCTCCCGTCTCGGGACAAAGCCCGCCTGGTCT